GGTGAAGGTGATGGTGAAGGTGATGGTGAAGGTGAAGGTGAAGGTGTTGTTGTTGCTGATGCAAAGCTCGACGACCTCCGCAGACGACCGCATTGCCCGATCTGAACGATTGTTGATATTCAAACAAGAAAAAACTCCCCAAGCTTCGATCCTCTCTTCTCACCGCTTGAGCATGCGGGGTCGTGGAACATGTTCATATTGACGTCCGCTTACGCTTCCTGCTCTCAGGAACCGGCGGGGCGAGGTTTTCTCTTATCGGGCCCTGGCCGGTAGTCAACCGTTCCAATTTGAAGCGGTAAATTTGCCGTTCCTTTTCCAATAGTTTGAGATCAGTAACGACATAGAGGCCGTCGTATCGAAATCCGCGGTCTGGGTGTAACGGGACAATTTCAGCCAGGCGGAAGGACCGAAATACGCGAACGGGATTGCCTGTTCTTCTGGCTGTGATCAGCGCCTTTGTGCTGTTTGTTGGACCCTGGCCTTTCGAACCTTTGGTGACTCGTTGGCGGCGGTAGTGAGGGTCACCGGGTTCTTTTAAGTTGGTTGGCTCAGTGTCGTCTTCCTCGCGCTTTAGCGCCGTTCCCATATACCAGATGATGTCTCCTTGGTCTACATCAGCATAGTATTCGTTGTTCACCGTATCGTGGAGACCCATGACGATACTCCGGGCGCCATCACGAACCGTGCCTGCGATTCCAGCCACTGGAGGTCCGTGGGCGCCATCCCGACACATCTCTGCCCGGTAGTGCCATGTTTGGCCGTTTGTGAGATGGCCGTGGCCGAAGTAGTCGGCACTTCGGGCCCATTTCCAATCTGGATTGGCTGTTAGGTGTCCATCCTGCTGAGTCTGACGAAGCCCTCGACGAGCCAGAACTGAAAGATCCCCGAACGCCCACTTTTTTTGTATGATGGTAAGGTCTTCTACCATGTGCTGTGGCACGTCTCTTGAACGCCGCAGCTCAGTCTTCTCTTCGGAAAGAAATTCTTCAAGCCTCTTCACTACTTGTGTCTCCTGTAGTGCTGATGGGGTCACCGAATTGCACTGCATACGGCGGATCCAATCTTGAATTCTGCCGAAGGTGACTCGTAAACCCATCGATAAGCGTTGTCGATGTTGAACGGCATCTAACAAACCGATTATGAGCTCCACCTCCTCTGTAGTAGCAAAGGGCTCCGATTCCAGAGGAACGTCGATGGGTGGTCTATATCATGTGGTCAGTTTAACATGATCAATAAGAGGGATGACTGTAGAGAGAGTGTGTGAGAAGCTCAGCACCGGGAACTTACTTTGGGCGACTATCGTCCTCTTGCCGCTTCTTCCACTTGGTCCATTCAACAACCAGCGTGCGGCAGTCAATCAATTTGTTGTCCTTAGCCTCACATTGGAGACTAATTGGGCATTTGCATCCCTGTGGGATGGTTGTTTGACGCGGGCGAATAGCTAGTCCGATGTCACTAGGCTCTTGGCCACTTTGACTGAGATTGTTGCCATCTCTGCAGGGTATCTCTTCTCTATGCTCCACGGTTTCTGCAGATTCTTCCTGTGCCACGAAGAGTGGGATCTGGGTTATCGATTGGTGGCTTTGTGTCTCATCAGACTCGTCTTTGATGCCACTGTAAGGGGTCTGTAGGCCTTCGGCTGTATCGGTTAGTGCCTGATGTTGAGTTTGGCGTGCCCATCTAATACCATTCCATGAGCGGCGAGTGTCACGTTCAACCCGTTCTTTTCTCCAGAGGTCATAAGTAAAGCCGCTTCCCGCTCTTTCTCGTTCTCGGAGCTCGTCTTGTTCTCCATGGTTGTCGCCTACTTGCTGGCTTGCATGCTCTTCACACCAGGACCGCCGATCTCTGGGTTCAGAGCTGATTTTGTCCACGTCAGGGTGGGTTGCCCATCTGCCGTCATCTTCATTAATAACTGAGCGACGTAGTGGATGAGAAGACATCTTTGGGTTGGTTGAGATGGAACGTGATGTTGAAAGCGACAAGGTCCTTTAACAAAAGGACTGGATATGGTCAACAGGAAGGAGAGGTAGATGAGGCATGTGTCTGAAGAATTGGAAGTGACTTTGACCTTGGATAGTAGAGCCAAGGTACCCAAGAGCGCAAAGGTAGGCCAAAAGTATGAGACAAGTTGGTTGACCAGTTAGAGTAGAGGCAAACCGGCGAAGAAAAGACGTAGAGTGTGCGTGACCTGAATTGAAGAGGATGATGAGCGATAGGAACTCATATTAGTAGAAGAGAGATGAAAGAAGAAGAGAATGAGGAGGATGATGAGGAAGAAGAAGAAAGGAAAAGAAAAGCAGTTGAAGAGAGAATAAATCTTGACTTTATAAGACACAGAAAGGCGATAGAATCTGTTTCATGGTAGGTAAGTGAAGTAATTTGTCCGGGCAACTTGAAAGCGAGTGAAGAGCGCGCTCGTGTAGAAGAGTGAGGTCGAGTAGGCGTGAAGTAGCCGAGTTGGTAGACATGAGTAGTGAAGACATGAGTAGTGAAGACATGAGTAGTGAAGACATGAGTAGTGAAGATATGAGTAGTGAAGACACAACTTGGCCTTTAGCACATCTTCAGATGGTGGGAAGTGAAGAGCGAAGAGTGAAAAGGGGAGACCGAGACAAGGCTGAGCTTATATAAGCGAGTCGTTGGCGGAGACGGACTTTTGTTCTTCCGAGATGAAGGCCGATGACGACCAACTCACACTCGCCTCTTTGGCAAAGCTTCAAGGTTCTTGTCCACCATCTCGTCAAGTCAACCATCGATGCTATGCTTTCGACAATGGCGGTCGCTTCATGCGCCCATGGGTCGCTCGGTCCTCAACATCAGCATCCAGTCAACCAGGGAGCGGGCTGTGATTCCATTATGCTCTCCTACGGCGTTTCATAGACGTCACTTCGGGCTGGAGTCAATCCCAACAGTATTGCTGCCCCCTGCTGTATTCGGAGGCCTTCTTGTGACGTTGTGGACGTACAAATGCTTGATGATGGTTGTGTTCCAGAACAAGATCATTTATATGCCGTCCGTTCCACCGTTCTCGAGGTCTGAGAAAGTTAGCGATTATGCACGCCAATGCCAGCCAGTAGTCTGGACCGAACACGACCTCCGAGCTGCTGACAACACTAAGATCAAACTTCTGGAAGGTACAATCGGTGTCACGGCGGATTCGAAGCCGAGAGGCCATGTTGTCGTCCTTTATTTTCAGGGGTACGCGGAACACGAGGGATGTCCAACCTGCCACTAAAAGCCAGTCTAGGAATGCTTCTTCATTGCCCCCACGTCTTCCATATCTCTCGAGTATACTGAAGACCGCGACAAACGCCCAGCCTGGGGGGAAACAATATACAATAGTGGCCTTGTCTTATCGCGGGTTCTGGAAGTCAAAGGGTACTCCGTCTCAAGCCGGCATCGAGCTTGATGTAGACGCGACCTTGAATTGGGTCCTGACAAGATACGACCCTGACCGAACCAGGATCGTTGTCTGGGGCCAGTCCATTGGCGCAGGTGCAGCGACAGTGGGCTTGGCCAACTTGCTGAGAGATGGTGAAGACGGTCTCCGGCGAGTCTCAGGGCTCTTGCTGGAGACTCCATTTGTCGATCTTAAAGCAATGCTGATAGGACTTTATCCTCAGAAGTTCCTGCCGTATCGATATCTGACTCCGTTCTTACGGTCGACGTGGGATAGCAAGTCTGCCCTTCAAACGATCGGGAAAGTCAAACCAAACCTCAAGGTTCTGATGTTGGAGGCGGGTGATGATGAGATCGTGCCTCGGGGGCAGGGAGCAGTCTTGGAGAATATCTGCAAGAAAGAAGGTATGGCTGTGGATCGAAAGGTTGTCCCGGGAGCTTTGCACACTGAGGTATTGATCAAGGGGCAGGGGCGCAACCATGTCGTTATGTTTCTTCAGTCCATTTAAGAGACCCATAGTAATCATAAAGCACGATGGAAGCAGTCGTTTTCTACGGAGGAAGGGAGCCTTTCCCGATGGTGATGAGGCAAGGGTATGAATGCACTGTGTGACACAGGTGCCAAAGTTGAGCCCGGGACCGCTAGAGTGGTTGGTATAGACACAAGGCTGCAGTCGGACAACGTCCAGAATAGCTCTAAGACAGAGAGCCGAAGAGGGCCTCTCATAGCTGTATTTGAAGCCCTGGGGTTCTTAGAGGCTTGTATTCCAGCATCGGTCTGGTGTCTTCGAATACTCTATCCTTGAAATGCGGAGTTGGACAAGCCACTTGAATACCAACTTTGCATATAGAGAGGTCAGCGTAACAGATGTCAAACCTGTCTTGTGGCGTTGTTCGGGATTCCGGGGACTCCCCAACTGCCACGAGACAGACGCGACGGGACCTTAGGCATATAGCCACCCACCAAGTGCCATGGACATATTGAAGATTGTGTTTCCTGCTTATTTCCTATTCGGCTGCCTCCGGTTGCTCGACTCTTGATCTTCGCTACCGCTTGTGGGACCCGACGGCGCGAGATAGCTGGACTTCAATAGACTGATTAGGCAAATTAGAGCATGAGGTCTAGGCATTGGGGCTGTAGCCTGTGAGTCTTGTAGCGGAGCATGTTATGGAAGATGGCGTCTGGAGTAGCGCAGGCTCCAAGGCAGATCGTAGGAGGGCTCAGGCTCTGCTGTCCGAACTCCGTAGCCTGACAGGATAGACGATGAAAGTAGTAGTAGACAGGTCAAGTACTCAGTCAGTTAATCATAGTAGAACTTAGTGTTGATGGCCACATCAGGGTATGAAGAAATTCAAGTTGGGCAAGAACGCCGTGGCACAGGCTGAGGCTGCCCGCGACATGGTTAAAGCAGCCTTAAGGCAGACCCGTCTAGACCTCGCATCTCGCACCTCATCCATTTGGGAATGCAGAACGGTCCCGCCCTGGGCTCACTCGTCGGGAGGGTCACTCGCGACGATTCTGTGAGGTGAAATGTAGGTGGTTGACATACAGAATTGGCATTTCAAAGGGTTGGGACGTCTAGTACGGAGAGGTATACTTCGTACAGTAGTTCCCAATGTCAATGTCACCTCCTACTTCATCCGTCCCTGCCAGCGAAGCCTGTTACGGTCTATATCGGGGTTCCCTCCGAGCGAGTAAATCCCCTTGGTTCGTCCAAAGACCCCTCTAGAAGTCCTGATGGAAGGTGACTCCACCAATTAAGAGTCAAATCCATCAACCACGCCGAGCGTTGCTGATGAGCCAGGAGCCGACTTCGATTTCACGACGATGGTGGTTATAACTCAGCAGCTTTTGCGTCGGGAATTTTCACTCCTGCAGAGAGCTTGCTGTCTATACCGTTGTCGACCTCCTCCCCGTCCAAGTGCGCGGCAGCAAAAGCAAGGCGTTGAGGCCTAGAGATGAATTCGTGGTTAGCATGGCTGCCGCAGTACATGTGACGGTGATGGGTAGATAGTACGTACCTTAGAATCCGGACATCAATGTAGCGCAGGATGCACGTCATGATCATGGCCAACACCCAGAGTGCGAGAGCGGATTGCCACCCATAGTGATCTTTGTCATTTTCACATCAGCAAATCAACACGCCAGAGACGGTATTCGTTAGACTAACAGTGTGGTGCCTGGCTCGCTGGCCATGTGAGAACTTGACTCCAGGCAGTGAAGGCATAGAGACCGGCGACAGCGACTCCCACAATCAATGAACGTGCTTCGGGATCTTGCGGAATTCTGTCAACATTAATCGGTGCCTTGAGCCTCCAGACCCGGAGCAGGCGGGAACAGCACTTACAAATCTGACAGCCAGGAGAAGATCAGCGGCGCCGTCCCCAGGGTGAGATAGCAGATGAAGTAGCTAGCATATGCCGCGGAAATAGGTACGGAAGTGGGGTGAGATGTCCAGATGCTCATGATGATACACGGGATAATTCCAATGAGGCCTGGACACGGTCAGTCAGGACGTCCATACCACAACGTGAGGCAAAACAGATAAGAGCGGACCTTGAGTGACGATGAGTGTCCACCGTGTGGTGAGGAGATCTGAGAGAATTGCCCATATCCATACGAAGACGACTTGGATGGCCCCGCCGCCAATGGGGATCGAATTGACCTGAGACACGCTCCAGCGCCGAGTGCCGTCTGCATTCTTAATGGATTTGAGGAACAATGCAAAGTATACATAGCCGTAAGACCCGAGGACCGTTGCAATGTACATGACAGCGATAAAGTACACCACCCACGAGGAAAAGGTGCGCCTGGGAAGACGAGTCAATAATCCGGTCCGATTGGCATTGCCGACAGAAGACGAAGGGCGCTTACTTGACTCCTGCCCAGCTCATTCTTTTGGGCTCAGCACGGTTGTGGCGCTTGAGTCTCTCCATGGCCATCTGAGCGTGAGACTCTGTGAACCAGATTGCCCAAGGATTCGGTTTATTTGGAAGGTCTGGAATCATGAAAAACCCGGCGAAGCCCCAGACGACAGTGATGATGGCATTGATCACGAATAGCCAACTACGATACACCATCAGTAACGTGCCGATCAAGGAATAGGAAGGAATCTAAAAACAATGTCTCACTCACCGCCATCCAGCCAAAGAAGTGTGTCCCTCCATAGTGTTGATGATGGCAACCTGCAGCGCACCACTCATCATGCTGCCTAGGGCTTGACATGACTGATAAAATCCCATCCTTTTGGCAAGTTCTGTTGGAGTGTACCAATGCACTGTGTGAGGCGAGGTCAAGTCAGCCGGAAATTCCCTTTTACGGTGACCGCTGCAAGAGGAAGACGCCCATACTGAAGAGTGTTATCATCCCAGGCCAGGCGCTACTCTCACAGAGTCCGAGAAAGAACCGCAGGGCATAGACCTGCTTGGGATGGTTCGCCATCGCAATAAGGCCGGTCATCATGCCCCACAGCAGCTCCAGGCCAGGAAGCCACAAGCTGGGGCGCACATATGTCAGGATGATCTGCGACGGGATGAGCATGATGCAGTATGCAATGTTAAAGTAGGTCGTAAAGCTGGACCGAGTCGATTAGTATGGTGAGGTGGTACGCTGGGAGGCAGTGTCACTGACTAGTTGAGCTCGTTGCCGTGGATGTTGAGGTCTTCCTTCATTCCAGAGACGTAGGCATTGCTGATGTTGCTCTGGTCAAGATATCTGAATCCCGCCCGGTCAGGTAACGAGGCATCGGTGAGGACGAGTCCATATGTATGACTGCTTACTTGATGACTTTCACGTGTCAGCAAGTCTGATTGATCTAAGCATGTCTATTGCCAACTGACCTTGGGAAATGCAACCAAATGTCAACAGGAACATGTCCAGCCGCCGGACAAGGCTTTTCTCAGCGGGGGTGCGCTCGTGAGGCACCACGGCGGGGGAGCGGAACGACTTGAGGGAAACCATCTCGGATCTCGTTGCTCACTCGTATGATTCCAAAGCAGGCCGGACAAGTGGTGAAGAGGCCTGGGTGGGTGAGAAGAGAGAAGTAATGAGGCTCGCATGGAGAATGGCGGTGATCTCTCTCAAGTCTATATAGATGCCGGAGGGCATGTCCTCTCTTCTTCGTCTTCCACGTTCCAGGGTAAGACAATCAACACGAAAAGACGCGACGCTGCTTCGACGCATTTCCTATCGCTGTGTGACATTTCCTCCATCGATATTGATACCAAGGCTGCTCCTTCATGGGGGTGGTGGAGGAATTAGGTATTGGTCTCGCAGCTGTGATTGGGGCCCGTCGGCGAGAGTGCAAGTCGAGGCGGAGATGGGACCAGTTGGCTGTTCTCGGCCGTGCTCTTCTGCACTTTGCCACCTGATTGCGATGCCGAAGATCCGCTCTTGCTAGGCAGGAATTAGTAGTGGTGGTGGTAGGACATCGCCGAGTTACAACATTGAACATACCTGTGTAATTAGATACTAGATAGGTCGTGTATAGGCCACGGAGACTTCTGATAAGGAAGATCTCCCCCGGCGTTATCTCGCCTCGACCTGCCCCCGGGACGCGAATGGCCTCATTGGCCTGCGATGCCTGATGAGCCCTGAACTGAGTAGCTCGGACCTAATCCGTAGACCCAATGGTGGTACAGTACGGAGTACGGATACTCTCTACGAATACAGCTCTAGCAATGTCAGTAGTCACTAGTCAGTCTCTGGAGTGACTGACATACAGTAGAAGTGGTTGGTGTGTAAACTACCCAATGACAAAGTGCTTGCTGTGATATCTCGCCTCAGCCTGCTTCTAGGATCGCCACCACCTGTAGCTGTCTCGGAGCGTTTCGTGTTCCCCTCCAAGTCCAGGCTGCGTCCGTATCCATATTAATATCTCCAAGTCGCTCAGCGGATGGACGCCTCTGGAGGTAGCAATACGTCTGCCGCGTCTTGAATGGAAACCATCCCCAAACTCCCACGATGACTACCGTCAATAACACCAAGTCTCGTTCCCCGGGCCTGCCCATTCCCAACCCGGGGCTCAGCTTCTGGCAGAAAACCACTCGTGCGTTTCCCCATCTCAACGCCAACAGTGAGACTCCTGTCCCTGCAAGCAGCAAGTACGTGGTTGTCGGGTCCGGTCTAGCCGGCTCTCTCACGGCGTACGAACTGCTCGAGGCGGGCATAAAAGGCGACGAAGTGGTCATCTTGGAAGCCCGCGAGGCCGCCAGCGGAGCCAGCGCGAGAAACGCAGGCCACGTGCGACCTGGTAAGGAGAAGACGGTGCCGTTGTTGTTTCATGCTCGGGATGAACCTCTGACCTCGTGCCAGATGCCTTCCGAGGATTTCCCATCTATGCCGCCCTACATGGCATCGACCAGGCGCGAAAGGTGGTCGAGAACGAGCGTCTCGTCCTCCACAAGATCGACGAGTTCGTCAAAAAGCACAACGTACCGTGCGACTTCAACTTCACCACGACCTTTGACGTGTGCATGACCCCCGAGTTTGCTACTTATGAGGCCGCCGCCTACGATGCTTTCAAGGCCGCCGGAGGCGATGTGTCTCACGTCAAGGTGTATGTCGGTGGCGAGGCACAGGCCAAAACCAGGGTTAAGGATGCGGTCGCCGCCTACGAGTGGCCTGCGGGCTCTAGTCATCCTGCAAAATTGACACAGTGGATTCTCAATAGCTGCGTTGCCAGAGGTGTGAAGATCTTCACGCATTGCCCGGTGTCAAGCATCACCCGGGCCGGAAGCCAGACGGAAAAGCCTGATGCTGCGACGTCTTCTTCCTGGGCTCTTCATACGCCGCGTGGCATTATCGTCACGCCGACCGTCATCCACTGCACCAATGCGCATGCGGGCCTCCTGCTGCCCCAGCTCAGCCCCTATATCACGCCGACCCGATCACAGGTAACTGCGATCACCCCAACGCGTGCGTTTGCGGGCGAAAGCACTCTGAAGAGCACCCTGTCCATCCGTTACACTATGAAGTATTTCCACTCATTAATCCAGCGTCAAGGCGACGGCACCTTAATCTTCGGTGTGTCGCGCGGGAGCCCGGCGTTGAGTGCGCAGGCGGTCGCCCAGCTGGAGACCACGGACGACAGCAGCTTCTCCCGCGAGATTCTGCAGGAATCCGAGCGTGCCTGGCGTCGCATATTCCCCGACTACTCCCGTTATGGCGTCAAGCACGGCGAGGGTCTGGACCACGTGTGGACTGGTATCATCGCCATGACCGCAGACCATGTGCCTTTCGTCGGTGCGGTAGAGTCGCTACCTGGGCAGTATGTCTGCACCGGTTTCAATGGACACGGTGAGTGAGGACTTTCGCCGTCTGTTTCAGTCGGGACTTTGAATTAGTAGATTGCTAACGGTGAAACTATAGGGATGGCTCGTATCTTCACATGTGCTCCCGGAATCGTCAAGTTGATTCTTGGAGGTCAATGGAGTGAAACAGGCCTCCCCGAATGCTTCCAGATGAGCGAATCAAGGCTGGCTGGCTTGGGGCGACAGGAAACCGAGCCCGTGGATCAGGTATGGCAAACCGCAACGAGTGCGGTTGCAGTGTTGTAACATGCTGCGCCGTCTTCATTGTGGTGCCCTGAAGGATGTAGGATATGGGCCAAACCTGAAGCATATGGAGTAGAAACCAAACCATTCAACTCAAGCGTCGCAATCACTCCAGGTGGTCGCTGAGACGTTCCACGAATATGTACTTTGTACACTGTCTCCGTACATGGTGTACTCAGTATTTGTACTGTACTTTGGCTTAGCGTGCTGTCACGGGCGCAGGCGCCGAAACCCGCCATAGTTAGCCTCATTAGGTACTACAGTACTCCGATGGCCTGGGAGCCTCTGGCCTCAATAACCATCAGTGCCTACTTAACATACCTATAAGTACTATTAGGTGACTATTAGTACCTACCTAAGCTTGTAGTAATAATGAACCTTTATCGTTATCTTGGCCTGCGCCTGAGCCCCACCAGGCCCAGGGCTCCAAAGGCCAGCCCAGGTTTCGAGGGGTCTTTGTGGAGGTGCCACTACTAGGTACCCAGGTAGATAAGGGCCTCCCACCCCCCAGTTTGAAGCAGAACACTGCAACACTTGTTAAGTTACTCGGCTTGAACAAAGACCTGTATCATATGAACTATGTGAAGCCTGCTGCAATACAGAGCCCCGGTCAAGTCAGTCGGCACCGTGTGCCAACTCGTTGCCACGAACGCAGCCTCACCAGAGCCCGCCCATGGCGTTTGAAAAGATCCCCTTCTATGGAAGAACTCACTCTCCACGCACCCGGTCTGGGTGCACCAGCTGTCGACAGCGCAAAATCAAATGTGATGGTTCGTCTACTGCCGCGAGCCGCGAGCCACGAGCGGCCTGCTGACCACATGGCACGACAGAAAGAAAGCCACAGTGTCGACGTTGTTACCATGGAGATCGACTCTGCTCTTACACATTGAAGTTGACGTGGCCGGATGAAGCACTGTCCAGAGGGATCGCTGTGGGCCGGGCAGGAACAAGGCGACAGCGGACTAGACCTGTGGGCACCAAACCAGCTGCGGACAGACGCCTCAAACCTGCTCGAGGAGCCATCATATCGGCCTCCAGTGACGCGCAGCAGGTTATCTACATCGACTTCTTGGAGACAACAAGTGACAAACTCCCGCCGCGCCATCTTCTATTCCTGAACACAACCTCCAAGGATATCAGTCTGTACACTCAGCCGAAGGCCATGCCCTCAAATCCGCGAGACGCTGAGATCAGAGACGAGGACGTGGATTGCGGAACAGGAGAAGATCGGGCTATTGTCTATAGGCAGGATGCTCCCTCGAACCCCATGGAGGCCCAGCTTTCCAGGCCCTTACTCAGACAGCCATCTGCACTCCCTACACTGTCTACCTACGACTCGGCCCTGTTCGACTTCTGTCAGTTCCTTCCACAAGAAGCGATTCAACCACTAACATTGGGCAGATGTGAATCGCGTGTGTCCGACGTGCCTCCTTTTCGACGGGAAAGATAACGGCTACAGGAACATTATCCCGATATCCCTCCAGTCATCTCTCCTCATGTCCTCCGTCCTTGCCGTCGCGGCAAATCATATCGGATTACACAATCCGCGCTACCACATCATCGCATCCCAGTACAAGGGATCGACGTTAAAATCAATTCGACGACTTCTTGCAGCCGACTGGCAAACAACTTCCAAGTCGGAACTCCTCAGCACCCTTCTAATGCTTTGCTATGCTGAAATCTCGGACCAGTGTCGACCGGAGTGGTTGGTACATATGCACGGTGCGAACGCAATTGCACGCCAGCCACCAGTCGTCCAAGCTACAGATTCCGACGCGATTTTGTCAGGCTTCATTGCACCGTATTTTGCTGCTCATAACATCCTAGCTTACACGGCGGTAGCGGATCCTGCGTTAGAGCCGCGTCTCGTGGACGGTGGACGGCACTGGTTGAGCAGGATCAAACGATCGCACTGGGAAATAGACAGCAGCATTGGCTGTTCCGCAGAGCTTCTATCCATCATCCTTGATATCACGGTCCGGATCCGCCATCTCAAGCGAAACCCTGATCTGTCCACACGCACTCAGGCTCGAGTATGGAAGAATAAAACGGAGCGGCTGCTTCGAAACCTGAGGCAGGAGCTTCCAGGGAACGTGATATGCGACCGACCATCATCCAGCTATCCCGACGTCTCAACCGTGAAGATAGGCGCGGAAGCGTTCCGACAGGGAGCAGTACTCTTCCTTCAATATCTTGAAGAGGACAGCTTCCACGAAGCCAAAATACAACATTGTGTAGACACCATTCTTGCACTGATGAAACAATGCCCTGTCAAGGAGCACGGGGGACGCTCCAGCGTCTTTTGGCCCTTCTTCCTCGCTGGCTGCCACTCAACCAAAGAAGGGGATCGGGCCTATGTGCTGGATCGTTTCCGGCTCTTGGAGCGTCCGAAGAGGTACGGGAACACGCGGCCCGCCAGAAAGGTTATAGAACACGTGTGGAAGCAGAGGGACCTAGGAGCAGATGAACCATGCCAACAAAAGTGCGGCTCGAGATGCTTTGAGTGGGAAGATGCCATGGTGCAGCTGGGTTCAACTATCAGCCTGACTTGACAGAGACGTACAAAGTTCAAGCAGCGTTATGTTGTGTATTTGCAATTACACAATCATGTTCGACTTGGTGCTCAGTCCCAGTTCGCTCCCAATACGCACACCACGCATGCTCCACATATACATACCCCGGACTCACCTGTACTGACCCGCCACTTCTCTTTGCCCGCATCCGCGGCACCAGTCAAGTATGCTTCATGCTACCCAAAAACCCCGTCGGGAGACATTAGCACCAGCGTATAGTAGTCTCTCCTCTGCAATTACAATTTAGAATAGGCAGCTCTCTGTCGCTGCCTGTTTTCGATTTGGTCTGGATGGTTGGGGTTGGCGCGTGATGAGACGAAGCTGCTGCCACTTCTTGACAACGCCTCTGGTTGCCTAATCAAGTGATCAGCAGTGATGAGCACTTGTCCATTAATATTGAAAGATATTGCACAGCCCGCATAGGTACAGAGTAGCAGTTCTCTGGGCCTTTCTTCTGAGTATCCGTACCGTGATCTGCCTCTGGCAATGCCCCCAGTACTAACGTCATACATGTCGGTGTATGGATACAATGTAGGTACGCGGCATGTCTTAAGACATCTACGGAGTATGTGTAGCGGCTATTGGCCCACCTAGCAATACATAACACATCAAACAATTGGGCTCCTACGTCACGTGGTGATTTCTTGATCAATAGAAGCAGACAACCGTGTAGAGTACGGTAGATGTAGAGAATCTTGTAGCGGGCGGGCTAGGACTCGGGCATCAGGGCCGTACCCGTTCTGACAGAAGGGGGAATCCATACCTTGGGCGCAGGAAGAACGCAGGTAGTACAACATAAAGACCCAAACATGGTCACACCGAGTTGTCGCCCAATTTAGGTTCTGCTCTAGAGGGAGGACGACGTGTTGAAGAAGCGCTAGGAACCGCGGTCATTACAGCGAGGAGTCGAGAGGTGAGTATCTACTATCCGTACTCAGAACTCAGAGGTGAGGGCAGGGTCGGTGAGTAAGTCTGGTTTTAAAGCGGCGCGGTCGAGGTGAGCGATGAACTGGAAGCAGCCTTTCAGTATCCGTACTCCTTCGTACTCCTACTCCTGCTCTCACTCCGTATCCGTACTCTGCTTGTGCCGCCAATCCATGGCTCCACAGGCAGGGCAAGAAAGGACGCTTCAAGGACTCGTGGTCGGTAGCGTGGCTGGGCCGATGCGACCAGGAAGTCAACAGGGGCGTAGCACAAGGAAGCGGTGAACAAAAGTCGGGCTCTGGCTCTGCCTGCGCTGAGCGGTGCGGCGCCATCGCTTCACCGAATCCCATCAATCACCTCGATCAGTCATGCAACTGCCAACCACCAACAATCACCACCATGTGAACCACTGGCAGACCAGTACGGAGTAGTTGATCGGTGACTTGCTTCTGCCCACGCCTTCGCTTGTCCACCAGTCTTCGTCCCTCTGATCTCATGCTGCCTGCGTTGCGTTCCTTGTCACCTGCTACTTGCTACTGGCATTCCGACCATGAGACCGGCGACCAGCACGAGCAACCACCAAATATCTACGCTGTGACCGCCTGCAGCATCAACACTACTTCCACTGCATTTGCCACAGAATGGATGCCAACCAGACGCCAGCGCCCGGTTTCTGGAGCTATCTGATCAATCCTGACAAGAGTGCGACACCGCAGCTTGAACAACTCTGTCTAGGTATTGCGAAAATCATCGTGAGCAGGAGATCTGACATCTCAGTTGTGCCATCGACCGGGTCTGGCTAACATCCTAGCTAGTCAACACTCGAGCCTGCTGGGCCTGATCGCGAGCTCTCTCCCCCACGTCTGGCTGCATTCTACAAAGCAGTAGGCGGCAACTACGACTCCCTCTTCCTCAAGACCTCCGACCATGCTCTGTCTTTCATGTACCAGACGCTCGGATGCTTCCACAGCCTCCAACCCACCTCCAGCCCCTTTGAGACCCCGAGGATCCCGTGCTTGACTCCACGGGGCTTTGCTCGCTGGCAAACGATCCAAATTCTCCTCTGCCCGGAAGAAAACGTCGGGTTCATACAGAAAGCCGTGCAGGTATGGAACGTCCCCATGCCCAGCGGTGGTACCTTTCCGAATTACATTCCGAATCACGTTTTCCCGGACAAGCCAGACGAAGACATGGAAAGATGGCATCGAATGGTCACGGGCCAACTTAACCAGAAAAACTACATGCGGCGCATCAAGAACTCACCATATCAATCCCCACATCCGGAGATTTATGATCGACGTGACAGCTATTTCTCGAACGCCCATGTAGGTGGACCTTCGAAACTCTCTAAGAGCAGCTCGCGCGACGATCAGGACCATCTAGCAAACCTATATCACCGGCGAAGCAGCGTTCCAGACTTTCCATCTCCGCCTGGCGAGAGAGGGTCACATTGGGATCCGCGAAACGGCCCCGAGGCGCGGAAATCCAGAAGCCATTCCGCGCAGAGACCACCTGTTCAGCCGGGCCGTCAACGATCTCACACCGCTTCGGGTCCTCCGCCAGGTCCTGCACAGAAGGTCTCAAACACCAGCCCTGCTAGTGGAATCAGAGGTGGCGGTTCGACTGACCGGTCGAGGCGACGCTCTTCTGGATATAATCATCAATATCGCTCGCCAGCCCGCACCCCTTCGACGGTGGACGAAGACAGTGGCAGCGAGGCCAGCTCGGAAACCTCACAGAAGACCCGCCGCCCTCGCGCCTCCGACGAGGACCGCAAGATTCGCCATTCATCGATCTGGATACCGTCGTTTATGAAGTCGCACAAACGCCGGCATTCATCTGATGCAAGTTACCGTGCACCTGGACCTAGACCCCCGCAGCCGTTGCGGCCCGAGTACTACCCACCTCGTGCAATCAATCCATCATCACAGCCGCAACAGCCGCCCTATCGAAGTGGCGGTGCTCCTCAATGGCGTGACACAGCCTGGGATAGTGATCCAGTCAAATCCGCCCCCGGAACCCCGATCCAGCTCCAGGCACAACCGGACCCGCGTGCCCCGTCGATACGTTTTCCTGACCAGGCCAACCTTGAGCCATTGACGAGAGATGGCAGCAGTGGGAGTGGGACAGACCACAGGTCCCGCTTCTCAGACTATGAGCGAGGGAGTGCACAGAGACGGCAAGCCCGAGCCGTTCCTTCGAGGCCAGCAACCATGACTGGAGTGCACGGGAGAAAGTATCCCACCACCGAGCCTACGAACCCGCTCGACAGGCAGAGGAGTCATGCATCTAGCCGCGGTGGTGTGGCGACAATGGGTTGAGCAGCACGGTGTGGCAAATATTGACATAGTGTGAGAGTAACAATTGGTACACTCGCAATTGACTTCACATGCTCCTCGACTGGCAGAATATACATGGCCAAGATTTTGACGTACACATACAAGTGATGACACGACCTATGAAAGATGACATGAATGATGAGACAAGACGAGATGCAAACGACATAACACGCTGAAAAAAATCTTTTGGAGGTCCGGCGTTGCAGTTTGGGTTAGGAATTTTCTCTTCTCATACCATCACGGGCCAAAAGTGCCTCGCGGCACAGACAGAGAGTGGCATAGTCCTGGCAGGATCGAAGGACGCAAGTCTTTCTGCAGCTCTCTTGCCCTGGTTGGGCAGGTATCGGTGGATTTGATATGAGCTTGGTCCTACAACGACAGCAGCTCAATGTTCGTGGACCATTTGAGTGGTATTCGGTACTGCTTAGATATTTGTTTACGGTAGCGATTAGGATAACCAGAAAGCTCCTTCAAACTCGCTTGAACAAATGCTCTTGGAGTGTCTTGTCATAGGGATCTCTGTTCTATCGAAGGATCCGTACATCGAACTACGGCCACGGAGATACATCTTATTTCAGATACGCAGGCGTCCAGATATCCAGGTTGTCTATCCGTATGCCATAATTACAATTAGTGGGTTCAGTAGTGGGCGGTGGTGTCGACATGTCTTGGGTCGTGTTTTTACAGTGGTTACATTGTCTTTGATATTCCAAATACGGATCCAGCATCTCTCTCTTATCCGTACTCCGTACTTTGGATGGGATCGAAGGTGACGGTAGCATATGTTAATAGCGGAATATCGATATCAGTATCATGTTGCATGTTTCACCTGCTCGTCCTGGTCCTGATGGTTGGGTGGCTGTGTTGCTCAGGTCTGTTATTGTTATTCGGGTACTAGATCCTCATCCCTGGCTCTGGCTTTTCCAACATCGTGAGTAGGCCCTTGCTCATCTCAATGATCTCACACACTTCCAATATTGTAGTCCCTTCCTTGCTCATCCCAATCATCTCACACTTCCAGCCAGTCCAGGAAGCCTAGAAGCCTAGATTGGCCAAATCAAGAGCAGGTAGATACATTCAACACAACATCGAGAGGAGGCCCCTTCTTGATATTGACATTCAAATACGAGTAGATAGACCCTTCCATTCCACCCTATCCCATCCCGTCGCTCCACTCCCTTCCACTCCGGTTCGGCGCTCCTGAAATTTTCCCAATATTTTCTTCGTTATCCTGTCGATGCTACTGCTCACTCTGCCCTTGTTCCCTTCCTTGACACCGTCTGTCATTGTTCCCTTCGTAGACCCGGCGACGCTCAGAGAGGTGTTTTTTTCTTCTCTTCTTCAGAAAACGTAGTAACTCTGCCCCAAAGCCACCTCCTCCGCCGGCTCGGCCTTGCAGACCTGCCCGTCCGCCTCGACGACATAGCTCTCCGGGTCGACCTTCATCTTGGGCATGACATCATTATACTTCATGTCGCGTTTGGTGAGGTTGCGGCAGTTCTTGACGGGCTCGACCCGCTTCGAGAGGTTGTACGACGCAATGGTCCCCGAGGCGATCGACGCGGCTGACACAAAGGTGATGGATGTCGTCGGCACCAAGGGCGCGAACATGGGGCGCGAAATGATGGGCTGGATGGTCGGAATGGAGCCGTTGGCGTCGCCCTGTACAGTACACACTCGAGTTAGTGGGCGTCCTTTTGCTGGTCATAGATCACAAAAGGTGAAATCTCCGCGGGAAAAAAGCCAGGATCGGATGTCTTTCTCTGGGAATAGATCACACAAGATGAACCCTCCCCGGGAAAGAAAAGCCAGGATCCGATAGCTTTCTCTGGTTGGGAGACAGAAACGAACAACAACAACACCAAGACTTACCATCATGGCATAACTGATCATGCCGCTCTTAATCACCAAATTCGGCTTTGCGCCAAAGTTGCTCGGCTTCCATACAACCAAATCGGCCAACTTGCCGACCTCGACGCTTCCGAGGATGTGTGACATGCCCTGCGTGATGGCTGGGTTGATGGTATACTTGCTGACATAACGTTTGACGCGGAAGTTGTCGGCGCCCGTGCCTTCGTCTTCCTTGAGCGTGCCGCGCTGCTGCTTGTTCTTGTGCGCTGTGTTCCAGGTACGCAGGATGACCTCGCCGCAGCGGCCCATGGCCTGGCTGTCCGAGGACATCATGCTGATGGCGCCGAGATCGTGCAGCACGTCCTCGGCGGCAATGGTCTCGGCGCGGATGCGGGACTCGGCAAACGCCACGTCCTCCGGAATGTTCTTGGACAGATGGTGGCACACCATCAGCATGTCCAGGTGCTCGTCCAGGGTGTTGCGCGTGTAAGGACGCGTCGGATTCGTCGAGGATGGCAGCACATTCGGGTGCTCGACCACCGAGATGATGTCGGGAGCGTGGCCGCCGCCTGCACCTTCGGTGTGATACGTGTGGATGGTGCGGCCTTTGAAGGCCCCGATCGAGGATTCGACGAACCCCGACTCGTTGAGCGTGTCTGTGTGGATCAGGCATTGCACATCGTACTCGTCGCATACCGACAAGCAGGTGTCGATGGCCGCCGGCGTGGTGCCCCAGTCTTCGTGGAGCTTGAGCCCGCAGGCACCGGCTTCGCAGGACTCCCGCAGCGCCACGGGAGAGCTGTCGTTGCCTTTCCCCGTGATGCCGTAGTTGATGGGCAGCGAATCCACGGCTTGGAGCATCTGCTTCATGTGCGTTTTTCCCGGTGTGCACGTGGTGGCATTGGTGCCAGCCGACGGACCGACGCCGCCGCAGAGGTATGTAGTGATTCCCGCCGAGATGGATTCGTAGGCCTGCTGCGGGCAGATCAGATGGATGTGCGAATCAAATCCACCCGCCGTGACGATGTTGCCTTCGGCGGCGATCACGTCCGTGCCGCTGCCAACGACCAGGTTGGGGTGTACGCCATCCATGACGTCGGGGTTGCCAGCCTTGCCGATGGCTGAGATGACCCCGTGCTTGATGCCAATGTCTGCTTTGTAGATGCCTGACCAGTCGACGATCAGCGCGTTGGTGATGACCGTGTCCAGGACTTCCGAGTCTGGACGGCCCGATGCCTGGCCCATTCCTTCACGAAGCGTCTTGCCGCCGCCGAATTTGCATTCTTCTCCATAGACGGTCAGGTCGTTTTCGACCTTGATCCACAGATCCGTATTTCCTAGTTTCACCAGATCGCCGGTCGTGGGACCGAACATGCTTGCGTAGTCTGCCCTGGTCATGGACGCGACATCTAAATGAGCCAGATCGCCAGCTGGCTCGGGGACATGTGCGAACCCGGCCTTTTGAAGCTTCTCGACGATTTCATCGACGCGCGTCAGGTCGACCACCCCCGAGGCGACATTGTTTCCGCCGCGGATGATCTTGTTGCCTCCGATCTCAACAAGGTTGACTGTCTTCGTGTCTCCAGGCTCGAAACGCACCGAGGTTCCTGCTGGGATGTCCAGGCGGAATCCATATGCTTTCACTCGGTCGAACTCTAGTTGAGGATTGGTTTCAATGAAGTGATAATGAGATCCGATCTGTCCCCAAAAACGTGGTTAGCCAGGGGAAAACATCACAGTGAACAACCATGCAGATGGTACCTGGATCGGCCTGTCGCCTTTGCTGGCCACCTTCAACCTGATCCTCTTCCTGCCTTCATTCAACAAGATCCTGCCCTCTTTCACAGGCACGACAGCACCAGGCATCTTGTTGCCCTCGTACTCGCTCGGGTCCGGCAGAGGGAAGGCATCTTTGGAAGGCACCGGCAGGAAACTCCCGTAGAGGGCTTTGTCCAGATCGCCGTCATCCGAGCTGATTGGATGATGCACCGTCACGACGTACGTGCCGGTCTTGAATGTGCCTTCGACTTGGATTTCGGTCAAGGTTGAGACCACGGATGGTAGCACATGGCGGCGACCAAGCATCGTCTTTCCGATGGACATGAGGTCTGCCACAGAGTGGTTTCCATCGCGGATAAGCTGGTTCGAGGATTAGCGTACGGATCCAACTCAGCAGTGCCTTGACATCCTACCTCTTGCAAATTGTTGGCGACAAGTGCCTAGTTAGGTATGAAGGGATTAGTGAGTCGTTTGTTACAGCGGATAGGCGTCCATATCACATACGCAGGCTTCGGCATAATTCAACCTGACACCTCTCGCCAGCCTTCTCTGTGCTAGAAACCCCAGCTGCGAGGTTACAAGCTTATCGAGCTGTGCTGCATGGTCAATAGACTGTCTGCGTGTTGCCCACTCAAAGGAGAGAGTCTTCCTACCTCCTTGGGGACGAGAAGCATGGTGAAGTCTTGTCTGACCTGGATCTGAAGTTCGAACCCAGCCTCATTCCTCGGGGAGGGTTGATTCAAAGTAAGGATATGTACCGGCACACTCGCCAGCTGTTTATCTTTTTATCTGTCCCCAGCCCATACTATTATACTATTCGCTTATCAAACACGGGCGGGCAGTGAGTGGGTGCGGGGCAAAGGAAGACGCCGTAATAGCGGGCGGGCATGAGGAGCGTCCAAGGTATTGTCGCAGTGCATCAACACCAACTCCCAGAGCTGATTCGGCCGGAGTTGGAGGGGTAACTGCGAGAAGCAGCAGTATGTGTACGAGCATGCAATTACTACCTACGAGGCCTGGTTCTACTCTGTACAAAGTTCATGACCCGAGCATGCAGGGAGATGCCTCTGTCAGCGATTCCCGACGCTTTGAAGGTACATTAATGTAGATGCAGAGGAGAACAGGCCAAATTCAAGACCAAACCCTTCCATTTCATAGTACGCATTGGTGTCCAGGACACGCATCTCTCAGGACTAATACCAACTGGACCGGCAATCCGCGTTGATTCCTCTCAAAAATGGAATACCCCACGAGAACGCCTTCATTATGAACATGACAAACAAGAATCCCGATGAATGATTGTCCTTTGCAAAGTCCATGCCTTAGCCGAGACTGTATTGAACGTATTCATACTCGAAGCCAGACCACCTTTGACCTATTGTGCAACCTAGCTGCGACCCCTTACCTCTTAGCCTTTCTCGTCTTCTCGCTCTTAGCTGACGAGGCTGGAGCTACCGGGGCCTCCTTCTCCTTCTTACTCTTCTTGGTCTTCTTCTCTGGCGACTTGATCTCAGGCTTGGCCGGGGTGGGCTTGCTGGGAGTGGCATCCTTGGTCTTGCGGCGCTTAGACTTTGGTGGGCTAGGTTCCTTGACGGGTTCGGGGGACGGCTCTGGAGACGACTCGGCAGCAACAGGCTCCTCCTCCGTCTCTCCTTCTGCATCGAGACCGATGTGTTCTGGGGCCTTGCCTATATCGACGAGACGAGTAGCCTCTTCATCACTAGGGACCGGCTGTCCAGCCTTGTATGCTGCCATCTTGACACGATAGGCGGCCAAATTCTTCTGGTACTTGTCATCCCACACCTATGAATGGTCAGTAAGAAAGGCCAAATAGATCGAGGTGAGAAACGTACACTCTTCTCAGCAGGGCTCATCTCGGTCCATCTGCGAGTACCCTCGTCGGCGACTTCTTTTGGCTTAGCCTGGTCCCCCAACTCTTTGGCAATGGTGGCACGAGCACTTTGCATGTACAGAAAGTACGGGGTGAGAGCACGCTTTGGTGCATTCGGGTCATGGGGTGTCCTCTTGCGTTTCTTCTTCCCATCGGTTTCCGGTTCTGGTGCAGCCGGGGCAGCTTCGGCAGGTCGTGCAGCCAGAAGGCCAGAGTCGGTCAGGATGCTGGTAAGGTTGGCATCGATTGGGTTAAGGCCATGTTTGCCCGGTGTGAGCACCGTATTGGCATGCTGGATGTAGGCACGGGATAGGTCCTGAACTGAGGACTGGAGGGTCGCGAGGGCGACGATGACCTGGTCGTAAGAGTGAGCTATTGCTTCTGCATCATTTTGGGTATCCAACATGGTGTGGGCAAGACGTGTGAGATCAAGAGTGAGGATGCAGATGGCAACCAGGCTCGCTTCGTTACATTGTTTGATGAACTGAGCAAGATGTACGGGCAACCCTGCGTTCAGAGGGTGGGAAGGCATGTTTGGGCTCAGTAGTCATGGACGTGGAAGATGACGCGTTCTGTTGACGATAATGGGAGTGGGCTGCGGAGGGGGAATATTTTGATCATCGATGCGCAGGGCAGAGCCTCATCGCGGGGGTGGCAGTTGGGCATGGCAGATACGCGTGGAAGTTGAAGCAATAATCAAGGCATAGGGTCGAGAGAAGATCTTAGACATACCGAATCGCGGGTGCGTTGAAAGTCGGCGATGTTGACCTGAGTGGTCGCCGACTCGGGGTCGACAGTCTTCTTCGCCATTGCAGAATCGAGGCTGAGGACGCGGAGTCAGGTTGTCTCTATTAACCAGAGTTGGCGCGTGTACGAGTGGGTGATGTTTTGGTGGTGGTGAGGCCGGCTTTACCTGAGAGGTGCCTAGAGGGTGGAGGCTTAAGTTGGATGAGGGTGTGGGCGCGGCAATGGGAAGCTACCTGCGCTTGAGGAAGGAAATATCTTTGGGCGGAAGAGGCGGGAGTGGAAGAAGCAGAAGAGCAGATTTGGGGGGGGGGCTCGGTATAAGTGGGCGAGCGGGTGCCGGACGGGTGCTCCTAGATCAACCCGGAGCTTCAGGGCTAAAGTGCAGCTGCAGGATCTGATCAGACAGGCAACACCCCCCTCCCCTCCCAGGCTCTCTCACCTATTTCCACCCTCGCTGTGCTGCCTGGGCTGCCGCCTGTAACAGTGGTTTTTCGCTGCAGGCTCCACTGTAACTGCCGCGCTAGGGACGCCCATTAGATTTTAATTGGACTGCCCTCCTGCACACTTCCGGCTCTATTTGCCTGGGTTCCAAGCCCCCATCCCTCTACAGGGCCCCAAGCAATCACCGTCCTCCTCCCACTCCAGGCCTTGTTTACCAGACCGGCGCACAACCCTGCTCTTCTGCAGGCTAGCCCCGACCTAGGCTCTTTTTTTGTGCTTGAGGCGCGGAGCTCTGCCTGCCCTCAGCTGCCGAACGGGGGCCAGGATGGTGTGCACCCCAGGTATCCTGGAGCCAGTCAACGGCAGAGTTGACCTCTTCTGGGCCAGAACATGGCCTAATGTGTAGAGCATGCGCTTTCCCACCTACCTGAGGTCTGGCGGTCTGACAAGTGTACGAGACACAGTGCTAATCGCTAAATCATGCAGCCGTCAGGCATATTCAGTTTGTCAGAGGTACAGTACACACAGAGGACTTACTCTGCCCGTCAAGACAATTATCCTCCCGAATGGTGCGCCCCCAGCTACTATAAGCAGAAAGGAAATTACATACAATCTGAGGCTCGCCCGCGGGCGTCCGTCAGAAGAGGGGCTTCTTGCGCCCGTGGGCGCCAAAAGAAGGTCTAATCGGTGATGAGCACCTCTCAAAAACAGGCGGGAAGCTCGACCAAAGGGCTCCTGAAGCTAAGGAGGCATGCCCGATGATCAGTCAGACCACCCACGCACCCAAACCACCTGCTCGATAAGCAGCGCCCCACGACGCTGCTGCTGCATAAGCGCCTCTGGGAGGCGGCCCGCCTAACTCACATACGGTAACTAGCACTTTCTGTGTGTCAGACTGCCTTGAGTTCGATGGGTACTGGTGATGGTGACCTGGGCGGCTGGGCCTGCACGGGATAACCTGTCGATGTGGCGGGCGGCTCTACGGGACAAACCCGGCCTCGTCACTAGGAGTTGTTGAGGCCTGAGAAGCTTAGCTGCAGGCTGTCGTCGCGGCACTGCCCTTGAAACACTCCCCTCCCTGCGTTCCTTTGCGGCTCTATTCCGTCCAGCAACTGCCGCCCCCCCTGTTATTTTCATGGCTAGTTTTGCTTTGTTGGAGGGGAGCAGCAGTGCTCCCTTGACGATCAGGCATAATGCACTGTACAACTCCCTCTCAGGGTGCAATAGGGGCATCCCCTAATTATTAGAGGGCATACTGAATATCTCTACTTTTTCAACAGTATAGGTACTTTTCCTGTCCCCTGTCGATTCGTGAGCGCCAGTCTTGTTCTTCTCGCCGGCTATAGTACTGTAAGCTTGAGCCTCCTAAGCACTTTCAGTTTTTCTAGCCACTATAGGGACGCCTATTATTTAGGACTCGCTATTTTATCCTCGCTCCCTTCTCCCTTAAGACCATGCCCAACATCTAATTACTTACTGTTTAGCCCTTAGCCCCCCCGCTCCTCCTAACATGTCCCCGGTCATATCAACGCCTATAGATGAAGCTTCAGCCCTTAACAGTGCTACAGGGCAAATGACCACTTGTCTAGGCGCTAGGTACCTACCTACCTAGGTACCTAGGTACTGAAGGTGCCTGCTCACTCACTCTTCGCCCGCCTAGAAATTCTAGAAAGTATATACATTTTCGGCTTCCCAAAGTCCTTCCCAGCGCCTCCGAGGGTCACCACCCAAGCTCCTGGGCCTTAAGGCGCGTCTAGTATTTTCATTATCAACGCCCAACTACTAATACCTCGGTACCTACAGTAAGTCACTATGCCACATACAAATCCACTCCTATACGAATCCTATCCCTTCGCACATACCTAGCCGTCTGAACGAACAGCGGCAGACGGATTCACACAAATGGATCAAATCCCATCTTATCTCATAACCTCTGTTCGACAAGCTCTGAAGGCATCAAAGATTAACAACAATTCAATACCCTATACTTCGGTTGCACGTTCCGGGACGACCAGCCTTAAAACGCTCCCAACGACCAGCCTCAAAACGCTCCCAACGACCAGCCTCAAACCCCTCCCAACGCCTATAGCTAGGTAGCTAGGTACTGTACGTGGTAGGGTACATACGGCAGGCAGCCAAAGAGCCTAAGCCTTCTCTTGACCTCCTAGGAATTCACACCTATTGGTGTGTGTATACGTAAGGTATACACCGACTACGAGGGAGGGTAGGTTCAGCATTCCACAAGTCTACAGATACTAAAGTCTATAGTGGTTGCTGAAGAAGCCGCTCTAGTATCCTGTATGTACATAGCCTTATCGGACCGAGAGTTGCAGTGTCTTTCCGGATACCTGTCTTGTAGAGACGCTTCTAGGGATTATCATTGTCATAATAATAGATCGCCGTGGATTTGACGCCCACCCTACTGGGGTACAGCTAAACCTTCGGGCGGCTCAACAGCCTTAGGCTTAGGAGGCCCTACTGTACAGTAAGTCCGTCACGGAAAGCTCCTTAGGCTGACAAGGCTGTCCGGGGGCCTTGGCCTTAAGACTTAAGCAGTCAAGGTGGTACAGCTATGATTTTGTATCCGTACTCCGTACACCGTGCTATTGTTTGCACATTAGGTACCTAGGTCCTACGGATCTATGGATATCAGGATCAAGCATCCCTTTCCTCGGTTGAGCGTCGCTTCAATCCTAATGCAGCAGCCCTCTACTCGCCACCAAGACCAGTAGTATTAGTGATCTTTCCAAGGCTAGAACAGAGGCAGATCGTGCCATAGAAGCAACAAACTCAATACTGTATATGCTCCTACGGCGACACTACCCTATCAGAGGAAATTAGTTGAGTCTTGATGTTTCGAATATAATGTCTATTTTCTCTGGCTTATCAGAGTCAGATCTAGCTCTCTTCTCTTTGCACAGCTAAGATGTACAGGGGTACAAAACTTCCAAAGCGCTCTGCTTTTCTCTAGATACTTGATCCGAAATGCAAGAGAGGCGGATCGTTCTAGGTCTCGTGTAGTTGTACAAAGACAGAAATGCGGGCCCGCAGCTCTTGAGATTCCTTTTCAGCTTCATCTTGGGCAGGAAGTGCGGACTCTGCATGTGTCTTGAGGTCTGATGATCTAGAATTTGTACACCTGATCCTTGGTGTAGCCCAACTCTTTGAGAATGCCGCTCAGCTCACCCTGGTCTTGTGGGCTGGTCTTGTTGCCGCTGATGGCCTTGTACAGACCCGGAGGGCCACAGACGAAGATCTTGATGTTGCTGCTCTTCGGGTCCGGAACGATTGTCTTCAAGAGTTCCTTGGAGATGAACCCTTTGCCGTACGGCCAGCTAGACGGGGGTTGGTCCAAGACGTAGAAGGCGCGGAATCGCTGAGGGAACTCCTTCTCAATATCCTCCAGCTCTTTCTTAAGCAGGATATCCTCCTCCGTGATGTTGCCGTAGACCAGAGACACCTTGGTCTTATCCTCGGGGTTTTTGAAGATCGCCCGGATCAACTGATACATGGGCGTGATACCTGTGCCACCGGCGATCAGGGTGATGTGTTCATGCTTGTTCGGCGACCAGGGATATTTCGGGATCGGGCCCTTGAAGGAGAGCCTCTGGCCAGGGACCATCGAGTCCAAGTGGCTCGACAACGCTCCGTTCGGGTAGACTTTGACCAGCAGCTCGAGGTAACCTTTGACATCTACTCTTACGTCAGTTATCTGCTGCCATAAGATGTGGCTGTTGGAAGCATTACCTTCATCGTTGATCGGCGTGTACGGCCGAATGACCGGTTTGTCAGCATTCGGCGGTTGGTATTTCGTGATGACGGCAGCTGTTTCGTGCCACTGGGTTAGACAATGTTCTTCGACTGCAGTTTCACCTTCCGACGGTAGTCCGCAACTCACAAGCAACGCTCAGCCCGGAGACCTGGTCCTGTTCGGGCAGTTCAAACTTGAATCTCTTGGTGTTGTGGTTGTACAGGATGACCTCGGCGAGTTTGAGGTCGACGAATCCCTGGTCCCCTCCAGTGAAGGCCTTGGACGTCTCCCCGACTTTCTGGGCTCCGTACTTCGCGTCATCGGACGGCTTGGGAGCGTCGGCTGAGACCTTGTTGTTGCCCAGCAGAGTGTAGCCGGCAATGCCTGCGCCGACGGCTGCGGCGCCGACAATCCAAGGCGTGGAGGAGGATTTGTTAGGTGCTTCGGTTGAATAGCTCCGGATGCTCTATACACAGAGGAGAGATCAGTATATTGGCGCTGGATGAGCGAAGCAATGGCGAAAGAATGGAGGGCCGCCCGCCATGGAGTGACTCGCAAGGCTAACCAGGTCGGACAGGGAATAGCTAGGGTGTAGCATACCTGGCGAAGAGGTCCTGCAGACCTCAACATTGATCGGGCAAACATCTTGACGGAGTGTGTCGAGGGTGCGATCGGAGAGATTGGGGAGAGAGGACGGAGACAATTGCCCTGAGGTGTGAGATGGCGTAGGTCAGGTAGGTAAGGTATTTAATTCGCGGCGATGGCGTCAGTTGGTGTTTCGGTCGAAGCTCCAGCAGCGCCCGAGAACGTCAATGGAGCTCGACGATCTACATAGGAAAACTCGTACTACGACGTACTACAGCCACGGACCTGCTCCGCGCTGACGTCGGTGCCATTGGCATCTAACACCCAGCCTGATTTGACCGCAAGCAGTGCTGGAGTGTTGGACAAGGCTTCTCATTACGGGTGGTCGTGGGCTCGCTCTTCCTCCTCAGCCCATTCAGTCAGTTGTATCTCTTGATTATACTGGCACCTAGGTGTACCTATACCTATACGGATTATTCCATACTATAACTCGATTTCTTCTTCCTCGTGCCCACGACGCCCAACACTTCTCAGGCACAGATCGTCCCATTGACTGCTGTCGTTTCTAAGTAGACAGTGCCTTGCAGCTTGATACGCCTCCATTCTCGCGTACCTTCTCAATTGCTCTTGATCACCAGGGGCCTCGCCGCAATCAGAACCCTGCGACGGCGAATCATTAGATGACTTCATTGCCGACTTCCTGACAGGTATGACCAATCGCTCTCCGGGGATGCTGTCAAACATCGAAAGAGACTCGCAGTCATCATCCGAGCCATCATCCAAGGTGATTTGTATCCTGCCACCATCGCTGTCCTCAGACGCTTCCACTTGAGCATGACCGACTATGTCTCCGCTCGAAGAGAGACTCCCCTTCGTTGTGTTGACTCCTGGTCCATCAATGTTTGTTTGAGAACTTTCATCGACTGCCACTTGCTGGTGGTCCTCCTGAGTTTCGGTCTCTTGAGTTTCTTCATCTCCTCGTTTTCTTTTTCGACCTCTAATCGAACTTAAGCTTTCCCGTTCTCTCCATTCCTCCACTTGCTGTCTAGTCTCCTCATCGTAGTAGAACGTCTTTTCCACACAGAGATCACCAAAAAGAGCCTCCATGCTGAGATCTTCACACCAAGATTCCAGATCCACTGTACAAGGACAGATATCTTTCGGTCTGAACACTCCAATGAGGTGGCGCAGTTCATGATAAGAGGAATGACGAGAGTACGGAAAATGGATGGTATCGCCAGCATCTCTTTGTCTACCCCGAGGCACTGACTGTCCTCTCGAAGCATGCATAGATGGGTGGAACTTAGACAGGAGTGCTAAAAAATCTCTCAGGGTCAAGGGTTTCTCGCCTGAGTGTAAGTCTTCAACCCCCTCCAATGTCATGCTGAAGCGTTGGAGTCTGTGGGCTCTTGTGACTTCGTCCTTGAGCATAGTAGTCACTGCTTCATCGTCCGTAAGCTCGGCGCAAGTTGCAGCAAGCTGCTGGATTGATGTCAAGTCGTCTAGTCTCAAGTCGGAAGATTGGTAAAGATCGCCTCCTCCTCCGCCTGCCCCGATCTCTCTAAGTTCGGTTCCGTCTTCGAGTCTAGATATGATGGGTGTAATCCACTTAATATTCTTCAATCCTTTGATGCTCGAATGGCATTTTGTCCCAGGCTCGCAACTGTGGATCCTGACATTACTCTCAGCAGTCAGGCAACCTGAAAGTTTGTGGTTTCCCACTGTAAACCCTGTAAGAGATGCGCCTTCGTTGTGGTATGAGTCTCCTCCGACTTCGTCGCCAGGTCGGAATATTCGAAACTGGTAGTCATCCACGTGGATTCGAGACTTGCACAAATTGGACAAGGCAATCCAGACGTCTTCGTAGCCCAAAGTCCATGCTCTGAAGTAAAAGATCGTGTCCGCAGGGCATTGGCGAACCTTTTCAAGAAGCTCTTTTAACCCTTCTGCTTTCGTGGGGAACTCCCTATATGGCTCATCATGGGATGCGAATGTAGTATCAAGATATATGCAATCAAGCGTTTTCAGCCCGCAAGCATATGGCAATATTACGGGGTTTTGCACAATCGAATTCACCCACCATGGTTCAGCCCTGATATCACCTGTATAGACTATCGCCTTTCCGTCCCCTTCTATCAAGAACATAACAGCTCCTGGGCAATGATTGGCATCCAGCAAGGTGACTCTGATTGTAGATTTTGGGCCCAATTCAAGCTCGGTACTTGCGTGAAGGGGGAGCGGTCGCAACACCGTCTTCAGGTGACGATAATGTTGCTTACGAGACTCAAGTATACCCTTCGCAAAGTTGATGCGATGTGGATATTTCTCTAGCTTGAGGAGGATTCGCCGCGTCGTGGCTGAGCAGTAGACGAACGGCATCTTGACCGATTCCAAGCCCAGTAAATGGTCACTATGGACATGACTGAGGAAGTACGCTGCCGGAGGAGGTTTGCCCGGATGCGTGCGAAAAAAGTCAATCCTAATATTGGGAAACTCCTTGACAATTCCGTTGAAGGTCGACATGATGCCAGGTGTCGAGCTACGCCCGCAGAGGGGACTGTATTGTTTTTGCACGAATCTGCGTTGGCTCACAAGGCTGGAAGACTTGCCCCCATCTACCTTCGTTCAAGGAAAGGTGTCCCCAATGCGGGAGCGGCGACTGGGGAAGTGCAGCCAGTCCCGAGGCCTAAGCCACCGACAGAAGCTGCTTGGACTAGCCAACAAAGGCCACGACTTGCAGGGACGGTTCAGGGGACTTATATGGGGACGTCGGATCGGAACTGCTGGCAGAGAGGATTGGCAGAAGGCGGGCCAGCGCAGAGTTTGGGTGCATTGGCCGGCTATTCACGATTTGTCCATCCATTGATTGGCTTTCGTAGATGGGTCGCGAAAGGCCATGCACAACCGCCTGGGCCACTTGACCAGACGAAGGGATTGTATGGTTGAGAATGCAAAGTCTGCCGGATGCCAATTGTTGTTGCTGATGTGGCCCGCTTGATTTGGAAGAGGGGGAAATCAAGGGAAGGCAAATACAAAAGCAAGATAAGAGGCGATTGAAAGACTTTCGACCTCTTCCGCCCCGATCAGCATATAACTCTCTCTTTCAAACCTTTCGTGCTTGCTTCTGTGTCCGTCCCACTTGACGCTCGATTCGGGGGATAGACTCTCAGTTTGGGTGTCAAAAGCTAAATCAGTGGCCGGCGGCGCAGTCAGTACCTGAGCTAAAACAGCATCCCTGCGCTGCGGCCGCCAGACTTCAATTCAATACTACGGTGATCGAGCTCGCTCGAATTCAGACTACGGCTCGCCTATCCATAAAGTTGCTAAGCCGTCACTGCCGGTGCCTTCAGATCCATCTAGCTCACCTCGAACCGCCCTCTCCTTCTCGTTCCTCGGGCTGCGTACTCTTCCTGCTCCATGCCTCCTTCCCCTGCGCCCAACCCGTCCTGAATGCTTTGAGGGCCAGACACTCGAAGAGCCATTGACTTATTAGATCCCCAAACCCACCGTCTCTCCACGACGACCTGCTCATCGCCTCGTTTCCTTCCTGCACCCCCCGACCAGAACTACCACAGAAGGGGCTGAACCCTAGGTACAACCGACAAGTTAGGAGCCAAGACATCATGCGGAAGCCCTGCATTGCAGATCTGATATACCAGAAAACATTCCCTAAACCAAAACAATCGGATCCAGCCTCTTTCTATATTCATGTGCACCGCCATATTGTAGGAGAAATCCGGGCGGAGGTCCAGACGTTCTATGGGGCGATCGATACGTTGGAAGCGCAATATCCCGGGCTCGACTACACCTACCCTCCGCATCGTCGTCGTCTGTCCCGATATACATGGCATAGAAGGCTCTTCCGTGTGTTTGACGAGCTTGGACTGACCAATGGAGAGATCTTGAGCCTTTGCAAATGGGAGGGTACGCGAGCGGCCAAGGAGAGATACGAAGAGGAGGCAGAAACAGAAGTCAGGACAACCACCGGCAATGATGTCGTGGCAATACCCGTAGGGTCTGGGCCAAGAGCGGTATTTGAGGATTTGTCGAGGTCAGATTCTGATGACCAATCTGAGACGGTTGCTGCAGAAGCAGAGCAAGAAGACTCTGACCCGTTCAAGGTCGGACAGCAACTTGTAGACAGCCGCTCACCAGATCCAGCGAACGAGATTTTTGAGGTCCTGCGTGATGTTATGCTCTCACGGCTACAAGGGGAGTCATTAGCGACCAACCAAGCCTTGGAACAATGGCTCAAAGAGGCGCTAGAAAGGCATGAAATGGACATGGAATCCGCCATGAGGGTTATCCAAAGCCTGGAAACTGGACATACAAGAACGAGTATGGAGGACAACACAAATGAACCGGTCCATTCTGAACAAGAACAAGCACCTCCCCAACCGCCTACATTTATCGGCCCGCCAGTTCAGACATCTAGTATCTATGATGAACAAATTATGAACGACCACTCGGTACAAACCAACAGTACACGACTGGCCTCAGACTCAGGCACTATGGATTTATATTTTCCACGGACACGGCCGGAAATTGCAAGATAGGCAGACCATGCAAGACGATCACAGAGCAAGACATTATCGCTTCAGGCCTTTGTCACGGTTGGGCGCTCTGAGGAGTTCTGGAGACATGGGATGCCGAGGTTTGGCATCTGGATCCTTTTTGTTTTTTAAATAAAAGCATGACTATTTGCTTCGTTTGAGTTCTGGATGGCATGGAGCACGGCATACTTTACTAGCAAGGCGTTGATGGGGTCTGGGAGGCGACATACAAGCAGGGCAAAGGCATATTTTGCGGACACCGACACGTGCAATTTGATATTGGCTGCTGATGGATGGAACTGCGCTGGACCGGTCAGAAAGGAAAGACTAACACACATTCTGACGAGCACAGTCTGCTAGTCTGATTCGCCTTTCCGATGCAGGAGAGCATCAAGTACATCCAGCCAGAGAAACAGGCTATTTTGATTTTGATTTTTTTGATTTTTTTGATTTCTCGGAAAATCTTCTCACCCCTTCTTGTTCTTGCTAGACATAGACAGTACCACCCCCCCTGTGTTTTCCCTCCCGCTCCCGCTCGATCAAATGCGTCCTCTCCGGCCTTAGTGTAGCCCAGCGCATTAATTCTCTCCTTCTTTCAGTGAGGGTCTTCAGCCGGCCGTATTCTTCTTCACCACGCCGCGCGCAAACTCCCCAAAGGTCAGTCCTGTCTCGGCATCGACCAGCTCGTGAAGATTCGGCTGTGTGAAGACGGCCAAAGTGTTTCTAGCAATCTTGCTCTTGATCCTGCTCTGGCTCTTGCTCGGGTCCACGCCTTTGACGAAATGCGGCACCGCCTTGAACTGGCCCCGCGTGATCAACTCCAGAGCCTCGCCGGTCTGGAAGGCCAGGCAGTCGCGCGGGATACTTACTTTGCAGATCTGCCCTGTGCGGGAGAGGACGTAGAGTCCCGAGGAGGGGTCGGGGGATGAAGGGAGCTCTGTGAGAGGAGATGGTTGAGCCAGGTCTGCTGTTCGTTCTGGTTCTTCTTCTGCTGCTGCTTCGACATTTGGTTCTTCTTCTTCTGCTGCTTCTTGCGACACCGAGCCCGCTGCCACCGCCCCTTCATCGACAAACATGGCCGACGTCAAGCCCGTCAAGCACCCGTGGTCCAAGTGCGTGGTACACCATGTATCAGCGATCTCGTCGTTGCCTTCCCCTTCTTCCGCAGCGGGTTCAGCAAGACCAGCCTCGACATCGTTGTTGTTGTTGTTCTTGATCCTGTTGTTGTTGCTGCTGCTGCTGCTGTTGTTGTTGCTGTTGTTGCTGCTGTTGGTATTGTTAGGCCGCTGCTCCGGTTCATTTATTTTTGTCCGTGTAATAGGTTCATGATTCCGATTCCGATCTTCCGTCCCATTCTGATCACTAGAGTCAATCGGGAAATAATGTAACAGTCGAGCTTTGGTGGTCGTGCTCCCGCGCACAACTCTCTCCAGATATCCGTCCTGGTAGCCCGGGATGGCCTGGGCGGCGGCGAACCGATCACACGCCCGCGCCACCAGCACGGCCGTGTCGATGATGAGCGTGATCAGGGCTTCGACGTCGGCCTGGAAACGAGGCAGGTCGCTTTCTTCCGGCCACATGTTGGGCGAAGTATACTCTTCGAAGCCTGGAGGAGAAGAGAGTTGGCCGGTGGTGGGCTGGTTCTGGTTCTGGTTCTTGTCCTGGTTCTGGTCCTGGTTCTTATTGCGATCCTGATAAAACGCACAATTGACATAATAACTCCCCTTGGCCGTGTCGACCACCCCGGGCCTCAGCGTCTCCACGCCATGCGACCAGCCGACCAAATACTTCGCGGCCGGATTCGTCAACTGCTGCAGTTTCTCCCGCGGCAGTGCCGCCAGCCGCGACGCGTCCGAAAGCACTTTGCTGCGCAGCCGCGCAAACTCGCCCGGCAGGTCCGTGACTACGAGGATCCCCAGGCTGTCCGGGCCGAACGCTGCCAGAAGCGTCGAGAAGGGGACGGTGTCGCGGCGCAGGTCATGAAGGGAGACCGTAATGGGCGACGCGTGGGTGAATTTGGGTGGTGGTGGTGGTGCCATTTGATTTCCGTTTCTGTTTCTGTTTCCGTCGGTCGTAGCAATAGCAGTATCCGTACGGAGTGCTCCGTACAGAGTCCAGTGAACAGCAGTATCCGTACGGAGCACAGAGTCCAGTCAACAGCAATATAGGTAGGGAGGTCCCCAGTATAGGGAAGAGGGGGAATTAGATAGCCAGGAGGACCAATCTCTAGAGGTGGAGGTACAGATACAATAGATACAAAGTACTCGTACGCCGTACAGGACTCAGGAATGACACAGGTGTGATACAGAACGGTTAGAAAATGGGTTTGCTTTTTCGCCTGGCTGCCGTGTCCTTGTCACCTCCAATAGTCAAGCCCAGCTGTCACTGCGTGCAGAGGTGGAATGAATGAATAAATGAACGAATAAATACTGCGTGCATGGCTCATAGTTGAATTCATTTTCGCAGAAGGCCGAATGCAACGTTGCCTGCCCTGGTTATCAGAGTGTCACCACTCGCCACTCACCACTCACTCCACAACGCTTTAGCCACCGTTTCCCCTTATCAAAGAGAGGGGATGGCCTCAGCCCAGGCCTACGTACTCCGTATAGTATCTGTACATAACTACATACCTACATAAATACTCTGCGGAGAAGCAGTCGCATCGCAGTTCGTCGGCCTCGTCCGACCCTCCTGATATACTTGATATACTAGTAGTAGACAAGAGGCTGCCGCTGGTGCAGTAGTTGTGGATTATCGGGGCTACCCGCCCTGGTATGGCCAACTACCAGTCTTTTCCCATCAGATGTCCGTCCGTGTTCCTCACGACTCCAAGAAAAACAACACCCCTATGCCCCCGTTGATGGTCGCTAGGAAATTCTCTCCTCAATACCCTTCGATCCCGGGGAAGTGAATCAACGGTCTTGCCACGGACATGAGTTGGGTCTTCTATCCCCTCAATCCAAATGCTTCGAGGAGTTTGGGAAGGTATGGAGTCCCGAATCCAGTGACTGCATCCCAACCTGGAGCGGCAGGAAAGCCTGTGGTGTTGCATCCTGCTGAACTACCGTTCGTCACATCTGTGAATAGCCTGTGTCCGTGAGAATAGAGCCAGGGATTGATGAAGCCCATCGGGGGTCGGCCCTCAGCGATCAAGGCATCGTTCAACAGACTAAAAACAGAGGCGCAGATGGGTGAAGATCCAGATGTACCGACATCACGCGCAGTAGTGCCGTTCCAGATCGCGGAGAATATTTGTCCGATGCATGAGACGTCGGGATAAGCACGGCCTGGGACAAGCAAAGAAGGAACGTTAGCCTGCCCATCTATTTGTTGAGTACCTACCTGGGTGTAAGTTTGACAAAGCTTACCTGATTTGTTGTAGAACCCGTCGTAGAGTCCACCAAGGCTTTCGGCGTAGCTGTCCACCACCTTGGCTTGATATGCAGGTTGGTCGAAATAGTTGCTGAAACCGGCTCCACTGGCGAAATACGTCGAGTCCGCAGACTCCGGGTAGTTTCTGGTGCCGCCTACAGTCGTCACATAAGGGCAGTCCTGTGGGAACGCCGGGATGAACATATACGTCGAGTTGTCCACGTTGGAGTAACATGTGCCGTCCTGACCCACGCCGGAGTCGCCGCTGGCGAAGAACAAGCTGACGCCTCGGGCCCCAAGTTGGGCGAACTGGTTGCAGACCGCTTGGGCATAGGATCGACTGACTGTCTGCTCGTCATCCCCATATGAAGTGGAGATCACTTGTGGGATATCCTCGTCCGGTAAGCCGGTCATGTAAGTCGCCCAGACCAGATATGGTTCGTTGCTGTTGTCGCTTTCCAGAAGGTCGGGCGTAAAGGTAGGGTTACGGCCGCCTGTATGGTATGCGACCAAAGGGGTAGGATACCCTATGCCAATCATGTATTCGGCATCCAGGTTTGCTTCTTGATCAAGTCCCTCAGCCGCGACATTTGTGCCGTTGTCAAGCAAGCCGCCTGCAATAGAAATGGCCTCGAATTCATATGCATACGCTTCCGCCTCCGGTCGATACTTGCTTAAAAATATGCTGATGTCGGAACGATTGCTCGCCTCGTCCAGATAGTTTATATGGGCCATCTTGTTCTTTCCAGCAGCTTTGACCTCGTAATTTACCGTGCCATATAATGTCCTCAGGCAGTCCGGAGTGACCGCATCGAAATTGCACACGGTTTCCACTGTGGCATTGGACAGTACGGGGAGAAACTCGGGCGGAGTCCAATCATCAGCGACTTTCAAGACGTGAGAATAGCGTCTCTCAACCTCGTGTCGTTTCTGTTGTCGCTGGAGTCTGGCCCATGAGTTGGTAGGCTGGATGGTACTGATGTGCTCATGAACGTAGAGAGGAAGCGAATACCCTTCTGTACGAACCAGAACAGCTCCGTCGTGGTGCTTGTAGACCGAGTACTCGGTATCCAGCATTTCTTCCACCGCAGAGACGGGTAACGTCACGGAGATCCAATCCTTGGCCGGACTGTATCTCAGCTTGTCTACGTCAACTCCATGGCCTTGCAGCCATTCATGGACGGCAACAGAGGCCTCTTCTGGGGGCTTGATTAACTCATGGACTTCCTCAGCCGACAAATGTTGCCCGTGTCGGGCGTGGAATGGGTCAGACACTGTTACTGTCGATTAGTGCTATTTGAGGATGCCCCTTCATATCGTGGATCGTACCTTCATACAAATGCCGTTCAAGCTCACTGAAGCGACCCTGGGATAGTCCAATCGTGAGATGGATCAAATGAGTGCTTGGGGCACGCCCTTGTTTCATCCAGCCTCGTGGGGCCGGGTGATAGTCTTTGACAGACAGATCCGACAGGCGGATGATTGGTCCAGCCGCAACGAGGGAAGCTTGGAAGCAGCTCAACAGAGACAGAGCAGTTGTAAGCATGGCGCAGGGTTGGAGCATGATCTTGACACTGGAGCAGAGACTAACAGGAACCAGGGAACGCTTGTATTGGGAAGATGACACCGGGCACTCTCACCTCTAATATTCGAACTCGACACTACTAGCAGCCATGTGTATTCTTCGTTCTCTTGAGCCAGCTGACCCGAGCACTTCTGACCTACTTGCACTGGTGGACGAAACTCCGCTCTTTGCCGGGTGCTGAACCATTGTCTCAGGCATGCGCGAAGATGGTCTGGGGGTAATGATGGAGAGGAGGCTCCTGAGGCGCCGTGCGTACGCCATAGAATTATTGAAGCTGGCTTCTAGTAGTAGTCCGCTGCTCGGTTGAGGAAGAGAGAGGTACTAGTGGGCGCCGAAGACGCTGGTGTGCCAGGTGGTCTGGAGGAGAAGGGAAGCTCGGTACTGCAGGCGATCGGTGCTGCGGATGGGCAGCCTGGACGGTAGAAATCTGGAGTAGTACAGTACAATAATAGTCTGTACCGTAATTACTGCAGACTAATCCGTGGTGCTAGGCCGGTGTAGGCGTTAAGCTAACAAAAGGCATGTGAGTGAGTGCGATCTGAGCAGAGGATGGCCTGTAAGTTGTTTCTAACGTGTACGGAGTACATGTAGGGCTTAGAGGCCGTAGTATGGTAACATCAGGTAGGTAGGTCATATGTACAGTCATAAATACATAGCTTCGCTCTCGAACTTCGGTCGCTCCTAAGGCTCTCCTTGACATACGCTTATATGCGTACGTGAATTAATAGCAGATTGATTGGTTTATTGCTGGAATAGATGCCTTTGACCACTATTACAATTTGCTAAAACGCGATAGTGTCTGGGAGAATCGGACGATGAAGATGTTGTGGCCACCAACCTGTTCGGTATTATGGATATCCTTAGATTCTAAAATGTCATGTCTCGAGATCTACACGCGTGTCTCTCTTCGCTCTGTTTAGTCTCGCCCTGTTTAGTCTCGCCCTGTTTAGTCAAGCCTTGCCCCGTCCTAACTTGTACTCCTCTCGACCGTCACCCTGGCCCTGAGAACCCGATGTATCTTCGTGTTTTCGCGCCGGCATTCTCAAAGACTGGCCTTGCCCTGACTCTCAAACGGTAAGACTACCACTGCTAGGCCCGCGGCAATGAACAGCGCGCCGCTGGTATATACCGGCGCGGTGGTTTTCAGGTTGGCAAACATGGCGATGATAGGGGCCATGATGCCAAACACTCGGTTGGCAGTGGCGGTGAGGGCGTTCCCCGTGCCGCGGTCCTTGGTGAAGAAGCATTCCGGTGTGTAGCCGTAGAGCACAGCGTACATGATGTTGGAGGTGAAGCTGAAGGCGCAGTTCCAGCCGAGCAAGGAGTTCGAGGTCGTGGCGGTGGTGGAGCAGTACAAAAAGACACCAGTCAGGATGGTCGACACACACAAGGAGCCGCGGCGGCCGAAACGGCGGATTTCCACCATCGCGCCGCCCAGCAGAGCGCCAGGGATCCCTAGCACCGCGATAATAACTTGGTTGCGGTAGGTGATGTACGTGCTGCCGTCCCCGAATTGCGCGCCTTTGATTGCTTGAAGGTACGGGATGAAAGCGTTGTAGAGGGCTGCACAAAAGCAAGTGAGACTGGGATCAGTACACTGGGGATAGGAAGACGAAGATCAAACAAGGATAGGAATGTCACGTACGATATCCCAGTCCAATGAACGCCCATACGACCATGATCAGCGATGTGCTCAAGGCCAGTTTCTTGGTTGCAAACAGCGCTCGGACATGCGTGAGGTTGATCTTCTCCAGGCGGCGCTTCAGCTGTGCCGCGGCGCTGGTCTGTTGATGGCCAGCAACACCTCCCTCGGCGAGTATCTCACAGGCCTTGAGGTCCTCGATGGTCAAGGACGACGTCTTGCCATTTCGGCGTGCCACCTCATGCACGATGCGCACAGCCTCGTCGTCGCGGCCTTTGCCCATGTGGAACTTGGGGCTCTCGTAGATGGTGAAGAGCACAAAGCGGATGAAGAACATAATCATGGCAATGCCGCCCATCGTGATCAGGAAGTACCGCCAGCCCATGTTCTTGGAGCGCGTGCAGGTCTCTCCTTCCTGACATGTCAAGTTGCCCAGCAAGGGCCAGGCGATGAGTGTGGCGACGAGTTGAGCAAAGGCCCAGTCGACGGACAGGACAGTAAGCAAATATTGATGACTCCCAGGCAAGAACTCAAGAAAGATGGCCGAATCAACGGGTAGGTTGCCCCCGACTCCAAAGGACCATAGCGCAGCGAAACACCCGATGCCCGCAAAGTTGGGGGAGCTGGCGGCGATCAGGCCGAACACACTGGTCACGCCCAGGGTCAAATTGAATGCCCATCGACGGCCGAAAATGTCGCATCCAAAGCCCCAGAAGATGGCACCGGCAAGAAGGCCAATGTTTTGGCTCAGCGTCAGCAGCGGAGGCCGCGAGGGATTGAATTCGTTGGCGACAGGGGTGAAGATCAAAGAGGTCACAATCGGCCACAAGTTGTCGCTCGCCCAGCCAAAGCCGACCACAATAAACAGCTGCCACTGATACCATCCCATGCCGATGTCCTGGATCGCGCGGTTTAGCACTCTGGCTTTGGCCTCGTACACCGGGTCCGTCGACCCCTTCGGGATGGCGCTGTCGTCATCGTATCCCACGGCGACTTCGCTGCCCAGGCGATTGCGGTAGTCATTCAAGTTGTCCTTTCGATCAATCACTTGCTTGTCATCCGCCATGGTGCGAGCTCGAGAAGGGTGCCCGTCGGAGTGATGGAAGATCGAAAACCGAACGAGGGGAGAAGAACAGGTGCGGTGGAGTTGACCCAAGCAGAGTTGGACAAAGGTATATATGTAACCGCACCCATGCTTGACAACCGGGTGGTACTCGTACAGTCACATACGTAGACATACGTAGTGTGCAGATCGAGGTCTATTCGAGGCCCTAGCCGATCGAAGTTGCTTTTTGCTTTTCCCGTGGAGAGTCGAGAGAATTGACTGGCAAGATATTGCACCATCGCGCCAGGCCTAAGGCCCCCCGGCTGCGCGACAGGGTTGGACAACACGATTGGTGATGGCACCTAGATGGTGCGTTGGACGGTACGTGCATCAGGCTGGGGGTGGAGGTTGCAGATCACTGTCTCGGGTGTCTTTGGGCGTGTGGCGGGGGCCAAGGAGGCGATGGCATCCCGCACTCCATGTTTGATCGCTTACCTTCTCCAGATGCAGTCAAAGCTGGTAGAGCCTAGCAGTACGTACTCCGTAATGGTTGCAAGGCGCAGCTGTGTGATGTAACAGCAACAGCAAAGCCCACAACGACATGTGAAGACGCCCCTTAGCCCCTAAGCCTACCCCCCAAGGGCCCTTAGGCTCATCGAGGGACACTATCGATATTCTGCACCGGATCACCACTGCTGTTCCTTGGAACTCTTGGAACTCTGGTAATGCCATCAACCTTGTCTCCCAACGCCATTTCGACTGCGGACAAGTGCGTCGCTGCTCATCTCTGGTGGGCGCGGCGGACGTTGGCAAAATCCGCCTACTGACTGGCATGCAGGCAAACTCCTGTCTAGGATCGGACCTCGACAGAACATCCCATCTCGTTAATCGCTGATCTAGTGCCCGGTTCCTCAGCTGTTGGTGTCCAAACACATCAGGGCAGATGCGTGATATCCCTGCTCTGGCGAGACGTCTGAGATTCTGTGACAATGGCCATGTCGTTGCAAAATGAAACCCCCTTTCGTACCTAGGTCGGCGGGATATGTCGTCTTCGTATTTGCCAAACAAATTGCATCATGTTTTAGTTGCAAGTATTGCCTCTCTACAATATCTCCCTACTCTCGAGGTTTTACGAGCACAAAATGGAAAAACAGAGCTGCAGCAGCGCAACTAGACTTTTCGACATTTTCTCTCTCTTCTTCCACGGTTTCGAGGTGTTTTGCTGACTGAAGGGATCCACGACGCTAGACGTGGGAACGTAGGTACGCAAGTGCAAGTGCGTAGCTTGAGTGATGGAAATATTGGCCATGTGGCATGCAATATGTGAAATCAGCTTGAGTTTTCGACCTTGGCATAGACCGCGGCTTGTCGTGAGGACGACCCTTTGATCATTGTCATTGTCTGCCCCATTGTGCCTGTAGGAGCTCTGGAAAAGCTCTCAAACTAGGAATAGGACTTGAGCGACAACATGACTATCTGGCATTTCAAGATCTGCATGGTTCATCTCAAGATGTCTATGCGGGGACGGTCGCCGTTCCTCATCCACTAATCTGTGGAGTGTAAAATACACCTCAAGTTCTGCTTCAAGTTGCGCGACGCGTGCTGCGACGCGTTGACCTCTTTACCAGCCTTGGCGGGGCGACTTAGTCGTAGTCGTAGGACTCGTACTTGGTACTGTACAGAGTAGTTCCACCACCAGAGTATGGACTACGGACTACCTCGTAGGTGCTTCGTACTGGCACAGACATCGCATTCGACCCCCATGGTCCTTTGCACGATATAAGACTTGTTTCCATCTAGTCCAGACATGGACAATGCCTCCCCCGGAAAAGGTATTGCTCATCTACGTCTCTCTGGCATGTTGGGACCTGTATTGACGGGTTGCAGACTCCCGCACCCGCCAGACGTTTCCTTCCACCACCCTCCACTGGTGTCAAACCCTCCCTCCAGGCCTCGAATCAAAGGCCCTCTTTTCAGACATCGTATCCGACCCAGCCAGGCTTGGTGTCTCCCTTCGGCGCAACACCGCGCTTTCATCGCTCGGTTCGTAGAGAAAGAGATGACATCCAGACAAACTTGGACGATGAAGTCGACACCCCCGTCTTGCCCAAGGTCCGCGTTGCCAATCGTTCGGTAGATACCATCGAGGTTGAGGATGACGAGCCTGAAAGAAGTTCACCTTTGCAGTATCGGGATAGGTTATTTACACCGGTGACCAAAAGACGCAAGACCTCACATCTTAGCACTGAGCGAGCCGGGACAATCACCATTTCCTCCTCGCCAGAGTCGAATGAGGCTGATGATACAGTACCATATGATGATTCAGACTTATCTGCCTCAGGATCAGACTTAAATGACATGGACAACGTCGCCTTGAACACGCCTGACACGAAGGAGTCATACAAGATGGCTCGATTCAGAGCCACAACCTCGGGATTAGTTGACTCAACACCCTTAGCTAGGACCGTCTTCAAGTTTATTGCAGAGGACGCCCAGCATGCTTCTGCCGGGAGTGGGCCACTACTACCGGATATCTTTTCTCCATCTCGACGGAAAGGCAAGCGCGACTATGTCGCTGGCAGTAGTGCAGACCTCGTGCGGAGTTGGATCCTCAATATCTCTGCGGAGGAAAAACAAGCGGCTTCGATCCCCGACATGACCATTGTTGTTCAAAACGTGATGAAGGACAGCAGCGGTCGTTTCGTTGTTGTTGTGGACGAGGATGGTTCGCAATGGCTGCTCCCGGCACAACATCAAAAGGAATCCGCTGGTCGCAAGACGACCTGGGCTGAGCTGGGTCTAGGCACACGTATCCTTCTCAAAGGCCAATCTACGAGATGGTCTCTTCGTCTGGAATCAGCCTCCAAAGACCTCAGTGTTGCTGCGTACTGGGAGCTTCTCTCGAGGGGAGAGCCCCTGAGATGAGATTGACTAGTGGCACAGGGCGCACCTACTACGCAGGAGAAGGCCGAGTGAGAGTGGAAGCTCTTGTCTGGTATATCATTGTCTGTAATCTGCTTCCGCGTACTTGATGGACCTCTCGAATGAAGATCTGAACCCAGGCGTCGCCAACAGACAGTCCCTCATTTTCACGGCGGAGATGATTCCGTAGGTGAAAAACAATCGATATCCTCCTACTGCTTGCATTTTCGGTGACAACTGTTCCAATTTTGCGCACTCCATCTGCAGTATTCTCTGCTGTGCTGTCCCATGCTACTTGCTGGCCATAGCACAAGCACCCAAGTCCAATTTCTTGGGCTCGGCCGAGGGCGAGATATCGAACGAGAAAATATCCATTGGCAGACCAATAGTGGTACATGCATTGGGGATCTACGATTCATGTCGGAAATCTTGGTCAGACACACAATCGCGACCGGGTCTTTGAAAGGGAAAGCGGGAACACACTCACATCGACAATGCCGGCGATATGTCCCTCGATCGGGATACAGCTCAGCATCAAGTAGATCTGGTAGTCGCTGTAGCCGAAGCGCCGGAGATATTCGATGACCCGGAGGCAGGACTGGCGGTAGGCGACAGTGGCGTCCATGTAGTGCTGCTTGCCCTGCTCATCGACGCTGAATCCCTCAAAGTAGATCATACGCCCCGGGCCGAATTGCGGCTGGACTGGGCCGGGGATGTAGATGGGCGACTTGCCGCCGACCATGCCGAGCTTGGCCTGGCCATCCTTGATCACCTCGAACTTGATGGTGATGACGCCGGCAATCTCGATGGCGCCACAGAAGGAGATTTCACCGTCGCCCTCTGTGCGAGTTAGTAATTGACCTTTGGCGTGTGGCTTCAGGTGAAGGAAACCAGACACCGGGGTGGGGTGTGCTATAGGGGCTGGAGGCCAGGGTTCACGTACGAGAAAAGTGCAAGTCCCCGACGGAGAACTTGGCGCCCTTGACATGCACGGGCAGATAGACCTTGCTCCCACGAGACAGGTTCTTGATGTCGCAATTCCCACCGTGTTCAGGGCGGCCCGGGATCGTGCGTGCACCTTCTTTCCCGATCTTGTTTTTGGTCTCTTCGTCAGCCGACCCTGCATGGACGTTTGTCGAGTTAGGAGGCTGCGCGACAATACGGTCTAGCGACGTCGTGGAAATCAGCTCCGCCTCTCGTTTGTTCCATTCAGCTAGGATCTCGGGTGACGGTGCGCAGCCCAGAATTCCTGGGTGGATCAAGCCGGCAAAACGCACGCCGGGGATGTGACGGGACGAGCAGAAGATGCCTTCGAAGTCCCAGATTGCTTTGGCACTGTAGTCGGGCGAAAGTGGAATCTTGATCAGACCAGAGTGTCTTTGTGAGGGAGGGGCAGGAAGCCGAATACCTACGCTTCAGGGTAGATTTCGTCCAAGAACCCGCCACCGTTGTCTTTGTGGAAGACGCCGGTGAAACCCCACGGGTGATCCTCGAAAGGCTGGACATCTTGGATCTCGACCAGAAGGACGTCGCCTGGCTCCGCTGTCTCAATCTCGAAGGGACCAGACAAGTAGTGGATCTGGGTCAGGTCGACGTTTTTCACGTCGTCGGCGCTGTCATTGTTCTTGATCTGTCCACCGGTCCAGTCCAGGCACTCGATCTTGACCGTCTCTCCATTCTTAATGGTTCCAGAGAAGGGTACTAAAAAAGATCTCAGTCCATTGAGCAGCTGGCCCAGGAAAGGCGCACCGTACCGTCAGGATGCCATCTGTTCTTCACAGTCATCAGTCAAATGTCCTCGGGAGGTACGATTGCCATCCTTACGTGTAGATATGGCTGGTCCTTGGCCAGCTTGTCGAGATCGACTTTCAAGGCGGTCCTGATGGCTCCAGGCATGCTTCTCTCTTAGGGACGGAGTCGAGACGAACGTACAGACTGACGGCAAGCTATGTAGGCTCTCGTAATGCTGAGAAGCTGGATCGCAGAAGACTTGACTAGTGCGCCGGCATAGGTTCGTCTTCATATCCTTCTTTGTTTATGGCTTTTGCGGGGCAAGGCCGTTGTGAGTTACCCCTCAGCAACCGCGATAGGCACTGGTTCAGGACCCTCGGGCATGTCTCTGGTAATTGGCCATCGAGTGTGGCGACGATAAAGTTGTAGCTTGGGTGGATGTGTATGATGATAAGACTCCTCCCGCAGCCGCCAATGATGCCAAAGGCATCTGAGTGCTTTTAGGCCAAGAAGGGCAGCCATGCGTGCTGGACGAGCGGATACCTTGCCCCGCTCTCACTGAGACGTGCCTGTGTTACGTACCGGTAAATAGATGTTGCGTTGAAGACCGTTCGAACCAAGCGTCTTCTTTATCGTACTTCGCGGACTTCTCCTTCACGGGGTGGTGCATGTCAAACCCTGGGGAAGGCCGAGGGATAACAGGGCACGAACTCTGACAGTTGACCCAAGATTGTAGGACCAGCTTTCGGATTCGGATCCAGTTGCACGCCCGATGGTGTGGCAAGCTCAATCTTGTTGTGCCGGAGTTGACGCTGGAGTGTGCACTTTGGTACTTGTGGCTGAGTCCTTCTTTGCAGGGCTAGTATCGATCTCCAGTGTGACCTGTCACGGTAAGCAGCTTGATACCACCGGCCTAATCGAACAGGAAGCATCGAGGGATCTGACATACTGGTCCATCGTTGACAAGGCTGACCTGCATCATCGCCTGGAAAACACCATCTTTCACTCTGCCGGCTGGATGCTGGTCGCGCACACGTGACAAGAAATAGTCATAGAGTTCCTTTGCAACCTCTGGCTTTGCTGCCCCATGAAAGTCAGGTTTGCTACCCTTCTTGGTGGAGGCTAGCAGAGTAAATTGCGAAACACAAAGGATATCGCCTTCAATGTCTTGGACGCTTTTCTTCCAGTTGGCGCCATTCTCGTCGGGCCACAACTTCATTTTCAACACCTTTGAGGCCATGGCATCGGCGTCTTTCTTGGTGTCATTGGGGCCGATTGCAGCGAGGACCAGCACCCCTTTTCCAATGGCGGAGACAACCTGGTCGTTGACCGTGACCGAGCTAGATAGCACGCGCTGTAATATGGCCTTCATTTTTGAAGTAATCGCCGTCTTCTCCGAAAAGCAAAGCCACACTCTAGCAAGCCAAGGTGAAAGCCGGCCAGGAGAATCTCGAAGTCGAGAAGACAAGGCGAATAAGAAACTTCCTCTACCTACTAGTATTGTGCTTTTGTCTTCAGCGCACGATGGAGCGACATGCAGTGCCAGTGAATCTTGGGATGCCAAGATGCGCGTCAGACACTTGTGATCCGTACAACCAAGTACTTGGACTGAGATACTGCGGCGGACTATTGAGGTGAATACCGCTGTTATCATGTGACCGGCCAAGTCGGTTCGTGAAGAGCTCCCTTGGACAGGTATTTTGTCCGGTGCTCTTTTACGGTGCAGGTAGTTGTAGTTAGTCCACCAGGTTAGTAGAGGAAAGTATCTCTCCCCAGAAATCAATCTAAATGCGAGAAGCACAGTATATGTAGCATGGGTGACTGTCACATGACAGGCGCTTGAGCCGCCAAGCCATCTGTCCGAAAATGGATTGGTACAGATCGATAATGCGACCGCAATTGGAATCGCAGCGATTGAGGCGCGCGGCAGTCGAGGCTGGTTTCAAGTTGCAAACACGTCCGTTTGGCGATTGCCTACCTATTGAAACCTTCGACCCTCTCTCCATTACCGTTCACACAAACCGAGTAGACCTCTTATGAGAGACCGCCATGGCGTCTCGGAAAACCCAGCAAGAGATCGACAAGACCTTCAAAAAGGTCGACGAAGGAATCCAAGCCTTCGAGGGCATCTATGAGAAGATCTACTCCTCACAGAATGCGGCGCAGAAGGACAAACTAGAAGACAACCTCAAGAAAGAGATCAAGAAGCTACAAAGATCTCGGGATCAGATCAAGACTTGGGCGGCGGGCAACGAGATCAAAGACAAGTCTGCATTACTCGAACAGCGGAAGCGGATAGAGAAAGTAAGATGGTTGTGTCTGCAAACATGTCCCGACTGACCGAGACCACAGTGTATGGAAATTTTCAAAGCCGTCGAGAAGGAGATGAAGACCAAAGCATTCTCAAAAGAAGGGTTATCACAGAATATCAAACAAGATCCCAAGGAGAAGGAACGGGAGGAACTCTGTGACTTCTTATCAGAGCAGCTGGACGAAATCAATAGGTTTCTGATTGAAGAACTGGAGCCGGAAGCGAACGGGTTGCAAGTCGCTCTCAAGAAAAAGCAGAGAGATAACTCCAAGGCCGATCGACTTGCGGAGATTGAGAGAATCACCGAAACATACAAGTGGCACGAGTCCCGGCTGCAACTACTGCTCCGATCCCTTCAGAACGGCAATCTTGACAATGACCTTGTATCTGTGATCAAGAATGAGATTGAAGAGGTGGTTAGAGAAGGACGTGAGCCCGACTTCGACGCCGAGGCATACGAAGGCATCTATGATGAACTCAACCTGGACAGCGAAGAGGCACAATTCGGACTGGGCAACGAGGTGGATCGACTATCCTCTCAGGATGCACAGTCTGTCCAAGAGGACAATGAACCAGAGCCGGTTCCGGTCAAGAAGGCGAAAGCCGAGCACCCAGCCACGCGACGACCATCTACACAGCTCAAATCCCCTCTTCCAGCCCTGGCGACGCTGAACACGATGCCTCCACCACCATCAATACCCAAAGATACGACAATGAAACCCGCCCCCATACCCAATCGACCGCCGGGAGAAACATTGAAGTACGCATCAGCCGCCGCTGCCGCGGCGGCAAGCGACAAGACTGGAGTCGGGATTGCTCCCCTTCCTCCTCCAGTCGGTGCCAACTCAACCGGTGTATCTCATCCTCTACCGGCTCCTGTCAAGACATCTGCGACCAGTTCTCCAGCTCCAGCGCCGGCGCAACCGGCCGAAAAGACAGCATCCCCAGCGCCCGCTCCAGTAACGATGGAGTCTTCAACATCACAAGAACAATCCAGCCACTCAAAGTCTCCTACCTTAAGTTCTACCAGTGCACGAGTTGCAAGCGTGCCCAGTAGCGTTCCTCCAACGCCGGCGATGGAGAAATCCGAGACGATCCAAGAGCCTGTGATTGCGGATGAGTTGCCAACGGCAAATGGTGAGGCACATGAGGACGGCTCGACAGTGGAATCTATATATCATCTGCCTCCGGGGCTTCAGGACCTACTTGATTCTTTTGAAACGACCAAGAGTCGAGCTTCGCAGCCTCCTTCTCAGTTGGCTAGGCTGCTCCAAGCTTCTCAAGAAACTTGTCCGGAACCTTCCGACAGTGACAGGCCTCAACATTACCGACCCACTTTCAAATACAATACTCCAGCTCATTATCCTCAGGATGTTCTCCCGATATTTGACGATCCTGCCCTGTACGACAACCAGAGGCTGGAAACAGATACCCTGTTCTACATTTTCTACTACCGGCAGAACACCTACCAGCAGTGGTTAGCAGCCCGCGCCTTGAAGAATCAGAGTTGGCGGTTCCACAAGCAGTATCAGACATGGTTTCAACGCCACGAAGAGCCCAAGCAGATTACGGAGGAATATGAACAGGGCACGTATCGATTCTTCGACTATGAGAGTACTTGGTACGAAATTTATTCATCACCGCCCCTTACAGATGTGGTCTAATAATTCTAACACGCGTACAGGATGAATCGGAGGAAGGCAGACTTCAAGTTCCTGTACAAATTCCTCGAGGACGACTTGTAGGATAGTTCGGTGGCACACTGTCCGACGACATGCGCTGCCGGCGTGCTGCGCTGCTTGGCTTTCGCACACCAAGAGGGGTTTCCTCTACCTGCCGAAGACTGCAGAGTCTGCAGAGTCAACAGAGCTCCATTTTCAAACTTCAAGCCTCGTTCTAAGATGTCCTGCGTATTCATGACCCGGATTTCGTTATCGCCCGGGGTGAGTGTGGGTGGTTCCACCTGTACCAGTTTGTGCAATATGATCGGCACGGTGCACGCTTTGGTTTGACTAATGTTTCTTTGGCGTGGTGACCGGATGCTAGCCTAGCGCTCCGCCTCACTTTTTGTGCTACGGCGGCGGCAGGTTCGAGTGTTGCTGAAGACGAGAAAAAAGAGAAAAGAAAGAGGGGCTGTGTGTGTTCGGGTCGCGGTTAGGAAAGGCAACCAAGCTGGTAGGTCCTCATGACACGGACTTGCTGACACCAATCAGGCCACGCTGCAAAGTATCGCGAGTCTTTCTGACTCGCTCGCTTCGCCCTCAGCCTCCACGCATGGCCTCCACGCCTGAGTTCTGAGTTGTCTCTCCAGAGGCCTGCCTGGTGCCTGCCTGGTGCCTGCCGCCTCTCCAGCACATTCACGTTCTCACAGACACAGAGCCGCTTGCTCCACGGCAAGAAAAGGCAACCTTGCAGGAAAAGTAAGCTGGCATGCTCTCGCTAACCTGCAGACACTGCACTGCCAGTTTTCCCTCTCACATCCGCGAGGTGGCTCGACGGGGCTACCCCATGGGCACCGCAACCAGACATCGATCCTTGTCTTTGTCTCAAGCTAAAGTCCCATTTTCCTATGGTTTGAACTATTGAACTATGAAGATTCATACAGCCCGCGTTGTGCTCTCCGAGTTCGACCTTCCTCAACCTTATCCTCCGCCTACCACTGGTTCGACGGGCAGCTAAGTGCCTGGGCTCGACTGGTCACTTTGATGAGATCAGTGCGACCATATCGCCATGCCATTGTTTGTGCCTACCTCTTTGCACTTTGGGAACGAAATCCGGCTGCAACTGTCCGTCTCGGACGAACCTGCAAAGTCGAGGGCAACGAATCGCACACCATCTGGGCCGAGGGTTGCTGCTTGTAAGAGTGAGCCTCGTGAGCAGCCTCGCCCCCAAGCTGTTCTTGATTGGCCTAGCCGCCGGTCCTCTCGATGTGCCGTTTCCTCGTGCAGTCGGGTTGATGCTTCTGCACGTGCGCATGCCGATCAAACCGCTTTGTCTGTCTTCGCCCACTGTACCATTTACTGTACCATTTAGGCCTGAATCTGGAGCACCAAGGTCCTCGTCGCTCGTCTGGTACAGTCCCCCAAGCTAACGCTTCCCAGCATTCCCTGCACTCAACCCAAGGCTGCTCCTGCCATGACCCAACCAGGGGAGGGCTGTCATTCTGTCGTGGCCCTCTGCAAATAGCCCAGCACAGGTTTTGGTATCCACCATCCCCCGTTCAGCATCCACCCCCATCCCATCTCCGTACATGGCATTAATTCATCCTGGTCCAAAGTTGCAGCCTCAAATACTGCACAGCGTGCTTCAGTCCATCGCTGTTTGCAAATTTTCGGCCTTGGAAATAGCCTGCGCAGAACTGAGGATGCGCTATGTAAAATTCTACCTGGTCAAGAACTCAACCTCGTCAGAAACTCAACCTCGTCAAGAACTCAACTTCATCAAGAATTCTACCTCCTCAACCTGCACCATCAGCTTTTCACCGACTGCAGCTCGACCCTTCACTGTACCTGCCGCTTCGGCCCTAAATAATTCGAATTTTCAACATGGAATACCCGCCCCAAGACTTCAACTTTACCTTCAACAACGACCAGCACTTTCCGACGCTGGACTTGGACTTTCAGCCACAGGGCTTTTCTACGGCGTTGCCTTCGGCGACCAGTTCAGGATTCGCGGCTGCGTTTGCACCCTTCCATCATCCGTTACCCGATCCTCAGTACGCCGCCAATTACTCGACAGATCCCAGGTTTTGGCCGCTATTCAATGACCTTGGTAATACCTCTCTGACAGAAGGAATTCTGTCGGACGGTACCACCAATACTGCTACCACCAACACTGCTACCACCAACACTGCCACCTCTTCCCCGTTTCTCGACGGTCAAACAGGATATGAGGGAAACGTGTCGAACGTTGTGTACTATCCTCCATACCCAACCAATAGCCATGTGGGCCCTTTTACGATGACCGGGGACCCGTCCTCATGCGGGCCAGCTCGACCCTTGCAGCAACTTCCCGTCAATACTGTGTGGGATGGTCCGTCTACCAACAAGCGCCGCAAGAGGCCAGCGTGTTCGCCAGTCCCAGAAGATAGAGGCCGAGCCTCGAACAAGAAGTAAGCGATTCTCCCCATGTTTTGTTTCACTATTGAATGATTCCTCCCTCGGCGATCCAAATTCTGATCTGTTGTTAGATTGAAGGTTGAGGAGCGCCCATATTGTCAGCACCCAACGTGCGTTGATGAGAACGGCCAACCGAACAAATCCTTCAGCCGCCAAGCCGACCTGAACAGACACATTAAATCTGTACACGAAATCACATATATCGATTGCACAGTCAAGACCTGCAACAGGAAAGGCACCAATGGCTTTACGAGGATGGACCACATGAAAGAACATTTGCGCGGCTATCATATGATTCATGTCGATAAACGCAAGTCCCACGACAAACATGCACATCCCATCCGGAAGAATGAAACCGCCATTCAGGAAGTTTTCGAGAACGGCAATATTCAAACCGCCATTCAGGACGTTGTCGAGAACAGGGAAATTAAAACCGCCATTCAGGAGGCTATCGAGAACAGCAAGATTGAAGCCGCCATCCAGAACGCTATCGAGAACAGCAATAGGGAAATTGAAACCGCTATTAAGGACACTATCGAGAACAGCAATACCAACACCGGCTGGAATCAGGGCTTCAAGTTAGTCTCTCCCACCATCCCTTCTCTCTCTACGGAGTATGTGCTTCTCTTTGGTGACCACCGCGGCTAATATATCATCCCTCAGTTTCGTTTATTAGCTTGGAGGGGTTCATCGAACAACGAACAACGAAGAACGAAGGACGAAGGACGAAGAACGAAGGACGAAGAACTAAGGACGAAGAACGAACGACGAAGAACGAACGACGAACGACGAACAACGGCATGTCTCGGTCAAACCCGGTGCATGAGCCGTTTCCTGCTGGACTTGATTTTCCAGCTTAATTCTACCTAGGTACCTAGTAGGTAGAGATAAATTAATGACTTAACCTTCAACATTCCACCAGATTCTGCTTGATACTACCTGGTTAGTAGGTAGACATACCAATAAATTCACGATTCAACATCGCACCAGATATTCTGAATATGCCGTTCCGTTCCATTCCATTGCGTTTCACCTTCCCTCCTCATCAACCATACCTAGACCAGTTTGTCTGGGACTGTGTTGACGACGGGGACGGAGTAGACACACAGTAGTAAGAGACATGCAGTATATTCCATCCGAAGCCATTCGGAATCATTTCACCCTCCCTCCTTATAAACCATACCAGCTTGACGGAGTAGACACACAGCAGTAAGAGACATACAGTGGACATGTACTTACACTGTAAGTGTACAGTAATTACCTACTAGGCGCCTACTAGGTACCTACCTATGGTACCTACTTAATTTACCTACCTAATTTACCTACTACTGGTAGGTGCTGGGTACCTACCTACGTGCTACCTACGATGGTGGGGACGGCCTTGTACCACGGTGAAGAAGGCCGTGCGTGACCTATTCTGTAGAGGTGAGGTACGGAGTACCTACCCCGTACCCACCTACTACCTAGTAGGTATATATATACATACCTAGGTAGGTACTACAGAGCATTCGTATGTATATAGAGTATGTAGAGGGTATATATAGCCCGCTCTGCCCTTTGTCCTTGAGCTCTCTCCTGCACCCTCCGCCCTCCGCCCTCCGTGCTACACTCATCAGTTCACATCATATCACATCATATCGCACCATATCGCACCATACGGAGGATCCGAGGATCCGACTATCTGTACGGAGTATCTATACTTGTCCTGTTAGCCACTCACTCCCAACCTCGGCTTCTTCTACGCCATCGCCATCGCCGACACGGTCGATATCGATATTATTGATATGGCGTCTTCATCTCCGGCTCGAGTTCTGCTCGTCCTCGGCGCAGGCCCCAACATCGGCGCACACCTCGCCCAAACATTCAGCGCGAAAGGATACCAAGTCGCGCTGGCGTCGCGAACCCCCCATCCTGTCGAGGCGACATCCTCGAAGCCAGCCTCGGCCTACTTGCATGTCACTGTCGACCTGAGCCAGTCGGAGTCGGTTCCAGGCGTCTTTGAGACGGTCAAGGCTGAGATCGGCGCCCCGAGTGTCGTGGTATATAATGGTACGTGGAGGAGTCGAGTCAAGTCAAGAAATGAACTCCCAGTTGAGTCGGGTCAAGTCAGGTCAAGTCTCATGAAAAAAATGAACTGGAGTCGAGTAAAGGACTTTCCTTTCCTTTACTTTTCCTCCCCTGCCCTGCCCTCCCCTGTCCTGCCAGGCGAGTCAAGTCAGGTCAATTCAAGTCTCATGATGACCTCGAGTCGAGTCTAGGACTCTCCTTTCCTTGCCCTGCCCTGTCCTGCCCGATCCCGAGTCCAGGTCCTGTGGTGTTGATACCAGCCCTGATTTTGTTTGTTATATACATGTACGGTACTTTGCCTGGTCCTAGGTGTCTTGTCCTGTGTCGTGCCTTGTCTTGTCTTGTGGTGTCGTGTCGTGTCATGTCTTGCCTTGCCTTGTCTTGTGGTGTCTTGTCTTGTGGTGTCTGATCTTGTCTTGTCTTGTCTTGTCGTGTCTTGTCTTGTCATATCATCTCGTGTCTTGTCTTGTCGCCCTCTCCTCACTTACACATCTCCCTAACTAATTCCCATCAGCCGCCCTCAGATATCCCGACACGCCCGACGACCCGCTGTCCTCCTTGTCGCTGGCCAATTTCTCCACTGCACTCGCCGTCAACACGACCTCGGCGGTCGCTGCCCTGCAGCAAGCCGTGCAGGGCTTTCAGAGTCTACCGGCCTCACCGTCGTCGGCGTTCTCCAAAACATTCATCTTCACCGGCAACATCCTCAACGTCAAACATTTCCCGGGCATGCTGGCATTCGGCCTCGGCAAGGCTGCCACGGCGTACGCGATTCAGGACCTTGTCGAGGGGAAGAATGCCTACCGGGATCAAGGTATTAAGTGAGTATTTCTCCCTCTCTCTACGTCCCTCTCTCTACGTCCCTCTCTCTATGGGCGTGTACTTATTATTGGTGACAACCGTTGCTGACATATATCTCTCCCTCTCCCCCCTTCTTTCTCCCCCCTTCTTTCTCTCTACCTCCCGCTCTCCCTCTCTCTCTACCTCCCTCTCTCTACCCCCTTCTTTCCCTCCCCTTCTCTCTCCCTCTCCCTCCCTCCCTCCCCCCTTCTTTCTCCCTCCCTCCCTCTCTCTATGGGCGTGTACTTCTCATTGGTGACACCCCTTGCTGACATATACTCTCTCCCTCTCCCCCTTCTTTCTCCCCCCTTCTTTCTCCCCCCTTCTCTCTCTATGGCCATGTACTTATTATTGGTGACCCCCCTTGCTGACATATACTCCCTCCATCTCGTCAGATTCTACTACGCTGACGAACGAAACCCCCAAGGCGGTCCTGCCGGACCTAACATCGACGGCCCTGCCGCCGCAATCGAGTACCTCAAACTCGCCGAACGCCAGGATCAGGGGCCCTGGTTGCACACGTTCATCAAGGGCCAAGGCTACAAGGATTTCGGAGGCCAGTGAAAAGGTGCATGGGCTGTTAAATGGGACGCCTGGCCTGTTCTGGCCTGTTACTACGATCGAACTTGAAATGGTACATGGGCTATGGGCTGTTAGATGGGACGCCTGGCCTGTTACTACGATCGAACTTCAAATGAACCGGGTGTAGCAAGCGTTGTGGTGTTCGCGTAAGCCGATGACAATATCAGGGGAAGGGTCGTAATGGTCGTAATGGTCAAGCAAATTACAACTCACTGTCCGCCGTAGCCTACAATCATCCCGTTCGAGATTCGTGCATTACTGGCCATAGATGAGTTGGACTGCGATGCAGCGTTCCGTTTCTTTCATTGATTGCTATCTGCGCCTTCTTAAGAATCGACTTCGACCTTTGAAGGCCAATAGCTCGTTGACTTACAGTCAGTCTCGTTTTGCTAGCTCTGTCTGGGGATGTTTGTTCCATCCTTGCGTCTCTTTGTACTCGATCAAATCCGTCTGATCAGGCAAACCTCTGCACACCTTGCCAGAGACTGCGGATCAGGATCATGGTCATGCCTCCTGTGATGTATGGTCTGGCGGTGGAACTGCGGAACTTTTGCAGCGAAAAGTCTGTCCTTCGACCTCAGAACGCCTCAACCTTACCAGGCAGAAGCTGCAGGAGCCGCAACGGGAGCAGCAAGAGTTGAAGCTTCAGCCTGTTCCCAAGATGCCTGTGCAGAACTGCTGTTCTGAGTAGTGTCCCATCCGCCTCCAGCCGCAGCTTCAGCATCGGTCTCAGCATTTGCGTTCTCTCCTGCTGCGGCCTGAGGGCATCTGGCACGACCGTGTCCTTTCTTCTCACTGTTATAGACGGGTTAGCGCTGGACCATGGTTTCCAAGCTCGAGATTGGACCTCACCAAATGCTGCAAACAACTTGACTCCAATCTTTACGAGGACGTGGTCCCGCCTCATCCTTCTGGGGACACTCCTGCATTGGCACATTAGTTGACATGGTATGGGTCAATGTTTGGGAAAGACTTACTCTGGCCAAGTGGTCTTCAGCATCACAGATGTTGCAGGTTCTCTTCGGGGCATTCGTGCAATCCTAGATCAACATTAGCAACAAGACTCTCTGTCGAGGCCAGAAAACACATACTCTGGCAATGTGGTCCTCTTCACCGCACTTGCGGCACGTACGCTTCTCACGGTCTGGGCATTCCTGTTATGTGTCAAAACTTTGCACGTTGCTGTACCGCACAAAGAAAACATACCCTGGCCAGGTGATCTTCAGATCCACAATTACGACAAGCCTTCTTCTCACGGTTGGGGCAGTCCTGAAGAGAAAGGTTAGCTGGTTATTAGAGAGCTGGAATTTGCATGAACTCACCTTGGCAATATGATCCTCGGATTCACAGATTCTGCAAGCGCGTCCAGCCTTCTTTCGTTCCTGGGTGCAGTCACGAACACGATGACCGGCCTCTCCACAGAGATAGCAGGTAACAGTGACTTGTTCTCTCGTAATCCGCTCATCAGGGCAGTCCTTGGTCTTGTGGCCCACCCTCTCGCAATTGTGGCACTTGTCAACACCACGGTCGAGCGGGATGCCAGCATCGGCAAGGCGATTCATGTTCTCCTCTGGTGAAGCAGGCCATTTATCGACAAGAGTGGGACGTTGAGGCTTGTCAGATGTGAAGTAGCTCACCGAATACTTCTTGCCGATCTCTCCCTGAAGGTTGACGTTGGTCCATGTGTCACCGATATCCTTCTCCTAAGGTACACGTTAGCTTGAAACCCTATAGAAGAAATGTTGCACAGAAAGCGGACCATAGCAATGAGATAGATAGCCAGTCCCTGCTTGCGGAATTCCTTCTCAAGGCGAGGATAGGTGTAGTCAGGTGCAGCCTTAGAGAGAATCTGGACTGCATCTTTGAAATCACCAATGTCTCTCTCATCACTGGCCTGCTTGAGCAGTTCCCATGCTTCGGTCTCCGACTTCTCAGCGACACGGTGGTTGTCGATCAGCTTTGGATTCTTGCAGTCGATTGCGTTATGACCTGTTCCCGAGAGCTGTGTCAGAAAAAAATAATGCGGATACGAATGCCCAAAACACGCACCTTCTTGATGGCAGTTCTTGCATTTTTCGACGTAAGTTGGACAATCAGAGACCATGTGACCTGGAACGAGGGTCAACTCAGGCATCCTGTGGTCTTGTGGTAGTCGACCCACCTTCTTGACCACAGTTACGACATTCACCCTTGAATTTGCGTGGAGCAGGACAGTCGGCCTTGGACTATGCAAGTTGTTAACAAGGCCCTCGAATAGCTTAGAGATCCAGTCCATACATGACCCTCCTCACCCTATAGTTGTCAGTCCTGGCCGGGCAAATAGAGTAGTTAGATACGTACACAATTGAAACACGCTCCCATCTTTCGTGGCTCTGGGCATTCACGGGCGATATGTCCATCTGATGATGGTCAGTAATGAAGATAAATCATTCTGTTGGCTGCGTCTCACCTTGGCCGCAGTTGTGACATCCGCTGTTGTATGCACCAGAGTCGCCAGTGTCATCTCCTTGAGCACCGAAGCTTTCAGCAAATCCGCCATTTGTTATGGTGTCAGTGGCAGCAGCAGGCTTCATAGTTTCGTCTTCGTTCCAGTTGGTCGAACCTGAATATGGTTAGTCAATCTTGCCTCACTAGGGTCTTAAGCATGAAATCATCAGAGGGAGGGAGGGATGTCAGACGGGAAGTTGGATGCTCCTCTATCATCCATAGCTCAGGCCTTTTCCAACAAGGCTTGGTTGCTCGGGCTATTAATTTACCCGGCCACGACATTGGATACATGATATAACGATGGAGGGCATTCAGAGCCGGAGAGGTGAGATTGTGGTTCAGGAAGGAGTAAGATGAACTCACCCTGAGGTTCAGTGTCCCAACCACTCATGGTGAGGTAGTCTATTTTGACAAGAACACTAGTCAGTGTTGATGGGTATTCACCAGATCAAATCTGTTGAGGCAATGAAGCGATGTGACCTTGAGCTCAAGGAGAGTACCTTATGTAAATGTCCTAACTTGATTGTTAGACGAACCTGATGATTGACTGATGAGAGTAGAGCTAGTGTAGAGCCTGGGAAAGAGAAGAAAAGAAGTTATTTCGGTAACAGTCAGTTGCGGAGGAGTCGATCAGAGGTGTTCAAGTGAGACGAGGTGAAGTAGAAGAGGTGCAGCTGAAGACGAGGTGTCGAACGTAAAATTCCTGTGTGTGCACCCAAGGTCTTGCCCGAGCAGTCTGTTGTTTCAGAGGAGAAGAGAGAGAGGACGAGGACGAGAAATAGGACGTAGAGCGCAAGGACATACGATGGCAAGGCTTAGGCTTACCTACTTGTCAAAAGTCAGTCACGTCTCTCAAGAAAAGTGGATTGCTTAAGGTACCTGGAGTGGACTTTTCGTGTGGCAATGCAGGCTGTGATTCAGAGATGAGCAAGACCAGAGCCCAAAGATGGCGATTAGGGATCTTGCACAGAAGTGTTGATGGCTGTGAAGTGGATGGGTGGATGGATGGTGGGTGGAGATGAAATCGCAGGGAAGACGCGTAACAAAGAAGTGAAGCAGACTTATTGACAACTCACTTGGTCGCTAAAACCAGCAACCTGCCGTGTTCAATGGGTCCTCTGCTCTCTTCCCTCTGTCCTCTGTCCTCTTCGCCTCTTGCCAGTACTCTTCCCAACACGACATGTCTCGCCAAAATGCTTTCAAGACAATTGATCCTCTACTTAACCTGGAGTCCTCACCACCTTCTTCTTCTTCAACCCTCTCATTGATAGCACCAGCGTTGCCTCTTCGGCTATAAGCTAAGGTCTGGATTGAGAATCTTCAACCTTCAACCATAAGCTAATTCACCATTTCGGTTTCCTAGCCGCGCTCCCGTCCGCAGCGCCAGCCTTTCTTTCACCGCCTCCAGCGGTCAAATCGGAGACAGCCACTTTTCGGTCAGATATGTGTTCCAGTGATCAAAGGCTCGTATCGTCAAGCTTCCCATCAGCAGCATTGAACGCATGTATCATTTCCAACGGCATTCGAACCAAGGTATATGGACTAGAACATCCATATTTGCCTTCTCAAAAAAAAGCACCCAGCGGGAACACGACGTTTCAATTACCTGAACCAAACCCCCTCTTCCCCCACACCGAGACCTTATATCTTCACACTTGCACATCAGTTGAACGTGTGGATTGGGCTGAAAGGGCGACAACCTCAAGAGAAAAGATATTAGGAGTTGTGCTCTCAGCAGGATGACTTGGGGCCAGCAGTCATGAAGGACAGCATGCTTCGCCCGTTATTCCTGACACGGTTGTCACCGGAGAAGGGTCCTGCATCTATGGCTGCATGAAACGGCAAGCTCTCATCTTCCAGTTCTCGGCGGAGTTTTGCAACTCTCCGGAGGACATAGAAGAGTGGAATATTACATGTACAGTACGACTGATGGTTTCAGATTGCTGGCGAGGCTGGACTTTCTGGGTTGCTTGGCAGCCCCATACGAGCATTGGCTTCCTCAGCCTAAACCAATCGGCCCGAGACCTACATTTATAAACCGTATCAAGAAGGACCCAAGGCCGAGTCGTTGGAGAAGAAAACAAGCATACGCCAGCTGATTTGGTCAATGAGGGAGATTACAAGCAATTTCTAACTTGAATACCCGATGATGTATGTGAGCACAAACTCCCATACCCAGGTCAACCTGGATCAATATCGCAAAGCGGTCAACTGAGCGCCATTTTGACCAGACAGCATATGTGCCCCTCGTAATCATAGCCTCATCGTAGACTCTCACAGCCCTTTAACCCACAGCCTTAGTCCACTAGCCGCAGCGCCAACCTCACAGACCTGGCAGAGATTGCAGACCTGGCCCTTGTATTGAATGTGATATTTCGAACCATCGTATGGGCAAGAGACACTCTGGACTCCACTATAAATGGGAGTGTAGGAGGCTGCGCATACGTCGAAGTCTGCAAACTGGTCGTATTCGATGCCGATCTTGTCACTGGATCCAGACCGCTCTGCCTGTTGTTTGACCTTCTTTGCCTGCGACAAATTAGTAATGTGTTGAGAAAGATATAGCTGTTGCACTGACCTGTTCAACGAGTTTGGAGGCGCCGCCGTTTGCCAGGACTCGGTTGGCGAAAGACAGCGCGCTCGAAAATTGCTTATGAGAAAAGGCCAGCTTCATAGCGGCCATAAGAGCCAGCTGTCGGTGAGAAACGTCGAGTTTCGGCATCGTGAAGTAGGCAGAAAGCTCCAACTGTCGCTTGAGCCCTTCTTCGGAATCGTCACCAGCAGCTGCCAGTTGACGCCTCTCTAGCTCAATGCTCATTGCAAGGGTGTACTCCATGGATTTTGCAATAAGTGCCTTGGCTTCATCCACTTGCGCCTCCGAGTTGACGACATTGACCAGCAGTGACTGCAGAATATTTCGGAATGTGACCACGCCATTCTCCAGCTTGTTGGTCCTCATTGCGCTGTAGCCTTCCTGTAAGTCGACAGTAGTCAGAGTCTCAAGGTTTCGTGGGATGAATGGCAGGAGTTTTCTGCTGTCGGTGTCATCGAGGGTCCGGCGGACATAGTTCACAATTGGCGGCAGACTGGCATTGGCGGGAAGATAAGTCTTGGAAGCTTGGTAAATCTCCATGAATCTCGGCTTCAGTTTCTCGAACCGGACAGCACCCACTTGACGGTTCAAGAGCTGCATGGCACTGTCAAATGATCCGGCAGCAACATGATCGGCAGCTAGTGGAGAGTTTCGAGCCCAGATGTCTGCTTCCGAACTCCCAGGACCCGCGGCCTCAACTGGGCCATCGGGGTTGTCGATATTGACAAAGTCAGAATCATTCCCAGTGGTATCAAGGCCAATATCGTCTCCCATGTCCCAACCCTCGACTGCATCGGCATCGTCCTCTGCGGCGAGGCCGTTGCCATCTGTGGGGACAGGGATATCTTCGTTGAGCAAATCAGACCTGGCATCTTCATCCACTGCCACACCAACTTCGCCTAAGAGCGCCTTTTCGAACGAAGAATGGGATGCTTCTTTAACAGGCCAGTTTGCTTTATAGGTCTGTACAATGACGTCTGGCTTTGTAAGGCCATCTCCGGGCTCTGGCATAGAGATCTGGTCTTCGGTCAAGCCGCAGAGTTCGAGTATGGCTGCACATTCTTCGGTCAGACCATGCGACTTTGCCGTGAGGTAAGCAAGCGGATACAGGTCGATCTCCTTGAACATCTGTATCCTGCTCTCGACATCCCCGACATAGAGAGCGTTTTGAAACCGGGAGACAAAGTCTCCGCGATGCTCGGCGATCTTGGACATTCTCGTCAGCTTTTCTTCGTCACCTGTACAAAGGTACAGGAAAGAAAGTTTATCAAAGTTTCGAAGCTTTTGATACGTCATCTCGACTGTTTGGTGGTTGCCATGTATCAAAGCCTCAGTACCTAGGCGTGTCCAGATCTTTGGGCGGTCGAGCTCTTTGGCCATCTCCGTGGCTACCTCCAGATTGCCACACTCAATAGCCAGTTCGAACCGAGTCTGGGGATCTTGCACGAATTGCAATGCAATCTCGGGATAGCCTTTCTTCTGGAGATAGGAAATAATGCTTTGGCCAACGAGACTAGATGTCTTAATGATTTGGAGCATTTCATCGTAGTTTCGTTTCACCAGTGCCAACTTGAACCGGTACTCTGTAGGGTCGATGCTGAGAACTCTAGGTTTGGCGGCTCTGTCAAGGCAATAGACATTGCGACCCTTTACCTTGACAAGATACACGGTGTGATCCAAAGTCCTAACAATGCCATTGTCGCCATTGAGTAGAGTATACTTGATGTGGTTGAGGGTCGAGTAGAGAAGAACTCCGGAGTCATCCCATGTGGCGCTCTTGATTCTGATCGTTTCGTGCAAAGTGCTCACCTGCTCCAAGGACTTGTTGACAATGGTCACATTGTGCTTGCTTAGTAAGGCGGCATAAAGCCCGTCATTGGACCAGGATACATATTTGACACCGCTCACACCCAGTTCCGCTAGTTGCTTCTTCTGCTGGATGTCATAGAGGACGACATTGGTGGGAGTGATGAGCAGGAGGCAGCCTGGGCCACCGTAGCTGATATCGGTCGTGCCAAGTGGTGCCTTGAATGATTTTGTTGTGGAATTGCTCAAGTCTTTGATCTCAACCAGCTGTGTAGAAGTGGCGAAGACCGCGAAGCGATTTCGGGCGACAAAAACTGCAGCATTGCCAGAGCCACGCTTGACATCGGTTGGATCTGACGCACCAGTCGCATCTCGTGGAAGAGCAATCAGTTCATAGGTACCGCTGTCCGAAGGCGACGTGACCAAAATAGATCTCTCTGCGGGGTTATAAGAGAGTGTCCGTAGAGGGACCCAGTTGCTCCCAAGCTTCCTAAGTGACAGGAGCGAAGGGGATTCGGCGTTCTTGGTGAAATCGTATGATCGGACGTGCTTATCCTTCGTGATATAGAACAGCTGGTTTTGATAGACCGAGAATGCTGGCCGTTCTCGTTCAAGTTTGAACACCATCACACCGTTGTCATGACCTGCGGCAAAAAGGTTGATCTCTGGATGTGCTGCAATCACCCAGAAGCGGTCATTTTCTCGCTTGAATGACTGGACCGATGTCCTCTTATTCAAATCCCAAACCCGAATTGTCTTGTCTTCGCCGACAGACAAAATCAAGTCCTGATGGGGATGGAACAGACATGCAGACACATTCTGAAAATGTCCGCGACAGGTGTCTACCTCCCATGCTTTTGTTTCGCTCATTCTCCAAAGCTTGACCAGGCGATCGTCACCAGCAGAGACAATCAACGGCAAGGTTGGATGGAATGCAACCCAGTTCACCCCACGATCGTGACCTTCTAACACAAATTTGACGACGGCGTCGGTATTTCCAAACATGTCAGCTTGTTGTTGGCTTGCGCGTGCCATCTGGTCTTCAAAGCTTATGGAAGTAGGTGCTGAATGCTTCTTGCGCAGACCAGAAATGTCCCAGACTCGAACGGATTGATCTAATGAAGCGGAGACAATCAGGTCTTCTTTGGGGTGGAATTGTGCACACATCGCGTAATGATTGTGACCGGTCATCGTGCAGACTGTAACTCTGTGAGCGAAGCCTCAAAAGGGTGTCGAAGTACCTACTCAGCGATCGATTCTGCCAATTCCATATCCTGATCGTCTGATCATCTGAGGCTGACAATATCCAAGGCAGTTCATGGTGAAAGAAGACCGTTCGAACGTAGTCAAGATGGCCATTGAGTGTGAAGAGACATCGTCTTGTTTGGTATGACCAGACTTTGATCTTGTAGTCGTCTCCTCCAGAAACAAATAACGGCTGTGTCTTGTGGAAGTCTATACCGCGCACTGGTCCGTCATGCTCCTCAAACCTGTCGATGAGTGTGCCCATTCGATAGTCCCATAGTCTGTTCGGCGCAGTTAGTTTAGGAGGTGACCGAAGTTTGTGAGGCACTTTACTGGATCGTGCTGCTGTGCAAGCTAACCAGGATCCATGGTCGTTTAGGATGAAAAGCCAGGCCCTTTGCCCGGCTGCTCTTGCTTTCGAACTGCATGACCTGTCAGTGCAAGTGCATTGGGAATGCTAGGAAGATGGATTACCTTGGTGAGCATCGAAGGGGACGCCATGTTGGCGTATTCCGAGACGCTTAGCTGCTTATCTTCGGGAGTAGGTACTGCTCATGATAACTTGACACAACCTGTATTCTCTAGGACAGATCAACGGACGCGACAGGTAGTGTCCCTGTGAAGTATGTTGTCGCTTCAGAAAAGGTAAAGGTGGCTCCGTGACCCAGGGGGACCAATTTGGCCCGCAGCGTGTTGGTGTTTATTTCATAGGGAAGGTACGGCGAGGCACATTAACAGCCCTACGCCGCCAGGACTTGGCTCTGGACTTCGACCTCAGTTCCTGGATCTTGCCAGAGTGGCCCGGCACGTCTCATACCGTCTAGCTGCACCACACCTACGCTTGGTTCGAATTTACAGCAACTAACCATCGTCATCTCCAGTCTGGAACAAGTTGTCCTTCTGGTCAAACTCTCGGGTGCTTGGTCGCAAAGAGAGCTGGGATTCCGTGTCCCCAGAATGCGCTGTTGAAGGAGGTGTGAGATACATAATCGCGAAGATGGATCAAGCGCAATACGATGCAATCAAGGACAATTGGGCGGAGGTGGAGGATAGAGATGGTGTTAGACTCAGCTGGAATATAATACCATCGTCGCGCATGGTTGGCCTCCCCGGGAGTCGCATACGACTGGACTGACATCTAGCAGGAAGCGAATAGACTGGTGGTACCACTGAGTGCTATGCTCACGCCTCTCAAAGTGAGCCTTTCCAAAGCTTGGATGTAATTTTACTGATCCCTTCCCAGGAACTCAACAAACCACTCCTGAACTATGAGCCTGTCACTTGCAAGCCGCCTTGTCGAGCAGTGCTAAACCCATTTGCGAATGTGGATGTCCGGGCGAAGATATGGATCTGCCCTTTCTGTTTGCAGCGGAACCAACTACCTCGTCACTATGGCGATATCAGCGCAGAGAACGTCCCTCCGGAGATGCACAGCTTAAATACCACCGTGGAATACCAGCTTGCACGACCTGCGCCTGCCCCGCCGATCTTTGTCTATGTGGTCGATACCGCGATTGAGGAGGATGGCTTGCAAGCCTTAAGGGAGACATTGGTCATGAGTCTGTCATTGCTCCCAGCAAATGCTCTGGTTGGACTCGTTACATTTGGCACAAATGTTGCTGTTCACGAAATCGGATATACAGAGTGCCAGAAGTCATACGTGTTCCGAGGGAGCAAAGACTACGCCGCAAAGCAGGTCCAAGAGATGCTTGGGCTGGCAGCCCCAGGGTTGAGGCCCAATATCCCACCGCAGCAAGGGCGACCACCCCCACCGATAGGCCCAGCGGCTCGTTTTCTGCTCCCTGTCCAGCAGGCTGAATTTCAAATCACGAATGCCATCGAGCAATTGCAGAAAGACCCATGGCCCGTTGCGAATGATCGACGGCCGCTCAGATGCACCGGTGTCGCTTTGAACATTGCAGTTGGTTTGCTGGAAACTTCATTCCAGAACGCCGGAGCCAGAATCATGCTTTTTGCTGGAGGTCCGGCCACCGAAGGACCAGGTACGGTGGTTGGTCCCGAACTTCGCGAACCTATCCGCTCGCATCACGACATCGACCGCGATAACGTCAAGCACTTCAAGAAGGCCATCAAATTTTATGAGAACCTAGCAAAGCGTACTGCTCATAACGGCCATATCATCGATCTCTATGTTGGTTGCCTTGACCAAGTGGGCCTTCTGGAGATGAAGGGGTTGGCGAACTCCACAGGCGGCCACATGGTCCTGACGGACAGCTTCACTTCATCGCAATTCAAACAGTCATTTGTGCGAGTGTTCGACAAGGATGAGAATGACAATCTGCTCATGGGATTTAATGCATCCCTGGAAGTTATCACCACTAAGGAACTCAAGGTGACAGGCCTCATTGGCCACGCAGTATCCCAGAACAAGAAATCAAGCTCCGTCGGTGAGACAGAGTGTGGTATCGGTAATACTTCCTTATGGAAAATGTGCGGCATTGATCCTACATCCAGCTACGGCATCTATTTTGAGGTTGCCAACCAGGGAGGTCCAACGCCAGTGCAACAAGGTCCACAACGAGGGATGATGCAATTCTTGACATACTATCAGCACTCTTCTGGCCAGTATCACCTCCGTGTCACAACTGTAGCGCGAAATTTGAGTGGTCCAGCAGGGGACCCGGCCCTGGCGCAATCCTTTGATCAAGAGGCAGCTGCTGTGCTTATGGCCAGAATTGCAGTCTTCAAAGCGGACGTTGACGATGGTCCAGACGTCTTGCGTTGGGTCGACCGAATGCTTATTCGACTATGTTCGCGATTTGCAGACTACCGCAAGGACGATCCGACATCTTTCCGGCTCGACAAGAACTTCACCTTGTACCCTCAATTCATGTTTCACTTGCGCAGATCCCAATTCTTGCAAGTCTTCAACAACTCGCCGGACGAGACCGCATTCTATCGACATGTCCTCAATCATGAATATGTGGGCGACTCGTTGATCATGATACAACCAACTCTCGACTCCTATGGTCTGGAACACGAAGGAGGCCAACCAGTCCTGCTCGACTCGGCGTCTATCCAACCCCACACTATCCTTCTCCTCGATACATTCTTCCAGATTCTCATCTATCACGGCGAAACAATTGCCGAGTGGCGCAAAGCCGGTTACCAAGACCAAGAAGGCTATGAAAATCTCCGAGCATTGCTCGAGGCTCCGAAAGAAGATGCCCGAGACTTGGTCCAAGACCGGTTCCCCCTACCAAGATTCATTATCTGCGATGCTGGAGGTTCCCAAGCTCGTTTCCTTTTGTCGAAGTTGAACCCTTCCACCACCCACGCAACAGGGGGATATGGAGGAGTCTCTCAGACCGCGCAAACAATCTTCACTGATGATGTGTCGCTGCAGACTTTTATGGACCATCTTATGAAGTAAGTGTTTCCTGAGCACCACTGTGATTCGTGCTAACATTGTTTAGACTGGCGGTTTCTGGTTCAAGTTAGAAACGTACATGGTGGCCAAGCTTACCACGACCTATTGAAGAATGACGATGTGGCAAGCATTCAACGTGATGTGTATAGGCGTGATCGGGTCTGTTCAGATCCTCAAACGCCGGAGTTGGGACGTCTTCTAAAGGCGAGAGCCGAGACCGATTCCCTTGATCGGCACATTCAGTACAACTAGATATCTCGAGCAGAGTCTGAATGAAACGAGTCACTTAGCACCTGCCGTCCCTTATCCATCTCTGATTCAGGTAGCTGTTCGGATGCCCCTAATGCCCTCCAAAGCTGTACTGTGTAGGGAGTATGTAGTGATGATCATGCATCTGTAAGCGTCTCTGATCCGCCCTAGCTGCATTTTCCCCCAATCAGGATAAGCGCCGCATTTGTCGCACACTTTCAGTCTTGGCAGCTCGGAAAATGATTTTGGGCCCAACTCAAGTGCGAGCATCCACGCACGACCTTGGTCTTTTCCTCCAGTGTGCGACAATCCTCATCACCTCAAGAAAGACAGACTACCTTCCGCACTCGCCATGCGTAAGTATCGTCCTCTTGAGCAGCATCGGCTAGGCGGCTAATATGGTTATTGTGCAGCTCCCAAGCTCGATCCCAATGAGGTGAAGATCATGTAAGAGCACCCGAAATGCCTGCCTATTTTTGTCTGCAATTCAGCAACGTCTCCGAGACTGACAATCTGCTTCTAGCCACCTCCGCGCCACTGGCGGTGAGGTCGGATCCTCAGCAACCCTCGCTCCCAAAATCGGTCCCCTCGGTCTGTCGCCCAAGAAGGTCGGTGAAGACATTGCAAAGGCCACCGGCGACTGGGTACGTCTCTCCGCCTCCTATCCGATCTAGAACCTCTGTTCGCCTCGAATCGAGGCTGGTTTCAAGGGCAAGACCACCACTAACGCATTGAACAGAAAGGTCTGCGCGTGACAATCAAGCTCACCATCCAAAACCGACAAGCTGCCGTTTCGGTGGTGCCGTCGGCCTCTTCCCTCGTCATCCGCGCTCTCAAGGAACCACCTCGGGACCGAAAGAAGGAGAAGAACATCAAGCACAACAAGTCGATCCCCTTTGACGAGATCATCGACATTGCCAGGACCATGCGTGGCGCCAACAAGTCTCTGGCTCGCGAGTTGAAGGGTACGGTGTTGGAAATCCTGGGTACCGCCTTCAGTGTCGGCTGCCAGGTTGACGGACGTTCGCCCAAGGAGATCAGTGACGATATCAAGGAAGGCAATATCGAGGGTAAGTCTCGGCTGCCATCCTCGAGTTTCCACCGAGGTTTTCTCCGCACCTACTAACAGATGGCCATTCTAGTTCCCGAAGAATAGACTTCTATTTCACTGCTTCGCTATTGAGGCACGGCGTTCCTCGAAAATGAAAACAAAAATCTGAGTGTGATGATACCCATGATCATATTCCTCACAGGAAGAGGAAACAGACCTTCCACAATGAAATTTTCGAAACATTTGTTTCCTTAATCCGCCAGCAAGAATTCCGTCATCCATACCGTTTTGTGCCACTCCATGGATTGTCAGTCGCTAGGCGTGGTATGCAAGATTTCCAGCTTGGATCAACGTGCAATCTTCCTTGCAGACGATCTTGTCCCCTTCCCCTTCCCCTTCGCCCTTCCCACTCTCGAAACATTACTCCTTCTCTAGCATGAGACTGAGACCTTTGCCAACACTCTGGCCTTTATCCCTCCATCCGGAGCTATCCCAGGATATGGGCCTATTTTGGTGCAAAGAAGATCAATCTTCTGACACGTTACTCACCGCGGCATCCAGCCTCTCTTTTGAGGCAGTGGGTGCAGTGGTCCATCAAACCTGTGTCTACAATCTGTCACTCGTGAACTTTTCTGCCGGCTCATTCCCGCCGCACTTGGTTACTTTGCAGGCAGACCGCAAGAATTATGGAGATGTCTGAGGACAATGCGCGTAGACGTTCTGCTGCTCTGCCTTCTATGTTGATCCTGCAGTGGTGAAATCCTTCAGCGATGTAGGAGCAAGCTCAGGGGCCAGAACAGCTCCGTAGTCCACGTTTCCATCCATTTAATTCCATTGGTACCGTACAAACCTCATAATAATACGCCTTTTGTATATGATCTCGCTGCGTTCTGTTTTGCCGGGGTTGCCTTAAATACCAACCCCAGCGAGCGCAAGGACATGTATCTTTTCGACTTATAGGACCATTCTCCTTGCAACAACCCGAGAACAAGACATGCCATAAACATCAATCATTCATGGCCACAATTGCCTCGTTCATGCGGAAAGAACTCCAGAAATTACCAGGTGGAGGGCACTTTGGGAAAGTCTTTGGATGCTACTCCCAGATCTGCAAAGACGGCATCGTCACCTGAAGACATGTCAGAATGTGGCCAAGAGAGAGAAACCCTGCTGGAGAGCTCGTGCAGCCGCTTACCTTTGAGGTGCTTCACTCGGATTTCGTCCTCGCCTTCCAGCCTGTCCAGCTCATCTTCCGGAGGCGCCTTGCCCTCTCGTTCGTCTTTGGGCCTCTGCTCCGTGGCCGCGTCCCAATGGCCTCCGATGATCAGCACCTGTGTGTTGGGGTAGTCCAGATATTTGGGCTCCAGCGGCTTCCAGCGGAGATCTCGGAACTCATCCAGGAGCTCCTGCGGATACTCTGGGCCTTTTGGCAGATTGGTGTTGCTGGGCTGGGGTTTGCTGGGATTCTTCACACTCAGGATAAAGCTTCCGCGCTCCTGGAGACCGAGTTCCTTCTGGACTTCTCCGAGCTCGCCTGGGATGGTGATGATGTAGGCTAGATGCGACTCACGACCTGTCGAGGTGATTGCATAGACGCCCTCTGCCAGGGGAGTGGCTGGAGGCGAATGGCTCGTCCCCTGTGTCTTGGTGACGTAGTCCGAGCCGGCCAGGAACGAACCCTTGAGATCATGCAAGCTCGTCTTGGCTTTCTCGACAAAGGCCAGGAACCTGTCCCTGCCGCTTTGTGGAAGGACCTTCTTGGGCAGGGCCAGGAGTCGAGAGGTTGCCGCATCATCGATCGGGCCGTTTCCGAGTTTGGCATCGATCGGAAGTGGGTGCAGAACGACGTAAGTCCGGGCGACGTCGTTGACGTCTTGAGGATCATCGACGTTGACTCTGGCGCGGAAGAAGAAGTAGATGATGCCCTTTTCGAGGATGCTGGATGGAACATCATCGCCTTCTCGTCCATCGGCAATAACGGCGTTACCGTTAGCCTGACTCGGCTCTGAACTCTCCTCTTGCTTCGTTTCTTCTGTGTGAGTGGCTTCTTCTGCTCCGGTCTCTGCTTTGGTTTCTGGCTGGGCTTCTTCGGCATCAGGACCGGTTGTCTTGACGGCGTCTTCGACCTGCGGCTTGCTGTCTTCTTCTTTGGCTTCAACAGCATGGCCGTTCGCTTGTTCGGCCTTGGTTTCCTCTGGCTTGACCTGGTCCTTTTCCTCAACCTTTTCTTCCTTTTGCTTTTCAGGAGCCGGGTGATCATGCTGGCCACTGACAGCCTGATGTCAGCATGAACCTCTGTCAGGGGTAGATATACGGGGGCTTACTTCTGGATAGTCTCCTCTAGAGTCTTCTGCTCTGGCTCGGCTGCCTTCTTACCGCGCTTTGCGATCGGCGAAGAGCCTGTAGCCTCATTCTTTCGCTTCTTACTGGCGGGCGACGACTTCGGCTGCGACGGAGAGGAGGTCTGCGATTGAGCGGCAAGGCGCGCAGAAGAGCGTCTTCCTGTCATGGTGGACAGCCTGACGTTAACGCGACGGTGGGAAGAAATCCAAGGGAACAGAATAGCAATGCGCCGAAGTTGACGGGTGAGAATTGACGGTTAGGATGGGAACTCCAAGTTATTAAGGATGGCGCATGCTGGGTGGTGGTTCGGAGTTCCTTGGAGGTCGACGACAGTCTACAGTCTACTCGTACACTACTCCGTGCATGCCGGGGTGTTCGGTCAAGCTACTCCACAGTTCGCGAGCTGCGGCACCATGATGTAAGAAGGGAAAGTCCCGGACTGGATCAGCAGATGGCGCGAAGCGTTGCACAAAGATTGGATGCTGGTGGTGTGCCGATGCTAGTCAGGAACTTTAGACCTCGGGCCTCCAACGAAAAGAAGCGTCCATGGCTATTGGCTGGCCCCGCGCTGAGCCAGTACATCTGGGGCTGCCATTTGTGAACACTAAATGTATCCTGACCGGAGTAGGTAATAACCAAATGCACAAAAGTTCCCTATTTACCAGAGGTATCCGCGTGTCCAAACATCCCTAATTATCAGGCAGGCCGGCCCTGAGTATCCTAGCCCATGTCCATAGCGTTGAAGCGGTCGTCATCTTCAGCTACTGGGGTCGATGCTGTCTCCGGTGTGCCTGAGTTAGAAGACAGGATCGTGGCTTCGTGCTCGTCCGTCTTGTCCGAGCTGTCGGACCATGCCGCCGTCGCCTGCTTCTTCATCAGCAGGTGCGCCATGCTCTGCTTGCTGCTTTTCTTCTTTCTCCGCTTGAGTGGAGGCTGCTCAGTCCTCGTGTCCACCAACTCCGACACTTCGAGTACAGTACGCTTGCCCGGGGGATTGGGATTGGGATGGTCAGCCACCATATCCCTCGACCTGCGTTTGTGTGCCCCTTCACTGGCGTCCCGACTAGATGGACTAGGAACATGGGGATGACAGGATAGTCTCCGGAGGTTACCAGCCAACTCGTCATCAGTGTCGGGCCACACTTTCCACAGAGTCTTGTGGTCCTCGAAATCCGAGTCGGGTTCCTCGTACTGATCAGGGAGGAGAACCTCGATATCCCCATCGTAGCCCATGTCGTCTGGTGTTAACTCTTCGATGGACAATCGATTGCTGGATACCCGACGGGGCCGCTTTTCCATCTTTGCCTTGTGTACGGCCATCATAGAAAAGCCGGGCAGGAAGCTAGCCTTTCGCATCGACGGAAGAGCTGTGGGCCGTCCTGTTTCTAGGCCTCTCAAGCTCGTCCAGCCGTGTGCCAGACATGAGGCCCAGGTCGCAAGGGGAAAAGTGTCTGACCAGCCTGCTGGCAATCTCACAGAGGCGTCGGCTCGAGGTGAAGACCGAGCTGATGCGGCTTATCCGAAGGTCGTTTGCTGTTTCATACCAAAGGGTAAGGGTTCGAGCTTCGAGTAGACGTCAATAGAGACCTGCCCGTGGATCCTGCCAGACAGTCGCAGCTCACAATACGAATACAGTGGGCCATGATGGTACAAACATTATGGTATGATGAAGACGATGATGATAGTTCACAGAATAAAACGATCAGTGGCGAGTTCCACTCTCAGCCTCGCTATTAGTTGCCCGTAGACTGTAGTTCCAATTGCTTCCAGTGGCTGCTGGTCACTGTGCCAAGAGATATCGCACGTGCGCGGAAGAACAGTTCTTCCTTTCCGTGAATAATCACTGGTACGGTGGTGTCGTACAAATGCTTAGTCACTACCAAAGTTGATTGATGGTGATTGGTTCACTAGGTGCCCTCGTCGGTCATTCGGGATTTTATGTTAACTTGTTAACTCCTTTTCGTACAACTCCCAACCCACAACCTCCATTGATATCCATACCTATAGTACCACCTATTCCTATGCCGTTGGTGTTTCGCACAACGAAAACTATTAGGGGGCCCTTGACTGTGACCGCTATGACCCAGTCCCGCAGTTATGGGCCCTCACGGTTGTACGATGGACGCCTTGAAACCGTGATAGAAAGACTTGACTGCAAGGGCGTATAGCCATGGTGCTTTGTACGATGCAAAACGCTGTCAATGTTCGGAGATACGCCGTTCGGAAGATCGACCTACTGTAATGGTACAGAGTACGGGTATATCTAGGGAGCGGTACCCAAATCCCGGGCCAGACCTGTGCGCAGATTTCGTAGCACACCATCTTGAGAGCATCCGACAGAGATTGGCAAGCGAGGGCAAGACATGGCCGTCCACCCAGCCGCAGGACCTCCTGGTGAGAACGATGCGTCCAATGAAACAACGGCAGCGAGCTCCTCCACCACCAGTATCGTGAAGATGGGCATGGACAAAGATCTGGAAAAGGGCCCAGGACTTGCCGAGCAGCAGGCATCTCAATACCCGGTGCACCCTTCCTCTGCCGGCGAACCAGAGAAGCGGGTTGACACTGGTGAAGACGGTGGAGATGGACTGGCCATCAACCCTCCGCCCATCAATCCCATGGATCCTTCCCAGTTTCCAGACGGAGGGCTGAAGGCATGGACCGTGGTGTTTGGGGCAGGATGCGCCATTGGGGCCAGTTTCGGCTGGATCAACTGTCAGTCTTCCAAGTCGCCCCCTCTCTTGAGTCCAGCCTCGCCCGGCAAAGAATGACCATCTTTTCTGACGACCACACTTTGTTCCAGGCATTGGCGTCTTCCAAGAATACTACGAAACCCACCAGCTCAGAGCATACTCGTCGCAGGAGGTGGCATGGATTCCCAGCCTGGAAGCATTCATGATGTTCGGGGGCGGACTGTGGATTGGCAGAATCTACGGTGTGTGTTGCGGCCCTGTTTGCGTTGGCATCCCCTCCACCAAGAAGCAGACAGTCCTCTCTCTTCTCGATTAAATTGGCCGCACCATGTTGCTGACATACCTTTCCCCAGACAACTACGGCCCGCGGTACATCTTGCTCGCCGGGACGTTCTTCCACGTCTTTGGACTCATGATGGCCTCCATCTCGACGAAATACTACCAATTCCTTCTCGCCCAGGGCGTTTGCAGCGCCCTCGGTGCCTCAATGATCTTCTACCCGTCCTTGTCCGCCGTGGTGTCGTGGTTCCTCAAGCGGCGCGCTCTGGCCATGGGCGCCGCTGCCTCAGGCTCCTCGCTCGGAGGCGTCATCTTCCCCATCATGGTCGAGAGGCTGATGCCTGAAGTCGGCTTCGGTTGGACCATGCGCATCTGCGCCTTTCTGATCCTGGCACTTATGATCGTTGCCAACCTGACCATCGTCAGTCGGATAGCGCCTCATCCGAAACCGGTCCGGCCCAAGGATTTCGTCGTGCCTTTCAAGGAGGTTTCGTTTGCCTTGTTGGCCCTGGGCAGCTTCTTGTCCTTCTTGGGTACGTGTGTTTGTTTTTTACCTTTCGTTTCGCTTCGTTTACCCCCTCCCTCCCATCCCCTCCCATCCATCCAGACAATCCTTAATCATCGCACCGAACATGAAGCGTGGATGGGATGGGATGGGATGATGCCTATGTGAGAACTACATGCACTACTCCAACAGGGCTGACCTTTGTTTCATGTCCGTTCGAACTTTTTAGGGCTCTTCCTCCCCTTCACATTCATCATCTTGGCCGGGCGGGCGCACCACGTGCCCCCCAATCTGGCCAAATACCTCGTGTCCATCCTCAACGGGGCCAGCACCTTCGGCCGCACCATCCCGCCCTTCTACGCCGACCGAGTGGGCAAGTTCAGCGTCTTTCTCGCCATGACGCTGCTGTCCGCCCTGATCACCCTGTGCCTGTGGGTCCCGGGCTCCGGCACCGCCGCCACCGTCGTGTTTGCCGTCATCTACGGCTTCAGCTCCGGCGCCGTCGTCAGCCTCCTACCCGCCCTGATCGCCCAAATCTCGCATATCCACCAGATCGGCGTGCGCTCCGGCGCCCTCTTCAGCGTCGTCGCCGTCGCCGTCCTGGTCGGCAGCCCCATCGGCGGCCAGCTGATCACCAACTCAGGCTTCCGCAGTATGCAGGGCTTCAGTGGCGCCCTGATGGCCGCGGGCTTTTGTGTCTATTTCATCCTCTGGGCTAGGTTGGGTGGCTTGAAGGGGAAAAAGATTTAGCTTTATTAGAATATTCCGCTGATGCCGCCTATATACTACTAGACCTAGACGTACATGGCATTTCCTTTGCTATGTCGAAAATTGGCATGTGGGCTGCTTGTGGCTGGCCCTTACGGTAAAACATGTATACAAGTGGGTTGGGAAACACGCAGCGACACTCTGCGTCCTGGATTGAATACTATCTCCAATCTCATCTCGACTGACACATGGCACAGTGCCGGCCCCGTGGCAGCCTGCAGGAACACCAAAGAGGAATATAGACAATAACCAGAATAACAACCACAACAACAGTCAGAGTCCACAACCTCGCTATGCTGCGCGCAAGCTGGTATCAGGACTGCTGGCTCTTGCCGGGTGATCTTGGTACGTCTCGAATTCAACTTCTACCAGCCTGCTGGCACGGAACAGACTTAGTGTCCCCTGAGAAGTGGTGGACATCAAACTTCTAGTTTCAGCTGTCCTCCTCCTCCTCGTCAATCAGAAACTCGACAAACGGATCCAATTCAATCCATTTGAACATCGGGCCCCATTTCGCACGGAACTCCTTTCGCTTGTAAAGGCTACTGGTGTTGAGTCTAAAACTGACCAACTCAACCGCCCAGCCTTTTTCCAATGCACGCTCGACCATCCGCAAAAATCCGCCAGAGTACTCTGCCTCTGCGGCATCACCTGTGGCGAGGACAATGGTGCTCGGTTTTTCCGCGTCGATCAGCGACTCCAGGATCTTCAGGTGCAGAATTTCGTCCACAGCCTGCTCGACCCATTTCTCCGCCGCCGGGGTGTTGGTATTGGGGAAAGTCGTGTTCGTTTCAGAACCACTCGTCTCCCCTGCAGAACGGTACTTCTTCTGCCGCGGCGTCAGCTCTTTGGCTTTGTGCACGCGTTCAAGAATGTTGGTTTCGAAGCCAATCGATTTGGCTTGTCGAATGGCGGCGTATTTGTCGGATCCGACAAGGACGCGCTTGGCGGCTGGCCGGCCTCGTTCGAGAACAAGTGAAAAATTGTGGAATGACAGTGGGACACGCTTGAGTCGTGTCTCCCGTGCCATGCCACGAGCTAGTTTCAAACAGTCGTGAAAGCCAATGGATATGTTCGAGATGTCGACAAATACATGGATCCCAATCTTGGATACATTCAGAGGGGTAAATGCAGGCTCCAGCAATCCAGAGTTCTTCAAATACCTCTTCTCCTCGGGATATTGACGCGTCAGTGCCGTTATGAGAGCCTGTTTCCTCGCCCTCGGAGACAATCCATCACGAGGAGCAAATCCTATGCGGTGTGATGGTGAGGGAACACCAGGAGCAGTCCACAGAAACGGGTTGGAAACAGGCCAGTCCCGCTTCGGAGTCCTCAGTCCTGACTTGGGCGGCGAGGGCGAAGTTGGTGGAGAGTAAGCATCACGAATAGTTGGCCTATGTCGACCAACAATGTCATCGATAACCGCACGTCGGTCCGGAGACCTGCGCAGGGATTCAAGCTCTTCACCAGACTCAGGGTCGGTAGTATCGGATATGGATTTTTGTTCTGATTGGGCAGGAGGCTTTTCTGCTCTCTCCTTAGCTCTTGCTCTCCTTTCTGCTCGCTTTTTGTTGCGAATGTAGGCTGCGGTGGCTTTGGCGGGTTCGACATTGTCTTCTAAGTCAGCCCCGTCGACTTCATCTCGCCAGCGAACCCCTTTGCTCAGATGGTTAAGCTCAACCTCGGCCACAGGCTCATCGTTGACTTCGTACTTGATCAATTCCGAGTCCCGCTGGTCATCTGGTGTATCGACCGAACCGAGAAAGTCAAAAAGAATTGAGAAGTCTCCGAGGGAGTGGTCGACTCTTTCATCAGCTGCATCATGGTGGGAAGGAGGCGCAACGAGCTCTCGAGCGGAGGACGGGTCGTACTTGGGTAGACTGAGGGTCTGGAGGAGATTGATCGCGGAATTGAGATCCCATAGAGGGGGGTATTGGTCGTCTGGCATGTGAACTTCAGAGAGAGGCGTCCTCTCGCGATGTCGGATAGGTAGCGACTACAGAGGGGTAATTGTGTATAGACGAGAGGACAGGAAGTGTTGTCGTCTCATATCTTCGGTAGCTGGATACGTTCCAGGGTTGGTAGTGGCAGGAAGGAATGGATCTGTCTTGGGTTACACATGGAATAATTATAGCAAATCGTGATAGACAGTAGGTGGTAAGTGGTAAGTGGTAGTTGGTAAGTGGCTGTGTGTGATGATTCACAGCGAAACACTGTGAACGGCAAGTCGGAGATGCAAGAGTCATTCGGCACGGCTTAGCCCCCAGATTAGCGCTAGAGAGTTTAGTGAGCGTCCTAGACCTAACCAGGATGTTTGTCTCCATTTGTGCTGTGTGTCGCGCCGCTTTTGTAAACATCTTTTCACGACAACAACACCAGCACTAGGAACCTCTGCTCTCAATGCTCTCCCTAGTCTGCAAAGGCTGGTTTGAGAAGTCCTCGAGCCTATATATTGCCTTCTGCTGACCATCAAGCCCCTTGAATTTGAATATTCATACCACTATCGCTCTGAGTTGTCGTCCCAGAGAGAAGAAGCCTTAGACTTGTTCATCCAGGGCATATTGGCTTTCGATGAGTCTGCCAACGCACCTGTTTGCACCTTCTATATTTGTTCTTTGGGCAAGGTATTGAGACGTCTGAGAATTTTGTCGAACCGGCCAAATGGCCTCGCTCAGCTGTCCGGACTGCTGCCTGACGCCCATGGATTGATGACCACTGTCCAACCGCTCCCCAAAGGGCAGACCGTTCCGATGTGTCCAAAGAAGAGCAGACTCTTCAACGGTAAGCAAAGCAGAAGATTCACAGTACGTGGCCCATCTGCGACCCAAGAAAAAATGAATAGACAGACTCCAACGATGAGCAGGTACAAAGCAGATTCCTTTTTCCAGCACGGTTTGATTTCTGTTGGGTATGATAACCAAGTATATAGGAGCCAATTCACAACTGGACACTCTGGCCGTGAAAGACGATGATGATATTCATTCACCTCAAACCCCTTGCCAATATATGTTGAGGCTTGTTGGTGAATGCACTCTTCGATCGAAAGCTCGATCGTCGACATTGACAGTCAGCCATTCCCGCCCATCCCAACTAGCATCTCAACCCTACTAGTCGTCGACTGGTTGTACCTCCAGGGGGCGCCACGGTCTTTAAAGGCCATGTCCACTCGCTCTGTTCATTGCACATGTCGTCTGGCTCAAGGCACATGTCGTCTCGCTCAAGGCACATGTCGTTGACGACAATGCGGCAGAGGGCGGCTAGTGTCTCTCCTTGGCTGTCTTCGCTGCCACGCGGCTTAGCATGAGCACAATCATTCATCTCACGCCGACCTCATCATTCTCAATCGTCTCAACCTTCTCGCGGATCTCAAAGACATTGAACAGGAAATCGAAGTAACCATGGCTTCCAACCTCCTCACGGATCTCAAGGACACCGAACAGAAGACCGAAGCACCCATGGCTTCCAACCTTGTCGCGGATCTCAAAGACATTGAACAGGAAATCGAAGCAACCATGGCTTCCAACCTCCTCACGGATCTCAAGGACACTGAACAGCAGACCGAAGCACCCATGGCTTCCAACCTTCTCGTGGATCTCAAAGACACTGAAGAGAAAGTCGAAGCAACCATGACTTCCCATCCTTACGCTTTAGACGAATTCAAAGATCGTGCGAGCATCTCCTTCCACATCCCTTTAAAGGTATGTCCCGGCAAGGAGCATGATCAAAGACAAAGGCTGACACTGTGGCCACAGATCATGGGAACTATAGCCATGGAGGGTGGCCGGCCAGCCATCACCGAAAAGACATCAGCATTCGAGAATCTCCCCTTGGAAGTCCACACTGGCATTATCAGAGTGCTCAAGCACGTCGATGCAGCTATCCTAGCCCTCACCAGCAAAACCATGGCTGCAATTGTGCTGGGCGATCCAGACTTCTCCAACATCGCCGATTGGGAAGAAATGGGTCATTTGAAGTTGCACCACGGACCATTCTTCGAAATGCTTTATGGCACGGATCTGCTCCGCCCTCTCATCCCATGCCACATCATCCCATGCCCCCTCTATGCTCGGCAGATGTGGATTTGGAGCGCTCGGGTCAAAACCCGTGCCTGGATAGCCAGACAGGCCGAGCGACAAATTGCAAAGGCTAGCCAGGGAAAGGCGAGCGAATAGCAAGAAAGGGGACGACGAAGGATGCCGAATGATGGCGGTTGACACTCACATTCAACAACAACGACAGAGACAATGGAACAATAATGGCCACGAATGGTCATTAACAGCTAGCTGAGGATTGGAAGATTTCTGAGAGCGGAATTGGAGCTGCTTCGTTGGAAAGACGTGACTATTGTGGCTAATTAGCAAGGCTGCTGATTGGAAGGTTGCTGAAAATTGCAGGATTGCTGAAAATTGCAAGATTGCTGAGACCAGAATTGGGGAGGAAGATTGCTGAGAGCTGAATTGGAGCTCCTTCGTTAGAAAGGCATGGCCAATGTGGCTGGCTGGCTGGTTGGCAAGGCTGAGGCTGGGAGAAGTAGGCGAGGCTCACTGAGGTGGAGGTGAAAGCCGAAGCCGGAGCAGAAGCAGAAATCAATCACGAAATAATGAGCTCATGTTCGGCTTTCCGAGGTACCACCAGTACCACTGTAAACTTGCCGTAAGGAAGCTCGACGAGCAGTGATTCGTCAGTGGACCACATCTCCAAGGGGCGTCGATCTCGGAAGTCGTCGCAAGTCTGTAGCCCCTTAGCCTCGGCTACGAGAACCGGAAGCAGAGAAGGCCACGACAGGTTTCCAAGATACACTGTACAATGTACATACCTGGTACCTTAGGTACAGAGATACACCCTACATACCTGGTACCTACAGAGATACACCGTACAGACCTGGTACCTACAGAGTATGCCCTATGGAGTGGATGCTTGAGCAACTCATGCAGGGAAGCCTTACCGAGTACGAATCCTCTGTACGGAGTCATAGTCATAGTCAATTATTGGAAGGATGGGTGGCTTAGGCCGTGTCCCTGGATGCCTTCTAGTGCTGTGCCTTACCCCTCTCGAATGCCTCAGGCGCACAGCACACATTAGATACTGATAGTAGAACTAGACAGCCACCTCTCAGGAGTCATCAGGATGCCAGATGCCATTGTGTGCGGGGGACGGAATCTCGCGCAGGGAAATGCACAAAGCCTCGGGGATGATGACGGCAATCTCGGAAACGCCTCTCGCGTCATGTTATCACCGTGAGCGTCTCGACAGACGAATCTCGAGCCATGCTGCTCGTCGTTCTCGTAAAAGATTTGGGATATTCTCCGCAGCGGAGCAACGGTTGGGCGGTGCCAGCGTGCGGGGCCTCCACGACTTCGACTTCGATCTCGGCAGTGCAGCCCCTCAAACTCCCACATACGCCGTCTCAGGGCCTGATTATCAACACTACTACAGGTACGCGCCCCCGACCTCTCCCCTACTCCTCCTACTCCTCCTCCTCCTCTCTGACTTCTACCCATCATTCTCACTGCTGCCCGGTTCCAGACCGCAGACCGCAGACCCCAGTTCCCAGTTCGTCATGGCTGGTATTCAAGGACAACTCGAGCGTGGTGCCGTCCCCAACCATATCTCTAATGTCTGTCCCAAAGGAACCAAGCTACATGTCCTGGAGGTTGGGTGGCTGGAATGCGACGAGGCGTTCGTGACGCGAGGCGGAAACACCAGCCTGAAGAGCAACGAGACCAAATCATTCGTCAACAAGCGCAGGGAGCTGCCCATGTATTGTATCCTGATCGAGCACCCCCATGAAGGTCTGATTCTGTGGGAGACGGGTTGCGGGAAAGACTATCCCGAGGTCTGGGGCCCCGCCCTGAGCGATGTTTTTGCTCGCGTAAGATATGAACCCAGACATGAGCTGAAAGCTGCGGTCGAAGCTACGGGGAACAAGCTCGAGGACATCAAGAAGATCATTATCGGCCATCTGCACCTCGACCATGCTGGCGGGTTGGACATGTTCCTGGATCGGAAAGATGTCGAGATTTGGGTGCACGACAAAGAGCTCAAAGCCGCATTCTGGTCCGTTGCAACCGGGGCTGATGCCGGTGTCTACCTTGAGCATTACCTGAAGTTGAGCTTGTAAGTGTCCCTGGGAAAGACAAATGACCTCCTCTGATCTCTGGCAGTAACTGGAAGACCTTCGATGACCGGACAATCGACTTCTGCCAGGGCATCACACTGCATCACTTGCCAGGCCATACTGATGGTAAGCTGATCACAAGGACTTTCTAATCCAAGCCAGATCTGACTTTGCGCCGTAGGTTTGATCGGAATGCAGATCAACCTGCCCGACAGCGGCACCTTCCTCTTCATCAGTGACCATTGCCACGTTATCGAAAATGTAAGTGTATTGTAACCCTTGGCTTTCTTGATGTTGACCGTTATATCCTAGTGGCGCGACGGTATTCCTCAGGGCTGGCTGGCGCGAGACCATCCCGCCTGGTTCCAGAGTACGCAGCGGCTTAAGCAATTGGAGAGGACGACCAGAGGGCAGGTGATCCCAGGACATGACAAGGAAACGTTCCTCAACCTTATCAAGGACGGCACTGTCTATACCTGACAGAAGAGTTGTGTGGGCTTGTGGCCACTCCGGTATGAGGTGTACAGTATGAGGCGACGTCCAGTCTGTTGATGCTAATCGGCTAGTTGACTGTCGCCTCTGGAAACGAGGTCAAATCAATGGTCTGAACCTTCGAGTAATTGATTTTCGGCCACAAGAATAGTGATAGCTTCTCTTCGTGGCAAAGTGTTACCAGAGTCAATTTGTCCACAGATTGCAGCCGTTGACATAGGTTTCAGCCTAATTAGGGGATGTTTCAGAATCGAGCCATGGCGGTGGTACACAACTTGAAGAAGATCGGTCGTTAGCCACTTGGCGACTCTTGTTCTGCCATGAACCACTGAGAAGAGGTGAGAGTGGACTCGACCATCTCAGGGCTCTCTTCAGAATGCTCCATTGCCGTGCTTTTATCCCTCTCCTTGGTTGTAAGAGAGAAACCGACAGACTTCCCGTTCCTGTTACTCAGCTTTTTCTCGACAAGGACATCTCCACTCCAAGGTCGACACCTGTAGACGAGCTCTCCACACCGCAGACATGACCAGCCACCGCCTTCCTCAGCCTCAATCTTAGTTGCTATGCATACAAAGCAGTAAAGGCAGCCGCACGGGAGGGTCTCATAAGGGTTGACGATATCAGTAGTTGCAGAACCAATTACACCGCCTCCCGCCCCCGTATTTGCTCCGAGGATTTCGGCTTCGGATGTCGAACTTGGGTTCTGATCTTGGTAACATATCGCGCACGTCCTTTCAGGAAGAAATGATAGCGGCCCGCTCTTGATCTTTTGGTCGTCATCCTCTGCTGATTCTGATCTCACTGCATCTTTGGCCTTCTTCCATGCCCTCGAAAGCCACTTGCGCCACCGATTTATTCCCACCAATGGGAGAAGAAACAGTAAAAATTCCGTAAAGGCATGCCACACCAGCTGACGATTGAGATATTCAAATGACACTTCTCGACTGACTTGATTAGACGGGGGCGCAAGTCTCAAGCGGAGGAGGCGGTCGGTGAGCGTCCGATAGCGCCCATTGACGAGGAAGACCAAAAATGAGCAGAACGCGGCGATCGAGTGGGTGGTTGAGATGAGAGAGGTGATTCGTATCAATCCCTGAGTCCGCTCTGAAGGAGAAGTGTAATCCCGCTCTTGATCGATAAGCCAGTCTTGCCACTTATCCCACCCATACCGCCCAAAGATCGTGATCAATCCGTATAGGCCTTTCTGCCACCTGGTCGGCTTCGGTAGTGCTATGCCGGGCTTCCGGGCATCGGTGTATCGGAGGTTCTGTAAGGTCGCCCCATAGGAGGCATCGTTATCCCATATGGAGAGCTTGAACAGGGCGGCTCTGAGGGCGAGCAGGATTTCTTGTGACCAGTCATCCTGCAGATGCGGTCCTAGATATCTGAGGGCATCTCCGACTTGTGTCTTCAAGAGCCGCAGGAGTTCCTCGTCGAGCAATTCGGCATCGACTTGGCCTACTCGAAATGCCGGTCTAGTTCCCTCGGACTCTAACAAAGTCGACCAAAACGAGGAGAGCCCCGGTCGAAAGGAATGGGCAAGTCGCGATAGCGAGGAAGGGGAACCCGTGACCTTCGCTTGTTGGTGACGTGCGCGGGCTTCTTGTCGTCTAGCGGCTTGCTGTGCTAATATCCGCTCTTGGGCAGCGGCAAAGCTGCTGGCTGGCATGGTACAGGCATAAGGAGAGTGGAAGATGGTGCGCAGGGCGAAAGTCGACAGTCCTAAAGATTTAAATGTAGTGGAAATTGCGAGCGGGCAGCCTGCGCAGCCGAGGCAGCATTTACGGAGTAGTGAGAGTTCGCTGTGGAAGTGAGCGTAGCAGTCTGACAGATGACTTTCACGCACGAAGGTCACTTGGAGGGAGGCATGATGGGGAATATTAACGTCAGACAGACGGATTTCGGCCTAGATAGATTGCTAACTGTCTAGCCGTGTTGTTTTAAAATCTGACTAGGCCGCTCACGGATATTGGCGCCGTTATTCCCGGCCAATTGGGGCTGCCCCTCGATTTGTTTCACCATCTGCCTGAAGAGTCTCAATTTTGAAAGACAATTGTTTGAACACCCGCGGCCTCACGTCGTGATCGTGCGTGCCTTTCTTCTTCATCTCTGCTCCTCTCCTCTTCGGTAACATGCTCAGATATCCTACCTAGCACTGTGTTCTACAGAAATGCCCTCCTTCACTGTCGAGGCGGAGGGCGAGACGAATCCGCTGACTAGAGGTCTGGTCATCTCTACCCTCACAAATGCTTCTCTACCCACGGCCCAGGCATTGAAGGTGGCCACTCAGCAGATCGGTAACTGGGAGAAGACACCCGGTTATTTTGCCCTTCTTCAAGATGTCTATGCCGACCTATCACTCAGCAATGAAGTCCGATTTCAAGCCATCATTCAACTCAAGAACGGTATTGACAAATACTGGCGCAAGACGTCTTTTAATGCCATAGACAAGAACGAAAAGGCGCAGATTCGGACAAAAGCGATCGAAGCCGGCGTCCGCGAGCCAGTTCCCGCTCTGGCATTGCAGAATGCACTGATGCTTGCTAAGATTGTCCGTTACGAGTTCCCCCACGATTGGCCTGATATTATCACCACCATCACTCAGTATCTCCGCGATGCCATTCAAGACCCTGCCACAGGCCAATATACCTCCAACATCCTCACAATCACTTTACAAATAATCAAGGAGCTCGCCTCCGGACGATTACAGCGGACAAAGAAAAGCCTGCAACAAGTATCTCTGGAGCTCCTCCAAGTTCTTGGCACCCTTTACATGAGTTTGGTAGCTCGAGCGGACTTAAGTTCGGCACACCCTGATCTCGCCAGTGCTCGCAACAGCCACTCTGCCCTCAAGACCTTGAGACGTCTCCTGGTCGTGGGGTTTGAAAGCCCGCACCGCGAGCAAGATGTTGCTCAATTCTGGATCCTCTTGCACGCACATCAGCAGACATTTTGGACAGCTTATAACCACAATCCTCCTGCCGAGGTGAAACCTATGCTGCTGAAGCATCTGCTACAATTTGCCAAACTCTATCTCGATATGGCTCGCAGTCATCCGGCCTCCTTTGTCTTGCTTGGCTGCATGGACATTCTCAATCATTCGTGGAGCATCATCAGCCAGAACGACGCCAAGTCGGCCCTGAATGGGAACTTCGACTGGGAGGTGTATCGCAATGGAGACATTAGTGACGCATCACCAAACGAAAAGCTTTCCCTCAAAGCGCTACTGCTATTTCGAGCATGCCTGAAGATGGTGTTCAACCCCGTCCAGACATTCAAGTACCAGACTATCCAGGACAAAGAAGACAGGAAAAATGCCGTCGACTATGTGAAAAATACCGTACTCACTGAAGTGTTTGTGGTCCAACTCATGGAGATTCTAGTGACCCAATACTTTGTCCTCCGGCCCTCCGACTTGAGAGACTGGGAACAAGAACCTGACGAGTGGGAAAGACGTGAAGAGGAAATCGCAGATGCGTGGGAATTCTCGATTCGGTCCTGTTCCGAGAAGCTATTTCTTGACCTTGTGATCAACTTCAAAGAGTTGCTCGTACCACGGTTACTCCAAGTTTTCTACGAATATGCAAATACCACGAACACCAACGTCCTGCTGAAGGACAGCTTGTACTCGGCGATCGGCATTGCAGCGGCGTGCCTAGAAGATGTCCTTGACTTCAACACGTTTCTGCGGACAACGTTAGTACCAGAAGTGCAACTGAACCACCCAAATTACAACATTCTGCGACGCCGCACAGCGATTTTGCTTGGTCAGTGGGTACCTATCAAACCAGAAATCCTCAACCGAGTCGCTGTTTACCAGATTTTCACCCATCTTCTGTCCAGTAATGAGCAGCTCAATGACCATGTTGTGCGCGTCACAGCGGGCCGACAGCTACGTCTCGTCCTCGAACCGTTCGAGTTCAAGTTCGCGGATTTCCAGCCATATGCTACACCACTGCTACAGAGTCTTATGTCTCTCATCGCTGAGACGGAATTATCAGAAACGAAAATGGCCCTTCTCGAGACAGTCAGAGTTGCCGTTACCAAGCTGGAGGGCCATATCGAACCATACGCGGGAGGCATCATGTCTATGCTGCCGCCACTTTGGGCCGAGTCTGGCGAAGAACACCTCATGAAACAGGCCATATTGACCATGCTTACAGCCATTGTCAACAGTCTTGCGCAGAGGAGTCTGTCGTACCATAATGCCATACTTCCGATTATCCACGACTCGATCCAACCAGGGTCAGAGGCCATCGTATACTTATTGGAGGAAGCGCTGGACCTCTGGGCGGCGATCTTGCAGCAGACACCAAGCAACGAAGCCTCGCCAGAACTCCTTGCCTTGTCACAATCACTGCTTCCACTGCTGGAATTGGGTAGTGATTTGCTGAGGCAGACATTTGAGATTGTCGAATCCTACACGATCCTGTCGCCCGCAACCGTGCTATCCCCAACCTTCCTTGGACCTCTTCTCGCATCAATGAAATCCCTTCTATCGATGCTTTCATCCAGTCGAGCACGGGACGCCTCTCTTGCGCCTCACGTGCTTGAGACTCTGCTTGCAGCAATATCCGTGAAGTCAGACCCTGCATTGGATCCGCAACAAGCGTTGACCCACCTTCTTGAATTGATGCTCAGTACCGGCTATCTCCCGACCCTTCTGGAGCTCCTGAAAGCAGCGTACGAGTATCATCAGAACCCGCGACCGAGCATCCGGCCCCCAGAAATCATCGGTCCTGGAGAGGCCAGCCTCTTCACGCTGCTTTCGCGCATAGCGCTTCTTTCTCCAGATAAACTCGTCCAAGCCGTCATCGCTGCCAACATCAATTCCACAGCCAGCTCCACCTCTTCATCTACAGCAGCCTCGCCGTCTCCTTTCCACTGGCTACTGACCGAATGGATGCAGCAGATCGATAGTATCGGCGACATTCTGCGCAAAAAACGCCAGGTCCTGGCACTGACCAATCTACTAACAGCAACAACCTCGCCCCTCCCAGAGTTGATGTACGACAACCTCCAGTCTTTGCTTACCATGTGGACCGATGTCGTCGTCGAGTTGCGCGAGGAAGCCGCTGAAGAAAGCGAGGGCGACTACCTTTGGCATAACAAGCCAGGCGAAGTTCCTGAGTGGCCGGACGCGACGCCCGAAGACGGGCGTAAGCGAGCGATCAGCAACCAAGACCCGGTCTACACCTTCAACATTCGCGAGTTCATCGGCGTGAGGCTGCGGCATGCTATGGAGCGAGCGGGCGGTCCTGCAGCATTTGAGCGCGACTGGCTCAGCCGCATAGATTCGGCCGTGCTGAAGGCATTTGTCGACCTGAAATTGTTGTGAGACTCACATGCTCCGAGTGTCTGGAGTGGTTGTGGCCCCGGCTTGGCTTGGCTTGTCTGGCATCGAACTGCGTACTTGGGGGGAAGGGAAGTACGTGGACGAAGCAGTTGCAGTTGGATCAGACACCGGCATGTGCAGGTGAATGAGATAGATAGAACCGCTCTTACTTGTAATAGGAGAACAGACAATCGGTCGAGTGTATCTACACAGAATACCAGTAGAGAGTCGGGTTTGGCGCGGCGAGCCAAATAAAACCACAAGACATTAAGAACTGGTTCATTCTCGACAAGGTTCCAATCAGGACAGGACTGTTGAGCGTTTGAAACATAGGCTAAGAAATTCAGATTCATTTCTATGACGAGTTCTTCATAGTCGGGGCCTTCTTCAAGCCGACATGATAGCGCATAAACAGGGTATCGATGAAATGGTCGTGTCTAATGCCTGGGGGCTTCGCGCGGGCAAATTCGTCCAAGGCATCCTGGGGCCGATAGCCCATGCGCTCGATGAGATAGCAGGCGATGAAGAAGCCGGTTCGATTATAGCCGTAGTGGCAATGGACGCCGATGGCCTTTTTGCCGTGGCCCTTTTCGCCACGCAGCCGGTCCACGAGCGCAATGAAGTCGGCGACCTCGACCAGGGTCGGCGGGACCTTGCTGACGGTGGGGAACTTGTGGTACTCGATGCCGCCGCGCTCGAGGGCGTTGGTGTCGTAGACCGGGCTGTCGTGCGAGATGTCGATGACGGCAAAGATCTGGTCGCGCCACTTGCGCACAAACACGGCCGGCGTGTGGTCTTCGTCCTGCTCGCGCAGCGTCTTGAGCGCGCGGAACATGCCGTCCGGGCCGATCGGGCCTGACACGGGCATCACTTTCTTCCATTTCTCGAGGTTCTTGACGTCCCATTTGCCGGATGTCGTCAGCTGTTGCAGCTGCCAGCCGAGCGAGAGTTGCGGCGACACGTAGCGCGCCAGGAAGTCTTCAATCAGGCCGGCCACGGTGCGGTACGTCGAGTGGTCGTACATCAAGGCGTGCGCCGCTGGTGCAGGCAGGATCGCCGTCTTCACAATGGCAGAGTGGTGGCTGGACATCTCGCTCGTCGACGGCTTTGTACCGTAGATGCTGTCACTGGCCGCGGGGTCGACGGTCGACGAGGAGCCTTCTGCTTCGTCTTCCCGTGCAGAGCTGGATCCAGATCCAGATGCAGCTACCGGTAATGTTTTGCCCTCCGGGGTTGCGTTGGCCCCGTGTTGCTTTGCCGGGGTTTGTAAGAACGAGACGATCTTGGTCACCTCGTCCGGTTTGGTGACTGTGTCTGATTCTCCAGCGATCAGGAACAGAGGCACCTGGATCTTCTCCCAGACCTCTTGACCCGGGAGCCCGCCGCGTGCGTTTCCGTGGGAATCGTATTGCGGCAGGCAGCCTAGCGCCGACCGCTTCCAGACGGGCGTCTTGTAGCTCCTGTTGAATGACAGCTGGAGACGCCGGAGATCTATTCCTGCAGCTTGCCCGGCCATTCTTTCCACGCTCCTAGAATGCAATCCTCCTCTCCGGTCCAACACTCGCAGAATATCAAGCACCGTGTCTGGAAGCGACAAGAAACGTCGAGCCGAGGCCGTCTCAGCCTGTGACGGCGGGGTGGCTTTCGGACAGAGAGCGGTCATCCCACCCACGGAAAAGGGAAGTGTTTTGTCTATGGACAATGTTGCGGCGATTGAGCAGCCCATGCTGTGTGCAATGAAAACCACGGTTTGATGTCCATGCGCGCGGCAGACTTGCTCTATGGCCGTCCGCCATAGAGACGAAGACGCCTCAAATGAATAGGCCCCATAGTCCCGAGGCGAGAAATCCGACAATCCATGGCCAGGTAGCTCTATGCCGAAGCATGGCGCAACGTTCACAAGACTGTTGAGTAGAGGGCCGAACTGTGGTAGCGATCCGCCCAATCCATGGATGAAAACTAGCAGAGGGAGATTTGCAATGGCTTGAAGCTTGTGGGCATGAGAGTGCGGACTATAGAATGTCCTGATTGCAGGATATTCGCCGTGTTCTGTCTTGTAGGATTGAAAGGTCGAATTCGCCTTTAGTAAAGGGGCATCGCTTTCTGAGACTCTCTGCTCATCCCTGGGCCTTTGGTCTGCAAAGAGGTAAGATCCAGTGAAATACAGGACTCCGACGCCCACTAACACGCCAATAGCGACAGACGCGGCCATGATTAGTACCTGGACTGGCCGTCCGGGCCTCCGGCACAGAGGAAGCCAGACAGCAGATGGGCCGATGGTGTTATTGCAATATGAGCAACATAGAACCTAAGCCGAGTCGTGGATTCGACAGACATACCGGCCGCCGTGTATCATGAAGCAGGATCCGAATCTTGAATGGCTGGTTCGAAACATGCAGACACATGGCCGGTGACTCGAGTTGACGAGTTGATGGCGTTGGGCAGTGGGAGCGGCAGAAGATCTTTAATCCGGCGTCCCCATCGCTTCGGCCGAGCAGACAAGCTGCAGGCGAATGAGTGATATTGAATTGATATTGAGCATTGCCAGTCCACATCTCCTCAGCTTTTCCCACACACCTTCTTGCCCTTGTCCCGCCGATGCTGGGGAGCAGTGGCAGCCTATGCAGCAACGATGGATGAGTCGGACTCTCCATTGCTTCCCGCGTTGGTGCCGTAACGGTTCGATTTTCGGCTTGCCTCGACAATCCTTTGCAGCCCCGGGGCGTAGCTTTCACCTGTGTAGTCCACGGTGGTACGACGACAATGCGCCGCTCCGCAAAGAGCTGAAAGACGCTGCAAAGGCCGCGAGAAAGACATCGGCCTCAGCGCCGTCTGAGAGCCCGGACATTCTGCCTGACTGGGAATTGACGGTCGGGATCGAGATCCACGCTCAGCTCAATGCGGCGCGCAAGCTATTTTCATGTATTTACTTGTTCTTCTTCCCGCTTCCTGGATCACTACTGACCATGAACAGCTGCCGACACGTACCCAACCGTGGAGCCAAATAGCCACATATCTGCGTTCGACATAGCCCTGCCTGGCAGTCTGCCTGTTTTTCAGCCCGCCGTCGTCCTGCCCGCCCTCCGCGCGGCAACCGCTTTGCAATGCACGATAATTACCAAGAGCACTTTCGATCGCAAACATTACTTTTACCATGACCAGCCTGCTGGGTATCAGATCACCCAATACTACAATCCTTTCGCCGTGGGTGGTTGCGTAGTCTTAACGGCTGAGGACGGACTTGAGGAAGGCCGCGAAGTCGTGGTCAAGATCAAGCAAGTACAATTGGAACAAGACACCGCTCGAAGCCAGGAAGAAGACGGCGCCACCACACTGATCGACTTCAACCGTTGCGGTCAGGCGTTGATCGAGATCATCTCGCTTCCGGACCTGCATTCTCCACGAGAAGCCGCGGCGTACGTTCGAAAGATCCAGTCAATACTTCATGCCATTGATGCTGTCACTACTGGTATGGAGCAGGGCGGGCTTCGCGCCGACGTCAATGTCTCCGTCCGACGCAGAGACGCCAGCCACGAAGGATTCACTTATGCCGGCGTGACTGGTCTGGGTCAGCGCACCGAGATCAAGAACCTGAGTGCCTTCAAGGGCATCGAGGATGCTATCAAGGCCGAGAGAGATCGCCAGATCCGAATTCTTGAAGCGGGTGGAGTAGTGGAGGGAGAAACTCGGGGCTGGTCGATGACCAGGCCCAATGAGACCCGTAGACTTCGCGGCAAAGAGGGCGAGATCGATTACAGGTATATGCCAGACGCCGACATTCCGCCGTTATATATCGGCCTCGATCTGATCAAATTCGTTCGGCAGACCTTGCCTCCCTTGCCTACAGAGCTGGCCAAGATGCTTGTCGAGGAATATGGGCTTTCAGCTACCGACGCAAGGACATTGGTGCTACTCGACGACGGCGACAGACTGATATATTTCCAAAAAGTCGTCGCGGAGTTGTCCAGCCTCGCCACGTATTCCGTGCCCCAACCTGATCTCGGAAAGATGGCAGCCAACTGGGTTTTGCATGAGCTAGGGTCTCTCCTGTCCACCGACGAAAGGCAATGGTCCGACAAGGCGGTCCCGTTCGACAAAATAGCCGAAATCATACACCGAGTGCGAGAGAAGCAGATTACAGGTGCTTCGGCCAAACTGATATTGAAATTGGTCTTTAACGGTGACAGTCGCCCTATCTCTCAGATTGTCAGGCAGGAAGAGCTGGCCTTCTCGGAAATGTCGGCTGAAGAGTACCAAGCCATCGCAAAGGAGATTGTCGAGAAATTCCCGAAACATGTGAAGGACATTGTTGAAAAGGGGAAGACGGGAAAGCTACAGTTTCTGATGGGCCAGATGATGCGACACCCACGCAAGGGTGACATGCGAGCACCCGAAGTCGAACAGGCTCTTCGACAGGTCATATTTGCGGGAAAATCATGAACATCCAACAAGACATGGAATTGACAGCAACCAACACTGTATAGAATTGACAGCAACCAACACTTAGAAGTGACAGCAAAGCAAGACACCCTTCGCAGTCCAGTATCTTTGATCTCGCTCGTGTGGTAGGGGCTTAGGGGCCTAGACGCCTCGTCCAGGTAAGGTACCTTAGGTACCTATCTATAAGTATGCCCTCGTGACAGATCATAGAATCCGCAGATACCTCATCATCTCTAGTTTAGGTAGTTTTCAAAGCCCGATCCGATCCGAATATGAATGAGATCAGGTCTACAGGCATGCATGCATACGAGTTCGGAGGTGTGTGTGACGTGCAGCAACTACCTTGGTCAACCAGTATAGAGATATCGTGCGTATAGAAATATCGTGCGTGCCATACATAGATAGAGTCAGGTTGTCCCTGTCCATGTCCCGGCTTGGATCAAAGACATGTACGGAGTATAGATAGGTAGGTAAGGTCCATACTGTTGATCCTTCTATATTACTTCTTTCTTTTCTCTCTCCATCATCGCTATCTCACTGCCGCACGTCGCCCGTCGTCGTCTGCAGACCAGAAGTTCCGTTCTCTATCTACCTAATTACTAGGTAGGTGCTAGGTACATCATGATTGTCTAGTAGATATCCGTACCCGTATCTGTATAGTGTTCTATAATCGATTATGAAAGGCATATTCTATATCCGTACTCTGATCTCTATATTATATATTATATATTACATTTTCTATACACCGGTCACGAAAGAAAGATATATACACACACACACACACACACACACACACACACACACATGCATGCTCACTTTTACTCTATACTCTATAATAGGTATAGGTCTTCTGCATCCTGCTTCTTACATCCTAAGTGCTAAGTTACAGTCACACCCCCGCACCCTTGGTTCATTTTCGATTCAGAACGTTCCAAGTCTGATCATATTGATCATGTGCCAAAATTAAGACCGATCCTTCAATTGAGGCCCTGCTAATCATGGTATTGAACATATCAAAAAGCAAAAAGTAAACGTCACACATCAAGACCAAGGCCGACTTTTCCACACATCCAATACTCCTTCTACGGGACCAAGCTTAAAGCAACGTATCTCCCAACGCGCACCGGACCAAGCTGACCCCCGCTCTGACCGTCTCGGAGGCACCCGCCACCTCCAGGTTGGGGTTGACCTCGACGAGATCCATAGCGACGAGCTGGCCCGTCTCATGAACACACTCCGCAATGTAGTCTCCCTCTCGTAGCGTCAGCCCTCCTCGGACAGGGGTACCGGTACTAGGGGCCCACATGGGATCGAGGGCATCGACATCGAAGCTGAGATGGATCGGGGTGTCAGCGCCGATGTGCGCGAGGGCCAGTTCCACGACGCGCCCGATCCCATGGCGATCAATATCGTGCATGCTGAACGCGCGAATGCCGTGGTCTCTCAGTATCTTTTTCTCGCCTTTGTCCACATCCCGGAGCCCAATATACACTAGTTTGCGGGTGCTGATTCTTTGGTCTTCGGTGAGCCAGCCAAAAATATCTCGTTCCTTGGACGTCGCCAGACCTGTGGCGAACGCGACAGGCATGCCGTGCACGTTGCCAGATTCTGAGGTCTCAGGGGTGTTGATGTCAGCGTGCGCGTCAACCCAGATCACGGCGATTTCGCGCCCGTTGTACCTCTCTCGAACCGCTTTGGCCGTGCCGGCGATAGTGCCAATCGCGATGCTGTGGTCGCCGCCCAAGGTCAGTACCATCCGTCCCTGTCGTGCTTGATTGTACACTTGTGCTGCCAAGGTCTCGGTCACCGCAGACACGGCGCGTGGGTTCTTCATGCCGCGATACGGTTCGTCGTGAGCGGGCTTCATTTCGTTGTAGTTATGCACTTCACTGTCGCCGTGGAGTTTGTAGCCTAACTCGTCGCTCAGTTGGTCCAGCAACCCAGCCTGCACCAACGCCGTGGGCGCGGCGTCTACGCCGTCTTTGCATTGCCCTCCGGAGAAACCGACTAATACGACGCCCAGGTCGGAGGGGGAGGAAAGAAACTTCTGCTGGATCGTTGAGGGAGAGGTCGTGGTGTAGGTGGAGTGGCCCTTCGTAGAGGCGTGGCCGTTGCCGTTGCCATTGACATGGCCATTGGAGTCGGAGGTGGAGGGAGATGTCTTTTCGGGCGCTTTGGGATGCATTGTCGTGAGGTCTGCTAGTGAGAGCAGGCTCGGTGAAGGGATATCTCGAACCCGATGACTTGGGCTGGGAGGGGGGACAAGGCAGGGCAGGTTCAGTGGTGGTGTGGTGGTGAATTAAGGCCGCGAGAAAGCAATACAGCCACCCAGAGAAAGCAGAATCGTTGTCAGCGCAGAGGCGAAGATGTCAAGATGACTAGCAGAAACAGACAGTGTCTATAGGACCAGAGAATGAATGTGGGAAGAACAGACCAGAGGCGAGGGCGTGCCCGAAAAGAGTGGATAGGTCAACCGTTTTGTACTGTAGGTCGGCTGGTGAGAAGAAAAACAGTGTCGTTGCATTTCATCATCGCAGCTGGACTGCGCTCGACCTCTCACCCTCTCATCCTCGCTCCTTGTCACCCATTACCACCCTTTCCTGGGACACATGACGGCGACGTCGGGCAGCCATCGCTGACAACATCCCTCCTCGAGACGGACATCCCTGTGAGGTTGGCGTGATCCAATGCTCGGCCTTGACCACATTCCGCCATCGGTGCAGCTGCGGATCGCCATCGCCCCTAAGCGCAGGAATACGCGGATTGGTGGGACAGGCCAGCATCAGGCTAGGTTGTTAAGTGACAAGTCTTCCGGTCTTATCATCACCATGTCCCCTAAGTACAGTTGTTGTCGAGCTCATTTTATCTATTGCTAACAGAAATCAATCCTGCTCACGGGGCGTGAAAACAGCTGGCGAAACGCAGCCCGTGTGGTATCACATTGCCAGCCCCGGGCAATCCGTTGCGTAACGAGAAACTCTGTCATTCGCATCTAATCCGCCCAACATACCAATCGGTCTGATTTTTGATATACAGCCTGCTTGGGATACCTCCGGCCCGCTGTCCAAGATCCCACCACCCTAGAAACCACTGCAATTGAATGCGTCGTATTCCGGACCGCCACCTCATTATCGGGAGCGTCTCTGTGTACCGCTCCTCTGTTCAGGGGGCCAAGTCCCGGCGCCCGTTGCTATCCAACGTCCAATACGCCTTCGTAGATACCCTTGTTAGCGACTTGTCGACTGCGCATAAGCATAGCCATGCCCAAAGAAGGCTTTCAATGTATGCTCGAGTTTTGATAAGGCCAACGGTTTCGGGAGGAAGGCATCTGCACCAGCTGACATGCATAAAGCCTGTGCATCAGGGCCGACAACGGCAGTAACCATGATGATAGGACGTTTTCGAGACAACCGCCCTTGCAACTCCATCTCCCGGATTTCCTTGGTCGCCGTGATGCCATCCTTGTGCGGCATAGATTGGTCCATCAAGACCAAATCGATGTCCTGATCCATCTCGATGATTTTCTCTATTGCCTCTTGTCCGTCGTCGGCTACAATGACATTGTAGCCGAGTGTCTTTAACATCTTAACTCCAAGCTTTTGGTTGATCTTGTTATCTTCCACCAACAGTATGGTCTCACCTCTCAAGATATCGTCCTCCCCTGATGTACGTCCATTTCTAATGTCAACAACGTCCACCACGGGAGCAAACCTGACCGATCGATCAACGGATGCCCTGCCCAGCTGAATCGCCGAGCTAATGGTGTCTACCATGCGGTGCCATACGAATGGTCTCCGGATGGGGATCATGTGTGCCGGAGGGATGGATCCGATTGTCCGATCCAGAACCAACTGAGAGTCGTAGGACACCAGGACCGGCGGGTTTCGCAGTTGGAGTAAGCGCTGGGTAACCAAGGGATGTGCTTGCAAAAACATTATGTCTGTCCAGATAAACCCCCAAGAATCAGACATGTCACTGTCAGGATCTGCACGGATTAGTTCGAATCCGAAAGCTTGCCAGGCCAGATGAAGTCCTTCGAAAAAGCGCCCATCTGGGGCTCCATAAAAGGCTATTTGGCGTTTGGGCCCAAGCGAACTCAAGGATTGCGGAGGGCCCGAGGGCGCAGAAATGGGTATGTTGACGGTAAAGGTACTTCCACACTTTTCTAATCCCACCTCATCTGTTTGGCGGCACTGGCTTTCTACCTCGATCGTGCCTTCCATCTTATCAAGCAGCTGTCTGATGATCGCCAGCCCGAGACCTGTCCCCCTTTCGGCACCCCTCGTCTGGGCTTGCTTGAATGGTTCGAATAGATGCGGCAGAAAGGATTCGGGAATTCCAAAGCCCGAGTCTTTGACAGTAATTTTCAAAGCCTGATCCTTCATTTCCACCAGCAATAGCACATATCCAGACTGTGTGAATTTGAGAGCATTGGTGAGGAGATTCATGAGGACGCGCTGCAGGTAGGTTTCGTCCAAGAACAGAGACTTTGAAACCTCGGGGGCGACCGCAATCATCAACTCTGTGCCCGCCTCCTCATCCGTGTTGGGCAGAATGGTGAGAATTGACTCACATACTTGTCGAAAGTCAATATTCGTTGGTCGACATATAGCCTCGCCCTTTTCCAGCCGTGACCAGTCTAAAACATTGGCCGTGATCATGGAAAGGGACCTGGTCGCTTGTTGTATGGCAAGGAGCAATAGTCGCGCCTCATCACTCAACCGCACCCGGGATAACAAGTCGCTGTAACCTTGCAGTTGGTGAAGGGGGGTGCGGATCTCGTGGGACGCGGATGCAATAAACTCGCTCCGCGCATGGGCAGCGGCCTCTGCGTTCTGTTTCTGCGCAATAGCCGCCCAGAGCTTCCTCTTCGTTTGGACAATCTCCGCTAACTTGTTCCGAGCCACTGTGGCCGAGTGAGCCAGTAAGCCATTGGCAAATATGCAGGTCACAATCGCGATGCAAGAAACAGCAACGGCCAAATTTGGGGGATAGCCGTGATCTTCGCTAGGGCTGGCTCGAGACCAGAAGGTGGTGGCGTAGATCCCAGTAAAATGCTTTGCCGCCACGCCCGCGGACGCGACAACGGAGAATGCTAGCTGTTGAGTGAGATTGACCTCAATCTGGGGGATCAGAATGGAGCCCAGCGTGCAGACAAGCCAACTGATTGATGCCGAGAGGAGAACGATGAACGGCCGCAGAGTAATGTAACCTTGTGGTATTTTTAGAGCGAAAACGCCGACATAATGCATCGTGGTGATAGCCAAAGACCACACGAAGCCTGTACTGAAATTTCTGAAAGTAGCGCCGCGGTAGATCAATCCGACAATGCCAGTCATTGCTTCGGTGGTAGAATAAGTGCTAGTCTTGGGAACCCTGAAGTTCAGAAATGCCGGAAGGCTCACGCTGCCACTCCCATCCGAGCCCAGCGTTGCAGACGATCGCCTGGATGGAATCTCGTCTGTGAAACTCCTGGGAAGGCTATCGCTGTCTCGAAAGGAGTCTTCATGCATAAGCACATCTGAATGTGTACCCAGTGGCTTTCTTCCTCCAGGGTTCGGAGAGCGGCTTAGCGAAAAGGACTGGGGAGTGCCAGATTCAAGCCTGACGATGGCACCGTCGACTGCGCCGAAGTGCTCTTCAAGAGGCCCCAGACTTATTCCTCGACCACGTCCTTGTCGGACCAATAGTCCGTCTCCGCGCGTGTCACCATGTCGGAGCTCGTTGGGTTTTCCCGGAGGACCATCCTCCTCCGCAATTTCTGAGGCGTGTGAATCCAAGAGAGCATCTGTACTTGGATCATCATCGTGGAATGGTAGAGTCTGAGCCCCTACTGCTTCCCTCCTGCTCTCGCGCCTGGCATTGTGCTTGGACTTCCGGACGAGCCGCATATACCGATTTCGCAGTAGATCTGAAGACAAAGCGGCGAAAGTGAAAGAGACGGCTAGAACAGCACTCAAGATGGTCAAGGGGACATCCAGGCCGACGCGTACATCAAGCTCGCAGGCCAGCGTGGCTATGAAATGCAGACTCCAAATGGAACAGAATCCAAAAGTCAGACTGCCCAAAATGGTCCATACCAAGACGCCGGAAAAGTAGCGAGCGGTGCGTGCCTGACACATCATCTGGGTGGAGGTGAAGGCGCCGAGTAGCGACACTGCGACAGAGGCTGCGATTAAAGTATAATTCCAATGAGGCTCGAGGCGGCGCAAAGGCAGTTGTGCCTGCAGTTGATCCGTCATTGTTTCCGAGGCCATGCTTGTATGTGGAATCCGTCAGGGTTCTTCCTCTTGCGTTCTGGTGGGAATAATAGAATTCCTTCGTGATTGTAGCATGACGAGGTAATTCTCATCGATGCTCTCCTCCTCGTGCGCTAGCAGTTCAGAAATAGCCTTCGTCGTAGACGGTTTGAAATGAACATCGGGAGGTGTGGGTTGCAATCCAGACTGCGGCGAGGACGGTATGCGAGATCAGGAACGGTTGCGCATGCACAACCGGTGAAGGGAGAGGGAGGAATATAGATGTCAACAATGTGACGGCGACAATCGGCGACGCGGGTTGGATGAAACGGGGTGTGGCGAAGTCGAGTCGATTCTAGATGAACACGATACGCGAGTATGTGTTTTAAGGAACAGAGAAAAGAAGTCTTGAGCTCACCATCCCGAGAAAGATTGGCAGGATTCTGGACCTGCCTGTGCCTCAAGGCCGTAACAACTATCGATCGCTTATTACCGCTTGAGTACTTGTTCGTTACCAGTTGTTGATTAGCGGGGAGCCACGGCAGACAGCTTTGACTATCTAGTGGTAGCGGCTGGCGCGGCCGTGCACACTGGATCCAACGGCATTTTCTTGCGGGGGCAAGTCTCCGAGACGAATAAGTGAGCCGTGAACTCTGACATGTTGGGGAGCCGCACTTGCCGGGCTATACCGGATCATGCATAGTCTTCGCTGTGATGCTGTCTTCTTTTCTTCTCTCAGCAGGAAGACATGGAAAACACCTTATCAGTCGACGAGGCTACCATGAAGAGTACGAAGTACAGACCGAGGCTAGTCTGGTCCATCAGGCTGCGTTTCCATGAAGATCAATAGTATACAGACAGGGCCCATTTAGCACCGGTGCTTACTTGGAGGGGATTAGTGTCTGTTTAGGGCCCTTCGGCACTCCATGCGGGCAACTTGGGCGAGGGAACTTCCGACATCGACGCGAGTAGAATAGGCGCCCATCCTCACCACCACCCACCAACCATATCCTCTCTCTGACTTGTCTGCCTACTGCGACACCCAAGATGAACCAAGCACCTCAGCAGGTGAGATGAGACCCTGCATCGTGAATTGGCGGCTAAGTGCTCACTTGTCCCTGCTCTTACATGTCTTTCTTCTATCTCCTTTCCATTCCATATGGACTTCGCTGGCCTCACTCAGCCCCCAATGTTGAAGGAAGTAACCGCCACTGTTTGATTTTCTTGTCTATCTTCTTGCAGACTTGTTGAAACTCTGTGTTCTTTCAGGTGCTAGAATTCATCTGTCCTGCTTCCCTTCAAACAGCCCGTCCCGACCCCATTCTCTGCCCTGATCATGTCTTATCCTCCACCAGGTTCCGGACAACCACAAGGAGGGTATTATCCTCGTATGCTTTTTTTCCACGCCCTCGCATACCAAATGCTCGTGGCTAACAGCCACTCCAGCTCCTCCAGAGAACGGTCACTGTACGGCGTATTACAACGCATCGTCCTGAGTGCCAACTAATGCCTGCGATCTAGCATTTCCACCTCCGCCTTCACAACCGCCAAACAACTACTTCCCTCCTCCTCCATCGGGCCCCTCCCCGGCTCCCAACCCCGACTATCCTCCACCTCCCCCATTTGCGTCCAATGTCGCGCAGACCCCATCTCCTCCGCCCCTTCAGCAGCCGACTGCTCAAAGACCGTACAACTACGGCTCTGTGCCGGCCTCTGCGCCAGCCCATAGGACAACATTTGATCATGCGAGCCTACATGATCGGCAGCCTTCGTATAGCGGTTCCTCTCCGTTTCAATACGGGGGCCCACCGCAGTCGGAGAAACCAGCTTCAAACCCAAGGATGCAGAAGCTGACCCAAGAGTTTGGCAGCCTGCTGAAAAGCCCCAGTGGACCGAGGCTGCCGGGGGTGCCTGAAGGAGGCCAATTTGTCGGCGTCCAATCCACGGCAGGAGACGACGTTGGAACATTCAATGGAGGCTCATACCGGATCTCGCATCGTGATACTAACTCCATCATCACCATTCAGTTGGCGATGGGGTGTCCTCTCACGGCCAAACCCGGTGCCATGATTGCCATGTCTCCGTCTATTACCTTGAAAGGCGCTGTCAAATTCAGTATGAAGAAGTTATTAATTGGAGGCGAGATGACCCACTCCACATTCACTGGTCCTGGAGAGCTGTTGCTCGCCCCTAGCACCCTGGGTGATATTTCGATTCTTCGATTGGGAGGCAATGAAGCTTGGACCGTAGGACGGGATGCTTTTCTAGCTTGTACACAAGGTGTGATCAAGGATTACAAGAGCCAAGGAATCGGCAAGGCCATGTTTTCCGGCGAGGGTCTGTTCGTCTACAAGATCTCCGGAACAGGCCTTCTGTGGATATCTACATTCGGTGCAATACTGAAGAAAGATGTGAGTTCACTCAGCTGCGACAGCCGACCATTGACGGGGCAACCAATTTACTGACGCCGTCTGGATCTAGCTGGTCGAGGGCGAGAAGTACATTGTGGATAATGGACACCTCGTGGCATGGAACTGCAAATATGTCCTCGAACGCGTCGCCAGCGGCGGCATCATCTCCGGGGTCGCCAGCGGAGAGGGCCTGGTGTGTAAATTCTCCGGGCCTGGAACGGTGTATATGCAAACTAGAAACGCCCATGCCTTTTCTGCCTTCATCAGCGGACAGGCCGCTCAGGTGATCTAAGAATATGGGTCTTTGCTGGATTACTGCGCTGGGACTGGCAAATACAGAGGAGATCCTCGCATCACCCCCTCATCCTTGAGTAGCATCTACCTTGTGTGGCTTGCATTGCAGGGCTGCGACAAATAACGATCACATGCGGCGTTTTTGTGGGAACTCTAGTTTGAATAGCCGTCTTCCCATTCTCCCCCTTCTGCTCAAGTTCATATGGGTCTAAGGTACAAGAATTGCTCCCTCCCTCCACCTGCTCAGCATCGTTCCAAGAGAGTGGAAGTCTCCTGGCGCGAACCCGCCCGCAACATCAATTGTAGACCTGGTTTCAACTTGATCTCCTTGTCGCTAGCCCGTTTGTCTCGGAATTTAGACATTGAGTCTCTTACGCTTGCCGACCTGGGCTGTAAATCCAGACTTGATGGCCGTGACCGATCTCCTGGACCCGCAGGAATTGCATGTCACGAAGTACAGCCTGTTCTCGCCCTTGGACAATTCTGTGTTGGGCGACCGGCACGTCTTGCATGTCACATACTCGACGATGTACCGCCGCAGCACGTTCTCGATCTGTTTCTGCTGGAACCGACCCTTGATGACTAGCCGCTTGCTGCCGTCCACGGAACCCGAGGTACCCAATTCTGCGAACAAGAACTGGGTGACGTGCTCGTCGTTCCGGTTCATGCGTTTGCAGATCTCGGCAATGTTGGCAAAGATGGTCTTCTTGTTGCCTTCACGCAGGCATTGAGGCGGCGGGATCTTGTATGACTTGCTGCCCGACGCCAGAATGTCCGGGTTGTGCTCGTTGACGAGTTGGAAGAAGCGCTTGAGAAGCAGCTCGTACGAGATGGGCGTCGCGCAGTTGTGCGCCCAGATCCCTGTACCGGCAGTCATGTCACCGGACTGGTCCTGCGAAGTGGCCTCAGCGTCCTGTTCGCCTTCTCCTCCTGGTCCCTCTACACCGGCGCTTGCGAGCTTCGCGGCAAAGTCGCCACCCTCGGTCTTCGGTTTGCTGGACTTCTTCTTCTTCTTTTTCAGTGCCGTCGGGTCAAACTCGCTGTCGGCGGTTGCGGCTGGTGCTCCCTCGCCGTCTTCTGCATCGCCAGCATCTTCGGTCTTGGTTTTGGACGATTTCTTCTTCTTTTTGTTGAGGCCGGCAAACATGTCGGTCACTTCGTCAACGGCTTTGTCGTCCGCTACTGCGAGATAATGTTATCAGTATCGATTTTGGGTTGGATCTTGGTTTTATGGAAGATGCCCTACGTGATGAGTGTTTCTGCGCTGTGACCTTCTCTTCCGAGTCGCTGCGAGGCGCCTCCGAGATTTCGCCGTTCTCATTCATGATTGTGTCCTCGCTGCTGAAGGCTACGGACTTGCGGGGTTTTCGTTCGTGAAAGGGTTGTTCCTGCTGACGTGGAGGAGATGTTAGTATTACTGCTCTCCCAAGGAGGATGTGAGGCGGGAACGGGAGTTGTTTTCTCTGCAGTGGGGCGAAGTGCGTAAGGTCTCAGATGCAAATCCTCCATTGCGGCGTGTGCGTGTGGGGAGTCTCTGGCGGTACTTACAACTTCTGCCATGTTGATGTCTGCTTCAGTGCTCAGTATGTGCCGGGAAGGGTTCAGAATAAACCAGTCGTGGTTGCAACCTGGCCTTTTAAGTGTGAATTACTGATGTAGAATATTGAGGCAAGGTGCCATGGAATTTCGAAGGGCATATGAGTCAACGTTGGTGACGCGAGTCACGTGGTTAATATTGCCGCGCAGTCGTATGTCTGACGGAGCATTTTCGCGCCTGTAGTATGTACGACATGGCTGCCTTGAGTTTGTGGGTGCCATTTCATCTGTCTGACAATTATTTTAATCGTCACCCAGACACCTACAGACAAAACCACCCTCGTCTCTGATTCGTTGTCGTATCCTCGGTGAATAACCACCATCTTCAAGGTGTAGACTGGTGTTGACAGACCATTGTCGGCAGGGTTGTAACCCTTCTTTGTCCTATGGCAGTCCGCTAGCGAAGAAGGAGCTAGCAACAACAAAATGTCCGATATCGACGCCGCAGCCTCTTTTCTCGACCATCCTTCGAACGGCGACGAGAACGACGAAGTTGACTCGTTGCCGTCAGACTCCGACTCCGACGATGACACTACGAGCGAGGACTATTCAGAGTCCGATGCGGAAAGAGAGTGGAAGGAGAGTCTACAGCAGCTGGAACTGTTGCTTACAATGGTGATCGTACCGTACATGGGCAAATACTTTGGAAGGAAGTTTGCATATTGGGGTATGTGTTCGAGAAAGAGTTGCATGTCCTGACGCTAATAGACTCAGGGTGGAAACAGTACATGGAGTGGAATTATCCTGTCGAGGTTGTCGTGACGAACAAATCAGCTTTCAAAGGATTCGGCGCAGTCGTAGCAGCAGCTCCATTATGAATGCCGCAGAGTTGCGGTTGGGTCGAAGAACGATTAAAGGAACAATTGTGCTTGCAACGAAGCGAGTGCCCTTTATCAACCTCCCGCTGACGCGTCTGGAGTACAATGGCCGTGGCCTAAGAAGGGCTAGAAAAGAGGCTTGTTGTCAACACTTCTGGCATCGGCACGTAGTGGGCGGCTCCTGTGTACATGGATATATGTCGCATATGCTCCTCTTCTATCTAAGATGAGAAGAATCGGGCGAGCTTGGGTATGGCGATGGTACACATTCACGATTGCACAAGTGCCTCAACAAAGACAGTGGGGCTGGATTCAGAGTACAAATCATGGTCAACGTTTGGCTGCCTGGTGAATGTGTACATCAAGAATGCAATCAGCCAATGCAGTCTACAAAAATATGCAACATGACCACAATGATTAGTCCAAGAATATTCTGTCAATGACTTGCTTTTGTTTTGCCAAAACTTCTGGCGCAGACACAAGCATCTTTTTGGAAAGCGTTGTCGCTGTCCTCCACAATACCCCCCAAACATGGATTGCCGAGTTGCATGAGGCTTCGACAAAGGAGCGGTTTCCATGACCGCGAAAGGATACTGAAACAGACTATTATACCATTTATGTCGATGGCAAGCATAGTCCGTAAATTAGGCAATCTTGAGCAGAGAAGAAGGCCGTTCGAGGAGAACCGCTTGCCGTCGACTGTCACCATTTGAGAGAACACCAGCGCCTCGAATAGCGAAGCATTGAATTGCCATCCGCCCAGGGCTCAGGGTAGTGAGCCACAGCGAAAACATCTCGTTCCTGGGACGATAGACCTTCCAGTGGACCCCGAAGAGCTTGATTCTTGTGGTACTATGACTGGGCATTATGGTCCAAGGGCGGCCAATTTGCCACGCACTCATCAATCTTCTACTGCAATGGTCGAATACCCATTCGGCTGGCCGTGAGCTTTCTGTCGTCATTGCAACTACCGGAAGAGTAATGAAGTGGCTCAGATCGGAACCTGGATCAGGGTCTGCCTTGTGAATCCACTGCCAACAGCTCACAAGCCCGCAGACGGTGTTGAAATCCCAGAAAGGCAGGACGGTAGGTTGCTGTTGAAAAATTTCTGCCACAAGACGTGGCGCGTCTTCCGAGCTTCCATCAACTTCATAGAATATTACATGTGTTCTGCCTCTTTTTACAGCGTCATTGCTGTCCTGAAAGATCTTCCTCAACATTTCGGAGAGTACAACTGCCGTAGCATAATGCGCAGTCATAGCCTTGCCGGCAGTGCAATCATCTTTCATGCGTGTAGAGTCCGATGCGGAAGGGTCCATGTCCCAGTTGACCTCAGCGCGCATGCTGATCAGCTCTGGAAGGAGGTGGACCTTCAAGATGAATGGTTTCTTGCTTCGAAGAAGCGGGGACAGCATCATTCGGAGCGTGTTCCTATATTCCAGAGAGACTGCATGCAACCTCAGGCGGTCATAGATAGGGAGTGCTCCTATCAGCCACAAATCTTTCGGGAAATTATCTGCCAACAGGACATCAACTATTGCTCGGAATCGATAGGAGACCAATCTGAGTGGAAAGATCAAGCACTGGCGATGTAGGAAGTCAGGATCTTTGGGATTGTTGAATAGGATAACTTCTGGTCGGACCAGATTCGACAGGATCATAATGAGAATCTCGTCGGGGAGAGATAGGTGTTTGGAAATATCGGATGACTTCCGTAGACTCTCGGGAGCGTAGACGACGGTATCGGTGTTGTAGGACATTTTGATGTCGGTGTTGCCAGGCAAGAAAACTGAGAAGGTCTGCAAGGCCAAACTCACGATTCGAGCAGGTGCAACTGTACTCTGATTTTAAGTTGCGAAGTGTCAACGCCACTTGGAGGTGCTGAGGGTAGGTGGTAAGAGTGAGTGAGAACGGGTACCATAACACCAGTCGCGTGCCTATTTGACGATACTTGGGACGCGACGGCCGTCGTGTCAATGATAGGTCCACGGTTGCTTGTGAATCGTCCAAGAAGAGTTAGAATTCCAGAATTTTGCGAATGTAATCTTGGACCTCGGGTTGGTAGATATACATATATATATATATCTTGCTATAGCTGCACGGGACCACCTGTGCTATAACACGATGTACCTGAAAGAGACGGGCCCAAGAAGCAGATGCAGCGAATGTGACTTCTGCAATACCGAGTCGCTATTTTGGCACAAAGCTCAAAAGCTGCAAGAGATCTTCCAATCAGACTTGTCTGAGCGTCTGAAATAGCCGTTCACGGCAAAGCTGGTGTTGTAACGTTCCAGCAGCTAAGCAGAATGCTTTATTCGATATGTTCGAAACTGTGAAATTGTCGGAAAGGTTCGCCCACGACTTTTCCATTACCATCAAACCTTACCCCCTCACTTCGAAGCAGGGCAATTTTCTTGTTTGCAAATTTTCCATCCTTTCCCCAGTCGCCGCAGAATCCGCCAATAGTCCCATTAGCTGCGAGAACACGATGGCAGGGTACCTCTGGGGCAAAAGGATTGTTCCGCATTCCACCACCCACAGCCCGAGCAGAGGAATTGAGGTAGTCGGACATGGCTGCATACGTTGTATAGCGACCTCGTGGAACTGATAAGAGCGTGAGGTAGAGTTTCTTTCGATATTGGGTAAGGGATGGATGCGAACGAACGCGCTGAAGGGTCCGCTTGAGCTCATGGTTGGCCTCACCAGCCTCACTCGTAAGATCTAAATTGGAAGATCGGTGAAAAGTTGCACCCGATGGCTGCATATCTGCGCTAAAATGCAGTGTGGATTGTCTCTTCTCCAGCCGTGTTCGTTTTATGGTGGGATTTTGAGTGCTGTCGGTGTGCTCTTCCATCGACCTTTTCCTACTTACGCTTGCCGAGGGTGCTGGCTCCACCGACATCGGACACTTGCTCTCCAATGTCTTTTCATGCTTTCTTCTACAGTGCAAACTTAACTCGTCGAGATAGAGAAGGTCGACTTCGCCAGACTTGATTTGTTGGCCCAAGGCAATCGCGTCATGCAGTTGTTGCTCAGTCATATTCCTTACGGCGGGTTTGCCGATGATGTGATCCCACTGTCTTTCACCGTGACCTATAACATAATCCAGAATGATGCGGGAAAAGCAATGATCAAGAGTCACTGGCCATATGGGCTGTACAGGGCTGCGATTCTTCGCTAGCTGTGGAAGAGTGTGAGCATATAGGGCGGTCCACTGCTTGCGAAGGCCGTCGCGGTCGGACATGACTGCAGGACCGCTGGGACCTATTATCAGCGAGAGCATGCGGAGGGGTGTTGCTGAAGCATGTTCGCTTTATCAAGCCACCTTTGAGGCCGCATGCGATGCAATGAGCTGAGTCGGGCTTGTTGAATGAGTTGGGTAGGTATCTAGGTAGCTTTGGTTTGGGCACTGAATGACACATCCGTTTGGATCGCGTCGCGTGGTCAAGCGGGTGCACGTGACGTCAAGTACACGTTCTCCGCACCGGCGTCACAACGCGTCCTTCGACATGCTACGCGTTCTTCCTGCTGTGATAATTGATGCTCCCATGCAAGTGAGTTCGCAACACACGACACACGGTGCATCTGCATTGCATCGCGGTTTATCCATGACCCTTGGTTCTTGACATATCTGATATGCTGTTTACCATTTTCCATCGTTTCCATTGATCCCGTCATCACAACACAGCATGTCGTCGCCATCTAGATCGCCGTCACCCGCAGGCTCATTGCGAAGTGTCACCTCTAATGTCCTCACACCGAGTCGGAAGGTACAAGCTTTGTTGGCTCAATTCGATGAGTCAGACTCGGACTCGGAAGAACCTTACCAACGTCCAAGGAACTCAGCGTCTGATGAGAAAGATCTAGGCCGGAGTGCCCCAACGAATGCTAGTCAGGATGGCGCCTCACTCACTGAGCAAGATTTGGAAGATGAAGATATTCTACCAGCGGCTCCACGGTCTAGGATGGCTGCTCGGCTACAAGGGCTGAGTAATGCGGCTGCCGTCTCAAGTGACAACGAGGAACAGCTAGCATCAAAAGGAGTTAAAGAGAACGCTTTGGACGATTCCAATAGTGAAGGAGCAAGGCCAGCAATGAGGAGAAGACTGCTCACAAAACGGAAGAGCAGTCCCATTCAGCGGGATGCTAGTCCACGTACGTCGAGATCGCCTTCGCTACCCACTTTGCCCTCACCCATGGCAGTAAGACCCGACACGACGTCCAGGCAGAATTCTGAAGGCTCAGAGTCTGAGGACGAGACGAATAACCCAACCCCTGGTAAATCTAAGTTTCTGGCTCTGGTTGAGAAACATAGGAGGCAGCGTCTTGAGAAGGAGGCCGAAGAAGCGGCGAAGAAGGCCTCCCGACTCGATGCACTCAAATCTCAAGAGGCTGAAGATCGCCGTCCACGGGGTTCAAGTCCCGCAGACGATTCCGACGAAGACAGTGACATATCGGGCGATGATGCGGCCAAAAACCTGGCCAAGCAGGCTCGGCCTACTCGGAAAGCCAGCAAAAAGGCGTTGGAGGAGATGAACAGGGAGACCCAGCGAATCAGTCGCAATATGCAGCTTGCACATCAGGCTCGGACCAAAAAGAAAATTACCAAGGACAGTCTACTAGCTAGGTTCAATTTCCCGACGCCAGGCTCTTTGCGACATTCGAAGACACCGGAACCAGGCAATGATAATCCGGCGACTAGCAGTTCTAGAGCTGGCTCGGAGACCGAAGCAACCAAGGGCCACGACACACCTCCAACGAGCCCTATGCTGGGTGAAACGAGCACAGGCGGCCTCAAGAATGTGACAGGTCATATTGATGGTTCACTTCGCGAGTCTAGGATTGCGGCTGGAAACGAGGAGGAAGAGTTCCCAGTGAAGTTAATTCCGAAGCATGATAAAGGCAAAGGCAGAGCTCTCTCAGAGGGCCCCTTTGAGCACGACGAGCCCTTCACCAGGACCCAACCGATCCACGTGTCAACATCTCAATCCCTGCTTGAGAAATCCTCAGAACCTGTCCTGAAGCCAACTATCAAACCTTTCCGAACGAAATGGTCTCAGGCCCTTCTGAACAAAGGGGGAAGAAATGATTTAGATTCGAGCTCGGACTCAGAGCTTGAAGTGATCACAACTCGAGGCGACATTCGAAAGTATGCGGCATTCGAGCATCTACCCAAACGGAAGGCCAAGGAAACTTCGTCACATCTCGCCTTGAGATCGTTGGCGAATCTCATGGGCAGCGAGGAACGCAAGCAATCCATCAATGCTGCACAACTAGAAGCATCGTTGAGGAAGGCAGCTCGTATGCAAGCTCGACAAGAGAGACAAGATAAGATCGAAGAATTGAAAGCTAGAGGTGTGATGGTTCAAACAGCTGAAGAGCGAGAACGTGAACAACTGGACGTTGAAGACCTGCTGGAAAGAGCCAGACAGGAAGCTGTGGATATCCAGAAACGCGAAAAGGCTTTGGCGAGAAAAGAAGGCAACTATTCCAAAGACGATTTGCACGACGATGACGATGACGACGATGAAAGCGACGGCGATTTTGAAGGGGATGACGAAGATGAGATTGCACTTTCGGACGAAGAAGACGATGTTGAAGAAGACGACGATGAGCAAGGCGAGGAAGCCCGTGATCCAGAAGACGGCGATGGTCAATTAGTCGACAACGAAGCCGATGAAAAGGAATCCGTCACATCAGGGTCATCAGAGAACGACCTGGAGGGGACCATTGATTCAGATAGAGGTCTTGAAGCAGACAATCAGGCCAACCCTTCGTCAAGGAAAGGGCGGTCTGCCCGAGTGCTCAGCGACGACGAGGAAGAGGATGGTGCGGAGGAAGGGCTCAGATCGCCCAAATTGCCAGTGACAACTAAAACACCTCAATCTTTGTCTCGCTCTGCCAGAAAGCAGATCCCAGGGCTGCAGATGTCTGACGACCTTCCGATTGGATTGACGCAAGCCTTTGCTGCCACCATGGGTGACTCTCAAAGTCAACCTACTCAAGAGCAAGACAGCCTTACTATGACAATGGATCTCCCATCGCCCAAAATTGCGATGATTCCCCGGCTCAACCGTCTCGACTCGGTTGACGTGATCACGGACAGCCAGCCAGCATCACAAACACAGCCATTGAACGTCACCCTCTCCTTCTCACAATCTCAGAGAGTTCCTCAATCCCCCGCCACCAACTCATTGAACGACGGAGTGCAGTTCACTCCATCGCAGGCCCAATTCGAACCGACTCAAGACGGCGGGTACATGTTGACTCCATTCGCAGGCAATCGATTTGCAACGGAGACTCCGCAACAGCTAGGCCCCGATTCTAGCATAGATACAGTCCTGCTCCCTCGAGACCTACCAGACAGCCCCATAGTGCAAAGAAGAGCCCGACTCAGACGAGGCCACGCCGATACTGCAGGCAGTGACGACGACCAAGTTGATACTGCAGACGCTTCTGCTTTCGAAGTAATGCGTCGGGCAGCCAAGCAGAGAACACGTGAAGTGTTTGACAAGTCGAAATCCAATGCTCGAGGAATTGTGGACGAGGCTGCAGAAGAATCCGAGGATGAATATGCAGGACTTGGAGGGGCGAGTGACGAAGATGTCAATGAAGAAGAAAATGAGGATGATCGTAACATGATTGATGAAGATACCCAGGTTGGAGCGGGCGACGAGGCCAAGCTAGCGAAGCTCTTTGCAGATCGCGAGCGTCAGCAAGATGAAGCTGCGGTTTCGAAACTGCTCAAAGACATCACCACAGGAGCGCTGCGACGGAAACGCGGGAACGATGATCTCGACCTCTCCGATGAAGAAGATGCCATGGTGAGGCGGAGGGAGGCCAAAAGACGCGAGTTCATGAGAATGCGTCGAGAATTACTCAAGGACGAAGCTGTCGGCAAGATTGCAGAGGACAAGAAGAAGGAAGCATTTCTACGAAGCATCGAGGATCACCAGGCTAGTGACGACGATGAAGATGATTTCAACTTGCCCGAAACTCCGCTCGAGGACGAGTCTCAGGCAGTCGTCCAAACAGCAGATGAATCCGAGAAGACTCAAGACCAGGCAGGCAGCCAAGATGCAGTGCAGGGAGTCAGAAAAGACCAGCAACCCCTCACGACTGCTGCCGCGTCGAGGCTGAACCAGGGCAACCGATCCATTGGTCGCGGAAAAGGTCGCATGGATCGAAGACCTGCAACATTGGCCGAGATCCGAGAATCTGTATCCTTTCTCATTGAAGAAAGTGACTCACAGGCGGCCACAATTGACCTTGGTCTGTCCGACTCTGAAGATGAGCCAGAAGCCTACGTCAACCTGGACCGACATTTTCAGGCCGCAGAGGCGGATGAAAATGCGGAGGACGGTGACGATCTGGGCGATTTCATTGTCGACGATGATGGAAGGGCCAAGGAAGAGAGCATTTTCAAGAAGCCAACTATGCCTTATAGTGAGAGCCGGGCATCATACTCGGAACGACGGACAAAAGAGCGTCCGAATGTTGTCAATCGTCTGAACATGCTCCGGCAGTCATCATCGTCTTCAGGATCGTCTTCCAGCACCAAGATGGCGTTTTACAGCGGCGACTCATCGACCGCCGGGTCGTTCGGCAAGGTGCCAGCACTTCTTCGTCGAGCAACCACGAATTCAAGTTTGGGCAGTTTTGTCGGACGCGGCGAGAATGTTTCGGCGACAGGAGTGGTGACGAATCGGCCTGAACGGGGCAAGGCCAGCGACGAGAAGGAATTTATCAGGAAAGGAAGCGGTGGGCGGAGGAATGCAGTCAATTACAGACCGACTGTCCGAGAAGAGAAGATGAGTCAACGGGCAGGAATTGCGAAGAAGAATGCGGCGAAGAACCAAAAGACAAGGGGGGGATTCCTGGGCGGTCTATTCGGGAAGGACAGTTGGGCTTGAGGTGTTGGTTGCCTTGATTTTGCATACTTGAAGTTAGAAATGAGGACGTGCTCACTCAAGACGTGTTTCCACCTGGTCCTGGTGCTTAGGGAGAAGCTGTATTCCGTACTCGGGTATGTTGTACGTGGCCGTAGACATTGTGCTGATCCGATTTCCGTGGGCTAGGTGTAGCAGGGGTCTTGCAGTGTGTGATTGGATTGACCCGCGAAGGCTAAGGCGTATTCAATGCATGATGATCCTTGCTACGTCTCCCGTCTCCATACGTGCTCTGTAATCACAGGGACTGTGTTGAATAGATGCCGTGGCCGATGTGGAAGATTAGCCATGAAATCACACACTCGGTCGAAGTCAAGGTTGCAGGGGCCTGCTCCCATCCAGGACAGGACATCTATGCAAAGTGAGGCAGAGACTCTAGTGGACACTTGATCCATCATTTGGTGGTAGTAGTGGTGATTAACCCTAACCCTAACCCCAACCCTAACACTGACTGCATCGCTCTCCAGTGGCCAAGCGAGACAGCCTCAGCCTCGCCAGCTCAGTCAGCTCAGTCAGCTCGTTTCAACGTGTCCTCGATCTCCCTGGTCCTCCGAGCCTGCTCGCCAAATATGACGAGACAAACCTCCAGCTCCTTTCGCTTCCATTGCGTCGCCGCAGCCACGCCTCCATCTCCGTCTCCGTCTCCCTTTCTCTCCGCCCACTTCGCCAAGCTCCGGTAGGTGTTCGCCAGCGGGAGGCCGACGAGTCCCTCTTTGAGTAGCAGCGCCTCCAGCTTGGCCAGGGCAGTCAGCGCCTGGTTCACGACGGCTCGGCGCTCGACAGACTCCTTCTCCTTCATAGTGCGACCGTTACTGCTTCTGCTACCGCCACTGCTACCGTCACTGCTACCGCCACCCCCACTGCTTCTGCTACCGCCACCCCCAAACCGCTTCTCACATGCCTGCACGGTCCGAAAAGCCTCATACATGGCCCTGCGCCGGTCGTCGCTCTTGGCCCAGAACTCGGTCGGCGGCTGGCACGCGTCACAGGAACACACGAAGCCGTAGTGGATCAGCTGTTTCTGCTGCCTGTGCGCCTTGACCTCAAATACACCTCGGTCGTAGTTGGTGCACACTTCTTTCCCTTTCGGAATGTCGCGGATGGCCCGGAACCTCATCTCGTTGCTGGCTTGGTCGTACGAGAACTGCACGTTGGGCACGCAGCTGTGGTTGAGTCTGCTGCAGAAGGCGCCGATGGCCGAACCGCCTCCTTTATTATTGACTCTGCCGTCTCCTTCGCCTTGTCCTTCGCCGTTCTGGCCTGCTGGCTGGCTGGTCCTCGCTTTGATGAATGCGTCGCAGTTGTGGCAGTTGCTGTAATAGATCGAGACGACACGGGACATGCGTGACTTCTGCGCGTCCCAGAGGCGAAGGTACGTTTTTTGGTCCGTGCGGGAGAGGGCGGCGAACTCGTGCTCGATCGCGGCCCAATCGGCCTCTTTGTCCTTGTCGAGTAGGATCAAAGGTCTTTCCGCCACGACTGTAGTGCCGGCCTTGATCTTGCGCCGGGTGAAAACTGCCATGCCCCGGTCGGGGGTATTGACTAGCTCGAGCAGCGTGTCTTGAGGCTTTGACTTGAAGCTTGCATCACCGGAGTGCGACGTGTTTGTAACTGAGTGCCTGGAAGGTACTATTTTCACTGCAGCTGCAGCTGCACCTGTACTTGTACCTGCACCTGCGACCTTCTTCGCCGACACAGGTTCACTCTCTTGCAAGGACAGTTGATCAAAGCTTGAGATCATGGCCTTCTCGAGCGGCATTGCACTCCCTTGTAAGGACAGTTGATCAAGGCTTGAGATCATGGCCTTCTCGAGCAGCATTGGTCAGTCATGGTCGCTTCAAGGGGAGTTGGAATCATAGGTAGCTCACACATACACCCTCCATGTTGAATTGTCGCAGACGTAGATTGATCGCAGACGTGGAACTTTCCGGACGGGTTCTACAGATTGATCCCGGACCCGGTTTGTCTGCCCTCCCCTTCTTTCAGAAAGGAAGGCAAGATTTCATATAGAAAGGCAAGAACCCATGATTGTAGTGTCCTCAGAGTGCAAACAAACGATAGAAAATAGGTGTCAAAGAACAGAAAAGACAGAAAATAGATACTAAAGAACAGAAAGGCGGGCAGCAGCAGGCGAAGCCATTCCAATTCCATCCATGTCCATGGTGACTGAGGATTCAATGTCCGAGCACGTCCGGTGAATTTGATGCCTCGACATGGCGAGACCGGGAGGAGGGACGGGTTGGGTTAGGTTAACTCTTTATAGTTTGTACGACAGCGATAGCGATAGCGATAGTGATGACGATGGCGACAGCGATGGCGAAACCGGCGTCGGCGTCAGTCGTGTCGTGCAGGCAGGCAGGTATCGTACCATAGTTAGGTACAGAACGGATACACAGCTACCTAATTACGGAGTAGTAGGCACCTAGTAGGTAAGATAACGCCTTAATTAGTCCTAGTCTTAGTCTTTTGGTCGAATCGAACAAAAAAGAAGGAGATAGACGACAGGGGACAGGCGACATCGGGCTCGGGCTCCGCTGAGGTCTAGATACGTAGTAGACTAGGGGGCTTAGGAGGCTAAGGAGGCTGAGGCTAGGGGTTAGGGGGTTCCTAAGGCTCGCTCTGACGCCTGGCGCAGTTCCGATTGGACAGGAGGGAATAGGAATATCCATAAGTAGACTAGACTATAGACTATAGACTATAGACTATAAATTGTCTATAGCAGCGCTGCAGCGGCGACGAGGTCCGAGGTCCGAGGTCTGTGGTGTGGTGTGGTGTGGCGGCGCTGGCATAGTATATGTTACTTTGCTGGAGATTAGTCTATACTGTCTCTGCACTCTATACTCTTTATTCTGTACTCTATACTTGTACTGTCTCCGTACTCCGTATCCGTACTCCGTATCCGTACTCCGTATTCATACTCTGGCGCAAACCCCTCAGAGGGAGGTTGAACGCCGGCCCTACTATACTATGGTGCTGATTTACCATACTCTGTACTCCGTACTCCGTACTCTGTACTCTATATCCGTACTATACCCTAAAAATTAAGAATACGAGTAATTCTTACTTGTAATATTATATTCAATGTCTACTGTCCAACATGAAACAACGCAAGGTTCAAGATACATCCTGATTCTGATTGATCAAGGCAGGACAGGGCAGGGCAGGGACAGGGACAGGGACAGAAACGTTTCGAGAAGTTAAAGTCGACACGTCGCTCTGTATCTATGAAAACACTTGAGTATATGTCGCGCCGCTGTAGAAAACACTTTAAGTATGTGTCATGTTGAGGAGATCGTGATCCTCTCCTCTCCTCTGTACCTAAGACCTCTCTCTAGAATAAGGCTGAGACTGGAGATCGTAGAAGCCTTCCTTGTATTCTGGTTTAATCTGACCAGACACATCAGAGAAGATAAAGATATACTAACCTGGTCTGAGTCTGACCTAACACGTCAGAGAAGATAGATATGCTGACCTAACCTGACTTGATATAACCTGATCTGACAATTCGACCTAACTTAACGTAACATGACTGGGCCTCCCGACCTGATCTGACCTGATGTGACGTCCCGAGGCCCAACGTCGCGCCGGTGGATAGAGACAGATCCGAGTTGCAAGTGCCAGTGATTGAAACTCTACATTAGAAAAACATCGCGTTGGACGACCGGGTCGTGTTATGGCATGTCGACCCTTCGTATTCATATGATGACATGTCGACCTTTATATTCATATGCGTCAAGTAGCTGGTAGCTCATCACTTGAAATGAACGTGAACATCTTAGACGCCCGAGAAGAAGATCTAGACAAGACACTGCGCGGCAATTTAACCCTCACCAGTCGAGGTGAGGCGGTTTGACGTGACGACTTGGGTGATGGGTGGAAGACGATGCCTTGCTTATACCAGAACCAGTGCGGCAGAGGCAGCGAACATAGCCATAGCCACAGCGGCCTTTGTCATCTACGGATTAAACGTTCAAGTCAGTGAACTGGACTGTCTCGGTCGACTTGTTTCGATTTGGTATTGGTATTGGTAGTGTAGTCTTACCTTGGTAGAGACGCCCGCGGCAGAGTTGGACTTGGCCGTGCTGCTTGTCTGGCTTGCGGTATTTGTGCTCGTGCCCGTCGCGTCTGTCGATCCAGCTGACGACTTGGACGAAGAAGCGCTACCGGTGCCGGTGGCGGCGGAGGAGGAAGCGGAATCAGACGCAGACGCAGTCGCAGTCGCCGAAGCCGGGGAACTGTCGCAGTCGTCGGAGGAGCCAGAAGCAAACGTGATGCCGGTGGGTAATGGGATCTGCTGCAAGAACGACTCGATCGAAGATGGGAAAGGTTCGGTAGCGTCGTAGGTCGTATTGGCATAGACGTAGCAGTCATCCGCGGGATTAATGCCCTATGGGTATCGCCGTGAGGTCAGCAGTGTAATTGAGACGAGAGAAGCCAACTGAGATGAGCAGTGCAACGAGACGAGAGCAGCCCAACTGAGATGAGAGCACGGGAACGGGAACGGGAAGAGAAAAGAAATAGAAGAACAAAATGGGCGACATACTGCGGTAGTAGAGCAGTAATCAATGTCAGTGGCAGTATACACATCACACCAGGCCGAGTTGCCCGACGCCAGACAGCAGGAGTTGCAGACTTCACGCGCACATGCGCATACGTCCTGGCAGAAACAGTCGGTGTATTGCGCCGAAGGTTTCTCCAGACATTGCGTCTTGCATTGTGTCATCACGGTACAGAACGAGCTACACAGACTCTCTTGGTCTTGGGTGTCGTCTGTGTTGTCGGAAGAGCACTGTGCCGCGACTGAATTGGTCGCTCCGAGGAGGATGGAGGCCAGAACGAGATGGTTGAAGGACTTCATGGTGAGATGGGTCAGGTGTGTACTGGTGTAGTGTACTGGTGTGCTGGTCTGGCGGACTCATGTGCTGGTGTACTGGTGTAGTGGTGTCCTCGTGTACCGGTATACTCGTATACTCGTCAACTGGTGTATCGATGCGGAGGATAGAAAGACAGGAAGTGGTAGTGGTGGTAGTAGTAGACATCAGCCGAAAGTACAAAGTTCAGTGCCCGGGTCTTAAGTAACAGGCTCAGTGGGTTGGCGAACCCTCTGATGGCATGTATCCGTACACTGACAGACCATCCGTACTCCATACTCCATACAGCGTACAGCCCCCATTTCGATTTGTGCCAGTGCCAGTGCAAACTGCGCGGAAGATTCAGGGGGGCCAAAGTTCTTAGCCTGGCTTAGGTCGAGGGAGCCGGTGTGGCCGACGGGAAGGTAACTCTGTATCTGTATCTGTACTCTGTACGTGAGACTTGGTACCTGCGGGAAAATGAAATTGGCCATTATAGTCCATCTCGCGCCTCAAACTAAGGTCCAGACTGACCAATCGCTGGACGAGGCTCCCGAGCGCCGATTGGGAGGCTTGAACCAGATACCGACTTGGGCATGGAGGGTGAGATAGTGAGATACGTAGTAGGCGAAAATGGAGATGAAGATGGAGATGGAGGAGATGCCACTCGATCGGTCCGCAGGCTAGTTAGTGGTGGGAGCGGGACAGCCACTGCCACTGCCACTGCCACTGCCACTGGCCCTGCACTAGGTCTCTTCTCTGAGGAGTATTCTGTACGCCGTACAGCTGAAAACTGTGAAAGCCTCGGTGTCGATGTCGATGTCGATGTCTTGACCTTCAGACACGGCGTCGACTGTAGAGGGGAGATTGATGACCTAGCCAGTATAGAGTGTCTGAACACATTACAACAAGCACGCACAAGCCTTGAAGCGCCTTGGCGGGCAGATGGCTGTATCTTAATTCTGTACTCTGGACTCTGTATCCGTACTCCGTACTGAGTACTCCTACTCTGTCTGTACTTGGTATCTAAGATTGCATATAGCCCCCGAGTCCCTTAGCTGAACTCTCGGCACCGTCGGCAATCGAACATCTCTTGCTATTCGACATTCAACATCTGGCCCACATAGTCCGAGGCGAGGCTTGCCCTGCGCCAGACCTAATCCAGGAACAAGGCTAGGACTAAGGACTTCGAGGACCCCGTTTATCAAGCCATAGAGATTGTGACACGGGACCACGTTGCATCGGCCGAGCTGGCTGAGCTGCAATGCATCTCTACCTCGATTCTCTACTAGTCGGCGAACGCCTCGTAAGGCTGACAACTGAAACAGTTCCCTGTCGATCAGACCCTGGGAGAGGAAAGCCCTGGCCATCTACTTACGGCACTATTTCCCTTCGCTGCAGCATATCCCATGTCGGCTTTGGTAAACTCAGATCCACGGCCCTGAGATATCTCCCGGCCGTCGTCTTGTTCGCTACATAGGCACGGGCGACCGGTTCGATAGAGCTCCAGTTCAATTCTGCCGTGCCAACCGCACGACCACGGCTACGCCCGTGGCCATCTTGTTCAATCCTCGACAGTGCATCGGCGACCCACGTCCGGCATCGCCAATCGGGGTCGTCCTGCACCACCGGGGTGGTTTCGAAAATTGAAACCAGCCGCTGTTCATCTTCCACTTTAGCGATGAGGACGCGAGCGAGCAAGTTGTCGGTGGTCTGTATGTTGAGATGCGGAATTGCTTCGTACGCCCAGCCTTGAAGAGGTCGGTTTTTGACGTGGTACTGCGTGCCTGGAACCTGACCCGATTTTCTCTCGACTTTGGGGCCGACAAGGAATCCCCAGTGGTACCTGCAAAGAAGCCATGTATCAGATTGGATTTCGAAGCTGTCGCCAAGCCAGGGCCAGGGCCAAGGCCGTCAAGGACGATTGAGTACCTCCGTTCTTCGTTCCCGGTCACTCCGCTTGGGTACAGAGCGATGTACAGTCGTTTCTTGCCAGAAACCATTTCAATATTTCGGTCTCCCAAGTCTCGGTCCGATGATTTGGGTCCTATCCTATCAGGCTGTGAGGGTGATGATGGTTCTGATTCTTGGCTTGTGGTCAGGGATGATTTGACCCTTGGTCGCAGGCACGTGACAGACTGGCCCTTTGTAGTATCCGTATGTGGCTTGTATCCGTACAGTGTCTCGTTGCAAGAGCCCTCTGCACCGGTGGTGTGGGTGATGGATATGTTGCCTCGACTTTGAGATATGCCAGTCTTTCGAGGGCAGTGTGAGACACATATGAGACGCAGATTGTACACTTGAACTGCGAGATCCGTCCCACCAGCTTTTGGGCTCTCGTCCGAACTCGATTCTCAGATGATCCTCCGCCATCTGCACTCCTCGTAAGTTTGCGCTCGTCTCTTCGCTCCGGTGGCTAGAGTGTGGTAGCCTTCTCGTATGCTTTCGCTTTTGCTTTCGCTGCAGGGCGCAAATGCAGCACCCGCGGCGAATCCGGCCCTTTTCACCTCGTGGCTGGTTTGTCAAGGCCTGGCCTGGCCTCATCTCATCCCACAGACATCACCACTCCTTTCAGGGTGTATTGAGTCCCGTTGTTGTAGTTGTAGCACTGGCTGGACCACAAACCAGGGCGCCGTTCGGATCGATTCATAGTTCTTGCTCTCCTTCGCACAACATTGGTCTTTGCCGGCAGCATACATTCACAGGTGCCGAATGTATTGTCCTCAACATCTCCAGGAGGGTTCCACGCATCTCCCAGGCATACTTCCAAGCATTGTCGGCACTTCGCCTGAATAAGAATGCCCAGAACCGGTAAAGTGGTCATCTGGCGGGCAAAGGAAACAGCCCGTACATGTAATCATTTGTGATTTGTATTGCCACCTCTTTCCCGCGGTACCTCAGGACACATGTCAACCCAACTGCGTACAATAAAACTTCACGTCTTATGATTTTTCTCGGCAGACTCTTGGACCTTCAACCGCTGCACCAACCTGTCCCTCATGAACTCCGTCAAGCCCAGAATCCCATCATTCGTACAGATCCGATAGGTCCCACTAGGCTGATATCTGCCATGGCCGTCGACAAAAGTGCCGTCCCCATCGACCTCGACACTGCCGAAAATATCCTCCGGCTCAGCAATGCGGCCGTATTCGGGAGCTCGCCGCCCGTCCGAGACGTGGACCCAACCCCCCCTGGCGGCGCTGGCACTGGCGTTGGTGTCGCCGCGCTGGCGCCGCGCCGCCTGGAACAAGGAGGTGCCCGACGCCGAAATCATAACCGCGGCCTGTGCCTGGACGGCGGGATCTGATGCCGCGTTCTCGGCCATGACTGCGTGTAGGATGGGAAGGAACTTGGGGTTTTCTGTGAATGAGGCCGGCGTCGGCGGTAGTTTGGTGGTGGTGCCGATTGCGAGTGAGGGTGTCGGCGGGTCTGAAGGCAGAAGGGAGAGCAGGTGAGCGGAGGGAGCATCGGGGTCTTGGAAGACGAACTATATGCAGGATACGGCATGTTAGAGGCACAGTCAAAAGTCAAAGACAACAGGCAAACAGTGATGGTCATGGTCATGGCATGGTAGGTACGAAGGCAGCCTTACAATGTGAGAGTTGTTACTGAGCGTCGACACGGCTCGAAGCTGAAGCTGAAGCTGGGATCCTCGTGTACAGCGTCCTGCTTGACGCAGAAATCGAGTCGTGGTGAGGGCGTTCATGGCGGGGGCGGGCTGTACTGCGAGTGTTGTGTCGACGGCACGTAGGTGTAGGGTAGGTAGTAACGTATCGACGGCACGTAGGTGCAGGGCAGGCAGAGGAGCAGGCGCACGAGCAGACAGAGGAGTAGGCAGAGGAGCAGGCGCAGACAGCTTAGATTGGTATCTAATAAGATACTGATGTACTGTGATGATATGTAACGAACGAACAAATCAATTAGATTAGATCAGGTAGGGAGTGGAGGTCCAACGACTTCGATACTCATGAGCATGAGCATGAGCATGAGCAAGCGAAGTGAAATAAATGAAAATGAGGACAATGAAATGCGGAATGAAATGACGTCGGCGTCGGTGTTTGGTGTTTGGTCTTTGGGGCTTATATAATCCGAGCTCAGCCTTGCACAGCCTCGTCACGGCACCGGCACCGTCCCCAATCCACGAGGCTGTGATCCATGATCCATGATCTGTGATCTGTTCGTGGCGGTGATCTATGATCTATGATCTATGATCTGCTCGTGGCCGAGAGACTGGACGAAAGCTACGAACAGTCTTTCCATTCCATTCCATTCCCCGGCACGGCATCTGGGTATCTATATCACGGTCAAGACTCGTTCTAGAAGAGCGACACTACTTCAGAGTGCGAGCCTACGATCATGACTTCCAGGGGCATGAACTGAAGAGTCAAGCATGACTACCAAGGTTGAATGAACCCTCTCCAGTTATCAGAGTATGCTGCAATTCTCCAACAGTATCAGCTGTTAGTATGATTCAATGGCTCTCCTGCCTTACTAAGGCTCCTCCTCCTCCTCCTCCTCCTCCTCAGCTGGCTTTCATAAGCCATAATCAAGACTTCTTATCTCTTGGGAGAATGAACAGAAAAGGAGAGCCCAGTCTGATGAGATGACCAGGATTAAAGGGACCGTGTCCAGCCGTAGCCGTATCAGATATTAATGTGACTCTGTTCCTCTCCCTCCTCCTCCTCCTCCTCCTCCTTACTAAGGCTCCTCCTCACCCCTCCTCCTTATCCTCTTACTTCTACTCTTCCCCTCTCCCCCCTCAGCTAGCTTTCTTAATACTCGGCACCGGCACCCCAATCTTCTCAATCGGCTTGCCATCGACCCAAATGTCCACCTTGTCCGGATAGAAGCACAGCAAGCCTGCGATCAAGGCGCTCTCGGCCGTCGGGTTCGGATACCACCAGACGACATCTCTGGTTTCCTTCCCCCCCACCACCGCATGGTAGTAGCTCGCCTGGCCCTTGTACGGACATCCCGTGTGCGTGTCGCTGGGCCGGAGGTGCTCCCACTTGACCGCCGTGGGCGGAAGATACCAGCGAGCGGGGAACCTCGTCTCCCACAGCGACATAACGCCGCCCTCGGCGCCCGTGTCGGCCAGGACCACGCCGTCGAGCTCGACGCGCACGTGCCGACCCGACGGGAGGATGTCGACGCGGTGGAAGGGGTCTTTTGGATGGTACAGGATCTGCGCCTGCTCTTCGTACCATGTGTCGAGGGCTTTGAAGTCGATCTTGACTAGGCCGGCGAGTTCTGAGCCCTGGCCGTCACCCACTACGAGTGCGTCCACGGTTTTGTCGCCGACGCTGAGCTTGACGACCGACCATTGCTGTTGCTGCTGACTCAAGTCTGTGGCCTTGGCCTGGGCGTGCAAGCTGCGCCCGTCATCGGGATCCGTGAACGTCGCCGCGTCGAGAAAGGCGGACCGTGGAATCCAATGCTGGGGAAAGTATTGGTGCTCCCAGACTAGCTTGGTCGAGGTCGAGTCGAAGATGTATTGGCCATTGAGAACCCCGCGGATGCGTTTCGCTGTGGCTACCACCTTGGGCGGGGAGTCGGCGTGGGGGTCGAGCAGTTTGGATGCGAGATCGGCGAGGCTGACGGTGCGGAATGTGCTCATTAGTTTCCATTGAATATTCAAATGGCGACAGTGGATGTGGATGGGAGCTCACTCGGACATATTGATATTGATATCGATATCGATACTGAATTGATACTGCGTGATTGTGACTGTGATTGTGATTGTGGTGGGAGGGGAGGCGAGAGGCGAGCTACAGTAAGTACTGTACTGTAGTAAGTGTCGACCCGTCGATGAGATCTGAGATCAGAGATCTGATGTAGCCTCCGTTCCGGTCAGCTGCCAGCGTCGTCGATAGCTAGCTAGCTAGCTACGTACCTCGATCTATTCGCCTGGTCTCGCCTCGATGATAGCAACCACTTACGGTATTGGGTGGGATGAGTGATGCCAACCACTAAGGTATTGGGATGTGTGCCTGATCTGGCTGAGTGATACCAACCACTTAAGGTATTGGGATCGGAGCCTCTCTGCCTCAGTGATATCAACCACTCTCAGGACGGGAGTCTGATCTGGCTGAGTGATATCAACCACTTGGTGCTGTTGGATATGAGTCTCTCAGGCTGGGTTAAGGTAGGTAGGTATGTAGGTAAGGGTAGGTCACTGAACCCCGAGATGGAGTTATTGATGCTCCTTTGCAGAACTGACTAACTTAAACGTCCCCGGATGGCCTGGTTCTAGACGGAGGGGAGGGGGCATCTAGTACCTACTGTACTGACACATGGAAATGAAATAAACTGATATGATATGTAAGCAGTATCAGAACAGCCAGAACAGCGACGGTGACAATCTCAATCTGACTGGTCATCCAGCGTCTCTTTGCGGGGATGCGGCCGGGTCGGGGAAACCGGCGCTTGATTCATCATCTGGCGTGGTATTGACGACATTTGCTTACATACTTGCTCACCAACTCAACTCACTACTAGTAAAATAGATACTTTTGCAATGTCATAGTATTTGATGTACTACTAGATACTTTGCAATGTCATAGTATTTGTTGGGCCACTTTCCCGGTCACTCCCTGAATACAAATACTGTAGTTTCAGTCGCCGTCCATTCAGGGCCAATTCCAGGGCTGTCCTGTCCTGTCCGGTCCGGTCCGGCTCTGCGTCGCCAACGAAGGCACGTCCCACATGCGCATACTTCGCGGTTGGCGATATCGCCGACTCGGGCGCACAAAAGGCCTCACGGCCAGCCATCGCCCAGGCCGCCGTGCTGGCGAAGAATGTTAATCATAACTGTCCGTTCCAATCACACTCCGTACCTGTCATTGATTCATACGTCGTAACCTTGCACACCCCCGTTTCCGTTCTCGTCCCGGTCCGGCGGGATCATCCATGTCAAGGTTGGCCTTCTAGAGTGAATATTCACGACGAGTCGCCTTCTCCGAGTCCTCATCGCTGCGGATTGGGACGCTGTACACACTGCCTCGGTGCTCAGCCGTGCTCACCCGTCGTTGATGTTCGCCAGTCTCCTCGTAGTCAATGAGGATCTCCCCATTCTTGCCATACCGACGAGGCTCCTGTTTCGCAGTCCATACCACCTGGAAGATGCTCTTGGTCTTGCGGAAGATCGTGTCCATCTCTTCGAGTGAGCGGTAGGCCGTTTCGGGGTAGAAGAAGTATACCACCGGGAAGATGAAGGCGTTGCTACAAATCCAATTAGTCAAGGTACGTCCGGATAAGGAACCACCTCCACCTCCACCACTTACATGACAGCGAAGATGATGTAAGTCTGGTATCCGATCGATGAAAACGACACCGGGGTGATCATGACCACCATGAAGTTGAATGCCCAGTTGGCGCTGGTCGACAAAGCATTGCTCGGGGCTCGGATTCGTAGAGGTACGATCTCGGCAGGGTAGAGCCATGTCACCCCGAGAAGGGAAAACGCAAAGCAAGAGTTGAATACGAAGAGGAAGGTGGCGGCGACAATGCCAGCACTGGTGCCGCCGACCTTGGTCATGACGGCCAGGACCACCATCGACCCAGACATGCCCGCGGTCCCAATCAACATGAGCTTTCGCCGCCCAACCCGATCGATGATAAAGACGGGAACCCAGGAAGCCAAGAAGTATTCCGTGCCGTTACACGCCGCCAGGATGCGGGCGATAAAGGGGGTCAGACCAATCTCATTCTCGTAGATCGTGGCCGCGTAATAGGTAATCAAATTGATTCCACTTATTTGCTGCGACATTTGGATGACATAGGCCAGTGCTACGCGATGGAAGTGCCGGTCCTCGTCCATGGTGAAGAGGTCGCGGAAGGTGGTCTTCTGTTGCTCCAGAACAGCATCCTTGATGGCGGTAAATTCAGACGACACGTATCTATCCTCGATGGACTTGTCCGAGAGAGCGGCCAGGACTTCCATGGCCTCTTCTTCTTGGCCCTTCAAGATGAGCCATCTGTCAAGTGTCAGTCCGACTGGAATGTGCGAGATGCCATCAACGAGTCCACATCGTGCCTACCTCGGGGATTCGGGAAGTTCCAAGATGAAGGCGAGAATGACGAGAGCGAAAATGATCTGAATCGCGATCGGTAGGCGCCACGATGCTTGGTTGTTGATGAATGAACAGCCAAAGTCGATCCAGTACGAAAGACAGATGCCCCCGGTAATCAAGGCGCCTTCAATCATGACCATTTGTCCTCTCTTATGCGACTTGGAGCATTCGGACTGCCATGTCGGCACCGTCGAGGTGTTGAGGCCATTGCCCAAGCCGGTAATCACACGGCCCACGATGAAATGGGGCAAGCTGAACGCAGAAGCCTGGAGAGTAGCACCAACCACCATGATGGCCGAGCCCAGGAAGATGGTCTTTCGCCGACCCAGAATGTCGCCCACCCAGATACAGACAATGGCACCGAAAAAGCACCCGACATTGTACGAGGCTACCGAGATGCCCTGGATGGTCGACTTGTGATTGGCTTGGCTCTTGGTCAATCCAGCCAGACCGGCCGCCGTGGTATCGATCTCGGGAAAGACAGACGCAAAAGCGGGAAGGGTCAAGAGACCCCCCATGACGCCTTGATCATATCCGAACAGCCTGGGCACCGTGAGCATCAGTGAGTGACCTTCAAGTTGGGTTTGGTAGGGGCGGGGCGCTTACAAGAAGTCGATGCCGGCGATGACACCGATGACAAGGTTGAGCTTGGTGCCGCGGAAGCCCAAGTATCGCTGGTTGAAAAGCTTCATCGTGCCTGATATTTAGATGTAGGGAGCCTTGGATTGGTCGGACTCGTCGCGGTGAGAGAGAGAGCAAACTCTCCCAGGAGGCTTCCCCGTCTTTATGCAAGAATACTCCCTGGTGACACAGGAGAGCTAAATCAAGCCTGCAGAGCCATGCCTGTGGACCGGCAAAGAGATTTTGATTTTGGCACCGGTCATCGTGCAATAACACTATCCAGTGCGTGAGCGTGTTGATGTCTTCGAACTCCGTGGTTGGCTAAGTCCCCTCACACTGCGTGCGCAAACCTTTGCCGACTGTTGCAACGATGGGGACAGACAAGGGTCTTGTGGAGGAGTGATCTACATATCGGTACCTGGGCCAGTTTGGCCGCCACCATCTCTCGACTCCAATCATGGCCGTCCTCCGCCATCGACCGTGTGCCGGGTTACCTCAAAGGGAAATCCCCGAGCACCACGAGGATCCGCGATGATGATGGTGGCGGCATCAGGCCGGAGCTTATTCTCTCCTCGTCGTCTCACAGTGGAAAATGACATCGTTCACGGCGGGAGATGGCTCTAGCGCTGCCGACTTTTCCTTGGTCCACCCGGCTTCCCCAGTCTTAATTTTGGGCACTGTTTATATACTTGGCTGTAGCTGTTGGATTTTCGCACAACGGAGATTTTCAGTGGAAACAACAGACTCGGAGATCCAGCCTGAGCAGTTGTAATCCCACGTGGTGGATTAGGTCCAATAGGTCCGTTGTCATTGTCAATCGTTACCAAAAGCGACAACCAGGAGTGTACCCATTACGGTGGGTGACCGAAGATTTGAAAATAGGAAAATGGCTCGTGCTCAACCGGCGGTCAGAGAGGTTCGTATGTAGAAAGGTGTTGGTGTCTAGCTCGAAGCGGCGCATCTAACCAGGAACTTCAGGAGAGGGTTGCTCTCGCTTGTAAGGTGGCTGGAACACCTATAGGTCCATGTTACCCCGTGGGATTCTATGCATACCCCGTAAACCCTTTAGAACGGCTCTAAGCGAGGGGAACGTCGTTAATCGGAATCATGGACCAGGATATATAGCTATAGGGACGGAGTACGGGGGAAAGACGCTGGGAAAGACGCCGCTCGAAGGTCGGTCGGCATTCCGAAACAGGCAATCCCGGCTCAGGAGTAAGGTCAGCACCCCTGAAGCTCCTAGGGCAAATGCGAGGCTGGTCTTTGCCTTGGCCTTCAGCCCTTTTGAAAAGACTATGCGACACGAACCGAACGATATGGAGAGTTATCTGTGTAAAGCACCTTGTCGAGGAAGCGTTCATCATCATGTTGCGTGTCTGTGAGAAGATGCTGTATCCATGGTGTCAGAAAACAGCTGGTCGTAGTCTAGGCATGTGACATGTCTGGCTCGCAACTACCCATTCTGAGGTCTCCTGCTCGTAGGTAGGAGGTCGACGAGGTGTGGACACCGTGGTTCTACAACTCAGCGCGAGATTTCTCCAAGAGCCACTCGATTAGAAGGCCGATATCCTCCGTGATCGTTAGAATCCGGGCAATCTTGCTCCTTAGGTTGGAATTGTCAGCGTGGATGCCACGCACATGTTTGACCTCGACCTTTCCGTCCGGACAGACCTCCAGAGATACAGAGAGAAAGGGACTCTGCCTTCCCTTCGCAAGTGAGCCGCGTAATGGGACAATAACATCAAGTCTTGCCCGGGAGATATCAGAAATAATATCGAGGGTCAAGTCGACCGGCAAGACGTCAGCGCCCGTCACTATTGCGTTCGAGTTCGGTAAGCCACCGATCTGCGAGCCAAGAGTCTTTGTATTGCTACGTTTGAGCGGCCGACTTGTGCCCTCTGGAGCTGACTGTGCCTTTCGCCCGGAAGTCGCCGGGTCGCTGTTATGCTCCGTTACCCCATCCACAAGACTCCGCAGTATACTCCAGAGTAGGGCGTATTGGCGGAGGATGGGGATGACGGCTGCCAGTTGCCGGGGGTGGGTAAACTTCAATTGTTTCACTGGATAACACCAGAGAGCAGCGGCGTGTTGCGCGGAATGCAACGCATAGGAATGCCGTCGCCATTGCGGAGTGTGATCTTCGTCCAGCGCCGGCAACGTCCTGGGCCACCTTTCCTGCGAAGTACTGGCGCTACCAGCCTGGGTGGTATTGAAGTGTTTCTGTAAAGCCGTTTGATAGGTCACCGTGAGTTCGTGCTTTAACTCTACCATCGTCAGATCCACATTCAGGTGGGCAGCAACATTGAGGGGCAGGTAGACTTCGGATAGCAGGTGACAGACAAAATGCATGTCTAATACAGTTGATGATAAAGTAGCTGGTTTGTCCGAGTCTGCCGTGACGTCCTGATCTGCGCCGGTAGCATTGTCCACTGGGTCTTGCCAGTCCGGCCTGACCTTTGCGGCTTCAATGTCCCCGTCTGTGTCCACATCCTGAGTAATAGCACTTTCTGAGACCCATTGTTTGGCCAGTACTGTTGAAGGGGAGCCTGGCTCGCAGGCTATTCTGGCGGTGTAAAGATGGGGAGATGCATTAGCACTAGGCTCGACTTCGCCATCTGCTGTTTTCTCCTGCAAGTCTTCTTTGGCGCACCAGTAATCCAGAGCCAGACCAAGGATAGGTTTTCGATCGAGGGAGGGCCGGCCTACAGCAGTGCGCCTGAGATGTTGTCGGGTCGTCCGCCCACTGAATTTCTGCCTCTCGACATTCCAGATCTTCTGAAAAGCATCGTAAAGGCCAGTCACGGCTTCGAAGCAAGGAGCTCCTCCTTCAATGTGATCAAGCTGGCTGAGGTACTGCAAGTTGGACTCAAATGTATCCAGGCTCATCCACTGTGGTGAACCCAAGACCATGTTCAGAGGCTTTAGATTGTCCTTTAAGATCTCGGAGCCACGGATTTGCGGCTGAGGCTCTTCGCTGTCGGAGGTGTTGAGGTTGAGACTGACATCCGTCACCCGGTCGCGGTCAGCAGCGTCAAAAATGACCTCAAGATCAACAGCATTTCCAGCAATTGTAAGATTTTCGTCGTCCCACAGGGTTGTGAAGCCTTGTAGCTGGGCTATTCTTTCCACGCCTTCACGTGTGACTCCTCGGCCTGCCACCCTACTTTTGAGTATGTCGGCGACTAGATGCGCTCGGTGCAACCGTTCCGCTTCTGGATTGACAGGGGTACCAGCCCCTCTGACAGAGGTACCTTGCAGGCTTGTTGTGATTCCCAAGCCGTCTGGACCGCTGCCCAACGGTGTCATGCCTGTCGGGCCCAGTGAGGCCATGAGTGCTGCGGCGGGAGAATTTAAAGCGAGGAGGTCGTCATGAATCGCGCCTGCAGCTGCAGGGGTGGAGGATGGCTGGGAGGAGGCACTGATATGATGGGTGTGGCCTTGGAGTGAAGCAGGAGTCTTGACCGCGGGCGACTTGTAGGCCAGAGGACGATTAGGATTAGAATTGCCAGAGGTACCGGGGCGAGGCGAGGCCATCAGTCGATTGGGAGTGGAAAGATGAGGTTGAGGTTTGGGAGTCGAGACGGCCTGGGATCTAGTAGGCGTCGCCATGTCTACTAGAACTGCCACGAAGTCGCCGGCTTGACACAGAGGAGAGGGGTCCGAGGAGAAAGGTTGCGGTTTCTAGACGCGTCGCGCTGGCATGGATCGAGAGAATGGTCGACGACGGTGAGCTGGTACTGATCTCGACTCGAGGTTAACACGATGCCCTCCAACCCCCTCGCAAGCGGTGGCTGTGGCCTGAGTCTTGTCTCTGTTCTCAACAACTTACCGGCTCCTACTATTTTCTTGTAGTCGACCGGGTCGATCTTCGTTGACATGGGGGACACAAGTGGAAAGTTAGCCGAGGCCGCAGCCTTGAGCCTCCCGGTGAAAGGACTTGGATGCAATGCCAATCCAACAAACCTTGTAGAGAGGTATACTATGTCGGGTCCTTCATCTTGAAAGATGATGACGTCTTCAAGTTGAGAGATGGTATATCTTGCAGCGTATAATAAGTGATACGCCCATAATGACGACTTGCTCGGAGATTTGTCCTGCATCCTGCACAGCTAGACGAGCAACACAAGGCTGGGATATCCGATATCCTTACCATTACCTGCTGGAACGCCGGTCCTTTTCTTCTCCCAGAAACCCCATGGTCTGACTAAGAATATGCTTAAAGTACGTAGATACTTCTGACGACTGGAAATCCATTCTGTTGTCACTGCCGTTGATATCGAGGCGGTCGCCCCTGCAGCCGCAGCCTCGCCGCCAAGCCATACCCGAACCTTGCTTCACCGCTGGCCACTGCACATATACTTCGCTCAATTCCTCACGGACAAAGATAAGAGAAGACAAGGACCAAAAAAGAAAAGTTCCAAATAATCAGTTCGAATTTATAGGTATGGGCCCTCAATCGTTGGACTGGAAGGGCCGGCCCCTAAAGGAACGGATAACCACCTAAGGCAAAGGATCGAGATTCCTCTAATACGCTTTCTGGGCATCCAAAGGCTGTGGTCGTACCACTAGGTTACCAAACCTACCACGATGGGCGACAATAATTGTGAAACAATAAAATATAACCTCCTATTTTCCAAACAGCCACCGATCATGTGATCGCCCGTCACTTTCTTTGTGACAACTGGGCTACCGAGCGCTTGCTATCACACTTTCTCCTAGAAACCCGCCTGGTCTAGTTGAGAGTATGTCTATGTAGATACTTCTGGCGACTGGATTTGACTATATCATAGGACTTCCACCCCTACACTCTAAATTGTATATCTAAAGTTGGCGTCGCCCTCGAGGATCTTGCGCCCACGATCGGCCTTCGAGTTTTCCAGCCGGAAGTAAATTGAGTTGATGACAACCAAGATGATCACGCAGGCATTGCAGCCCATGCAACCGTACAGGCCCGGACGGTATTCGGGAGCATCCTGCGACCGGAAGATTAGGGAACCAATGATGCCACCGATGCCTGTTGGTTTGCGGTCACGGCCAGCGTTAGCGTTGGTCTTTTAGTATCTGCTGTCTTGAAGTAGTGCTGAAATTGAAATTGAGACTGTCTACTGTTGCAGGGGCTTATGCTGGGCGGGGTGCTGTAATAGATTCTTAAGCAGGTCTGGAGGCTCTGATTTGACTTACCGCCAAAGCCGACCAAGGTTGCTGAGCAGAATGCACGTTTCCAATGCCCGCGGATGTTGTTGGCCTGAAATTGAGTCGAGTGAGACAATTAGCCATTCATTCATTGGGAATGGTAAAGGGTGCTGGCTGCTTGATGGGTGGCTCACCTGGTACGTCAAAACAGCTGGAGTGGCAGCATTGCCGGATGCTGCGACAAGAAAGGTGCCAAAGTATCGTGCAGCTGCTGACGAGGCCCAACCCTATACGATACATAGTATCAGAGATTCACTCTTGTTGCTGCTGGTGACGGTCTGACAGCTGAACCTACCAGGATTGGCAAGCCGACCAAGCCCATAATGGCGTTGGCTGCAAGCAAGGGCCCTCGAACATGATAGCGGTCTCCGAACCAGGCCACCGCATACGTTACAATTGCGGCGAACGCATATGGTGGGGCGGTAAGGCATTGAGCCTTGACGAGGGAAAAGCCCAAGGTTTCTCGCAGGATGATGGGGAGGAAATACGACACCGCATATCCCTGAGCGACAGCAAATCTGCCATGTAGTGAGTGAGTCATGTGTGGCTACAATAGAGAGAGAGATGGCGAGGCAGCCAAATCAATGCTGCACTTACGCGAAGATCAATGCAAAACTCCAGACCTTGGGATCAAGGCCGGAAGCAATCCATTTCTTGAAATTCCATTGCTCAAGCTCTGCGTCGTTCCGGTCCTTGTTAATCCGTCGGAGGACAAATTCGATCTCATCCTGCTTAAGGAAGGGTGGCCAGAACTTTGTTTTCCCAACCAGCTGGTCGGGGAATGGGACAAGGTAGATAAAGCCAATGCCAGCAATGATGCATGTGAGCTGAGTTGAGTTAGTATCATGAGAGAAATGAAAGCCGACAGCTAGCTAGCTAGCTGGCAAGACTTACCAGGCCTTCTATGATAAACATCCACCGCCACCTATGAATGAAATGTCAATACACATGTCCTTGATGAACAGATGGGCTCGAAACACAGGTGGACACTAACCCTGCGTAGCCGGCGACACCATCCTGCGGGTATTGTCAGCTCTGGGATCATTCAGTGGCAGCAACAGAGAGAGATGGAAGAGCAGCAATCCTACCATTTGTGTAATGCCATAGGCAAAGATTCCAGAGAAGGCCGAGGAGACGATTCCGATGATATAGAAGACGCCGTATCTCTTGTGCAGGTCGTAGCGCGAGTAGTATGTGGAGATCAAGTAGACGCAACCGGGGAAGTAGCCAGCCTCGAACGCGCCCAGGAGGAGCCGCAGCGGGATCAGGACGACCCAGTCATGCGGTAGGCCGAAACAGATCTATGCTGTGATTAGCAGGGAGTTTTCTGGGACTGGGAGGCTTCAGATGTAAGAAGGAGCACTGGATACTCCGGAGATCCCAGTGGCACAGTACACCCAAGAGATTCAGTGGTAGTAGTGTATATTGGAGACTTACCATGATAATACCCCAGCACAGGCACAGTGCAGGCAATAGAAAGCGCGGTCCCAGTTTGCGGGTTAATAGAGTGGCCGGGGGCTGGAAGACGACGTAGGTGATGAAGAGGACCAGAGCGACGAGTGACTATATCTCGATCTTGTGTTAGCAATAATGCAAGACGAGACGAAACCATTCCTCTCCCTCCCCTTTCTTGGTCAAGGAAGATGAATAGGAGTCAGAACTGTGAACTCAGGGATGCATGGAATGGGAAACAGTGTCCATGAACCATCAAATGACGGGATTCATGTATCCTAGATCCTTCCACGGACAAATATAAAATGAATGACAGTGATGGATCCACGGCACTCACATAACGGTATCCCACGTTCAGGTGCAGGTCCACAGTCATCCCGGCAATAGCTGCATTTCCCAGATTCGACCGGTCCAGGATGGCAATCATGTACATAAAGCCGGTCATCGTGATGAGGCGGCGGTCGATGCGGTGCTTGATCTTGCGCTGCTGCTCCTTCGTGAAGACGGGGTCGTCGTCCAGGTCCTCGCTTTCGACGTGTTTGGGGTCCTCGAGGAACAAGTCTTCTTGGATTGGGAGATCGATTTCATGATGTTGCCCTGGCTTGTCTGTGGCCGTGGTCGTGGCCGTTTCGGAAGCCATGGTGACTGACAGATGGAAGGGGAGGAGGACCAAGGGAGGGTGGGATAGAAAGAAAGGGAAGTAAAAAAAAGCCTTCTATCGAGACCAGGATGGATGTGTTAGTTGAGGGTCCCTGCACAATGGATATATATACCAACACTATACCGTATATACAGCTATAGCATGATAGTTATACTACCTATACACCTACCAAGTCCTTGGTCCTCGGCCCAGCACCAAGAATTGAACCCCATGATCCAATCCCCACAATTCTGCTCGCTGGGTCGTCTAAGTGGGTGGAATGCCATAGATGGGAGGCTTCTTGGCCTTGGACAACAGTACTAAATAGCTAGTTTGGTGTGGTGGGTGCAAGTTACTGTATGAAGTACTTGGCATTTTCAGCACACATTGGCTGGCCATGCCCCAGCCTCGTGGATTGCCGACACTGTAGTTCTGGTCCGGCATCGGCATCGGCACCGGCATCGGCGTTGTCGGCGCAAACCCAGGTCTGAGGAATCCGAGTCTGAGTCCAAGTATTCGACGTTCGAAATCTTTCGTCCTGCGCCAATGCATCTGGGGACCGGGGGCAAGAGCTCTACATCAGCGCAGAGTGACGGAAATCCGGCATCTCTGTGGTCGATGGGGATGTGGATGTGCAAGCCAACCTATCAGGTTTGTGTGTGGTGCGAGATCGGACAGTGCCATGTGCCATGCATCACATCTGTGGCACGTCCATAAGTCCACATGCCTAATGGAATTGCGGAAGTTGACGCTGTTCCTTTATTTCCGTAACTCTTACGGTGCTAGTTTCGCCCGGGGCCGGGGCTTGGGAGTCTTGGGCTGGGGGACGGGGTCTGGGGCCGGGGTCCACGTGACTTTGCTGGCTGGGGCATCGGAATAGGACGATGGGCAGTTTCCGTACTGCAAACGCACTACGAACTATCATGTCCTTCGTTTTATGAATTTAGACCCAGTACGGAGTAGAAATGCGTGCATGCGCATTCGCTAGCGAAAACAGGAATCACCTGTTGGTATGGGTGGTGGGTTCGTTCAATTGGTACCAGTTCAATGGTGGAATGATTGTGGATTGGAGAGATGGAGAGACGGAGAAATGGAGCGATGAATTTATGTCAAGATAGACACCGGGATCGATAGGGTGATGGTTTACAGAGTAGATACTAACCGAGTACCAGGTAGATATCAGAATTCATTACGCCGTATTACACTAGATCCGCCTCCCCAAAGCTGGACACAGAGAAGTCCCAATGTGAATGCCAACTTTCCCGTTACAGTCAAGCGTCCTCAGCCCCAGACCGAATTACAGTATTCATTTTTACCTCTGTAAACTACCCAAGTATCATAGGATAGCATCACAACAGTCTACAGATCTCAGCATTAGCCACACTTCGTTTGAGGGCCTAGTAGGCTTAGACATCACGAGCGAATACTGCATACTCTCCATGGTCTACGACTTTGAATAGCCCTTTTAAGGTCTTGGCTGCATTTTGGTGTACTTCGACAATAGGTAGACGGTAGTGCTGATGTTGCTGTTACTGATGCTGAGCACCAACACCATGAAGAACAGAACCCGATCATTAACTAGATGTTTACTCAGACGTTCATGGGGGTCAGAAAATACAGCCCTAAGCAGAGGGCGGAGAGAATTCATGTGACAGCGGGCTTCTTACGTGGCAAGGTCGCAGGAAGCAAGGTTCGTCTGCAATCACTGGACAGGGAAGAGGACAGCCTACGCATTCTGTTGATCCGGTGAGAGCGAGAGGGAATTGAATCAGGTGTGTTGTATACCGATCGATGAGGGTGGGCATGCATCTGACGACGAAGTAGATCGTGATGCCCGCGAGTTGGCACGACGACTATATGGGTACCCTCTAGCTTTGGCCACCGCGGGTGCCTACCTCAAAGAGTCGTCCTTCAGCTTTTCCAATGATCTCCAGCACTCGTTAAGACGTCGAAGAGGGACGAAAAAGCCACTGTTTCGTGTTGCGACATCAATCCAGTAGGGGAAAACTAACCTGTCACGACGGTCTAACCCAGCTCACGTTCCCTATTCCTTTGTTCGTGTCTGGCTACCACGCCTGATGAAGCAGAGACACAGCGTTCTCTCAGAAAATGGGAGATTTCCTCACTGTCACCACCGCAAGATGAGGGCGACCTTGACTCTCGCTGAACTGCTTCATCAGCAAGGGCGGTATAGTGCAGCAGAATCAATGTGTCGTCGGACGCTGGCTGAGTGTGAAATGGTACTAGGAACTAACTCATACATGCATTGACCCTCTATACTGTCAACAGTCTAGGATTCATTTATAGTGACCAAGGTAAGACAGCGAGGTGGAGCAGATGTTCGTTCAGGCCTTGAACGGATCCCAAAACTCATTACGAGAGGCTCAGAACATCCATAAGCGGTCATGGTCAAGAATGTTCTCGAGGAGCTATGTTCTGGAAGCAGGAGAAGCCAAGATTCGAATGATACTCTCTGGAAGACCTTGACCTGCACCGAGGAGGGAGGAGGGAGGAGGGAAGAGGGATCGACGCAACCGAGAGTGGTGACAGCTCATCCCCAGCGGCTCAACTATCTTCTATCTGGTATACCCTACACAACGAAGCCTTTTTTCCTTTTTACCCAGATGAGAAGTGTTAGACCCCCTTAAAAGAGGGCTTACCTGGTAAGGTTGTGATTCGAACCCTCGGGGCATGAGACGCGCCAACATAGGAGATTCAGAATGATTAGTTCATGTATCCGTACAGTATAGTGTGTAGTGTGTAGTACCTCGTAGTATGCAGGATCCCCGGTCTTCCTGGCATTCCAGCTTGTTTGTACTTGTACTGCATGTACCATATCAAATGCTAATCACCTCGCAGACACAGACACAGACACCAGCACTTAGTCCTACCTAAGGTACCGACCATTAATGGGGGTCCATCTTTGCTCTCTGTCGTTCAGTACAGTGTCAGTGTCAAGGAGGGCCCTAAGGCTGTAGCAGGGGTACCTTATCGTGGCTCCGTTCCGTCGGAACAAGCCCCCCCCAAGAATTGCGAGCGGAAAATGCCAAAGCCCCTAAGGTAGGTAGGTAGGTACTAGGTATTTTGGTGGGTACTGACAATTCCTTCACTACTAGGTACACACATATCCGTACTTGGGGAAACAAGGCTCTTGATTCCGTGGTCTGGATCCAGTATTTATTTGCTTGACATGCCACATACATGCCACATGCCTACCTATGTATGTATGTGCCTTAGCTGCCTACCGAGAAAAAAATCTACCTAATATGTATCACCTACTTACTTCCTATGTATCCTAGATACCTATCACCTGCTTACTTACTTACCTACATATCCTAGATACCCATCACCTATTACTTACCTATATATGTGTGCCCTGTACATACTACTGCCCAATACAGGTTCAAGTTTAGGTAGACACGACGGGGCTGGGGCCGTCTCGAGGTGTGAGAAGGGGACTAGTGAGCCCTATCACGCTATGCTATAACAGTCTGCTATCACGGTGTGGTTGATGCTTTGTCTTTCATGTCTACCCTCATCCCCGATTCTGGAAGAAATGATGATGCATTAATTCGAGTTGACCATCGCCATCGCCATAATAATGTGCTGCAAAGATGCATCGTTCACTACAGCGCTCTTCGGAGAAAGGCAAAATGTTTCGATCGTCATTCATAACAGATCCTATCCTAGAGAAAGGCAAGAATACTTCATTGTCAAGACCCTTTTTTAATGAAAGGCGAAATCATTCATCATTCACACCGTATCCTGTCCTGTCCGGGAGGGAAAAAGAGCAAAAATAACCCTGACCCGATCGACGACCGACCGACTGACCGACCATCAATACATCAGGTCGAACATGTTCATCTCGTAATCACGCCCCACCGCCGCCACCGTGCCTCCTTGGTTGACGCCTGGGGGCATGTTCTCGAGAAAGGAATTGTCCACCAGATCTTGACCCGGGCCGGCATTTCGCCTGGACAAGAGCTGCTGGTCATCGGTCAAAGCAAACCAACTCTGATCCAAGGAGGCAAAGGTATCGGCCAGCCACTGTTCATCTTCCGGAGGCTGTACCACGTCGGTCTGCGATTTGCCCATGATGACGCGATTGGCTGCCTCGATCAGCCGGCCGAGTCGGTGTAGCATTCGGCGGGCAAAGGTCAGGCCGCGCGAGATGTCCTGCAGCAGGGCGAGGGCTTTCTGGAACGCAGCCACGACCACGGCCCCAACCTTGTCCTTGTCGTGTTCCTTCACAATGATGCAGATCAGAGGCAGCATGGCACCGGCCAGGAAACTGGCCGAGGAGTATCGATCCGTTCGTTGACTGAGGGGCGACGCGTGGAACGTGGAGATGGCATTGATCGTCTGCGTGGCGATCGTGATGCACGCCTCCGCCGTCCGCTCGTGGTATGCTAGAGTCATCATGTCTTGCCTTCTCAACAACAGACGTAGATGGTTCGCTCGCTGTACAGGTGGACATCTCGGTCAGTCATGACCCAAAGAGGCCACAAAGCCCGTGGAAGAATGGAGCAGTGGAGAAGAGACTCGCTGCACTTACCACATTGATGATGATGCTTTGGCGGTACACATATAATGGAAGGTTCTCGTTTTGGCTATGCTCAATGACCTCGGGCCTCCAACGTAGTTCGGCCGGTAGATCTTGGATCAACAGCAGAATGCGGGCGTCCATAGCCACAACAAAGTCCTGAGTGGGCGGTTTGGTTGCGGTGATGCCAAACATAGCATCCCAGATCTCTGAACATAGCTTGGCCCATTTGATGGTAGCTTGGGAGTACGGAATCGAGCTCTGATACTGTAAACTAAGGGGAGACAGCTCACCATGACCACTTCCCACCGACGCTGGACCGTCCTTGTTGCTGTCCACGTCCAGCAACGAAGGTTGGTCGACGCGGAAATCAGACTCTCGAATCATATACGGCATGCCCGAATACAGTGCCACCTGCCGATCGAGACAGTAGAGACACCAGAAGAGCCGCCGCCGCACGGACGGGGGAAATTGATCATGGTCACTCTGCCACGAGTTCTGGTCATGAAGGCCCAGCTGGTACGACAAGCGTACAGCCGCGCTCATGGACTCCGCCGCGGCATTGGTGCGCTCGATAAACAGACAATAAAGCGTTTCCAGATGCAGACACTGAATGGTTCGAAAATCGCCATTGCCCAGCCACATGGTGTGGCCAAGGAGGTGTTTGGCGTAGGCGAATTCCTCCCAACCTGGCACATGTTTGGAGTTGATGCAGTATTCGTCCAGGATCTTGACCACTGCCACCATCAGGCGAACCAGGGCCACTGTCTGCAGCAAGTCCATGCTGGTAAAGCCTGTGTAGTCTTGAGCCAGATACCGTTCGAAGCGGGAAAGAAGCTCGTCTTCGTCGATTCCGAGATCTGCTTCGCGGTCAACCACTGTATTCCCGTCTTCCTAAAAAATCGTCTCCGAGTTTTTCTTTTCTTGGTTTTGGATCACCTACGATGTTTGTTCATGCAAATAAAATAAGTGTTGATGTAGTTTCGGAGAGTTTCGATGTCTTCGTCTTTGTTCTCTGGGTCCCACAGCTGTAGTGCTCGATCACAACAGCCACTGAAACGCGCCGGCTTCGTATGCCGCCACCTTGACAGAGATGCAGGCTTCTCGTGCCCGGTGCTGGCAGTTTCCTGAAAGTAACCACCGCCTTCTACTGTGCGCTCTAGGATCGAGATGGGTGTGACTAGGTCGGTGCCACTCTGAAACCGGGGCCGGGCATGGTTCACCTCATTGTCTTCGTCGTCCGTCACCAAGGGCGAGTTGTCTTGTAGCTCTCTTGAACTTACTGACCCGGGTGGGACGACTGCAAGGCCGCTGCTCTCTAGGCGTGGACTGTCGGTCGGTCGTACCCTTCGTGCCACTTCCAGTTCCTTTTCGAGGCTGGCGATACGCGCGAGAACATCGGATTTCCACGTGGACAAATCGTGTGTCGTCACCTCGGGGGCTCTTCCATTGCTGCTGGACGAATTCGAGCCGGCCCTGCCTAGTCCGTCAGAGGGACCACTGTCTTGAAGCTCATCGAGTCCAGGTTAAACAGACCTAGGTACGTCCTGGCGCGGCAGGTCGCGAGTCTTTTGCTTTCGAAACCGTCCGCTACTGTACAAGCATTCCAGCCGGGCCACACGGCAGTGCCTACACGGTTGCTCTCCGGAACACTACGTGCAGAACAGACCGTCAATCAGATTGGCGATCATAGATGGTCATGGTTGACTTACCTTGACTTTGCGCCTCTGGCAGTCCCAGCTGTAAAGCAGCTCTGTCAGCGCCACCGTACCACCATCGCCACGGAGGGTATTCCCGAGTTCTTACCAGGCGCGTGCAACGTATCGCCCCCGTTTCCTGTTGGCAGTCTGGGTATCCGCAGTCCCCGCGTTCGGTTGGTATCCAGGAAAGATCGTGATCGCAGGCGGCTCTTCAACTGGCGTGACAAGACCGGCGTCGGCAGAGGTGTTCGTCGACGAGGTAATCATGGTGGACGGTGCGGACGAGGCGGACAGGTGGACGGTGCGGATAAAGATGGCGGCACCAGAAGACTGAAGGGTCCAAGATGATGCACTTTGCAGAAGAGAAAAGCTCGCGGGATGAAGTCAGTGCAGTCAGTGCAGGCATGCGGCACCACCCCGCTCTTGTTGCAGGGGAGGAGGTGTCACGAGCCTTAGGATGGGTCCTAAAGTCCTAAGCCCTTGGGGTAATGTCCAAGCCTCATTAGCCCTGGGGCACAGGCGCCTAATAGGTGCTCGGCCGGGGATCCAGGAGGGGCTAAGAAGGCTAACGAGGCTTCTCAGGCGCCTATGGGTACGGGGGCAGCATTCGCTTCCTAGACAGATCCGGGGTCTCCACCAAACAGAAGAGGCCTTGGGGCCCTGGGGCACCTGTGCGCTGCATAACCTGCACAAATCCACACTCCTCGGAGGCCTGAGGCACGCCTAGGATGGGATTATCCCCGAGCCACGAGAGGATGGTGTCACCAGCAGGCTGCGAAGACTTGCATGTAGCTGGAAGGGACAACCCGGAGGTCATCACACAGGTCACTATGCACCCAGGAAGTGTGCTCAATTCTAGTATTTTGTAGGCTTAACAGATCCTTCCCCCGTCTATCTGGTACACAGAGCCTGTGATGAAAGCGCTTTCGTCTCCCAGGAGGAAGCCCACCAATGCGGCCACCTCTTCGGGCTCGCCTGGCCGCGCAATTGCCCTGGCGGATCCGAAGCCGGGCTTGGTGATGAGTGCTTTCGAGCGTGTCGACATGGGCGTGTTGATCTCTCCTCTGGCCACCATTTAGCATCTGAACCGGCAGTAGAAGCCCAGGAGCACGTAGTACTTACGGTACAATGGCATTGACTCTGACCTCTCGCTCGCCGGCCTCACGAGCGGCACATTTGCTCAGCCCAATGACGCCGTGCTTGCTGGTGGAATAGGCAGGAAACTGCGCCGAGCCCAGCAGCCCGGCCACGCTGGACGCGTTCACGATGCTTCCTCCCTGCGAGATGACTTTGAGCTGGGCGCGCAGGCAGTGCATCATGCCCGTCAAGTTGACGCCCAGCACCAGATTCCACAGATTCTCGTCCAGTTTTGCAATGCCTCCATTGTCGGTGGACTCGATGAAAATACCGGCCAGGTTGGCTGCGCCGTCGAGTTTGCCGAACGTTGCCACGGTCGAGTCGATCCATTTGTCCACGTCCTCGGCCTTGCTCACGTCCGTCACGGTCGCCAGCACCTTGACACCTGTTTTCTGCCGTATCTTCTCGGCCTCTTCGTTCAAGGCCTTCTCCGACACATCGGCCAGCGACAGCGAGGCACCACGGTCACCCAGATAGTAAGCGGTGGCCAGGCCGATGCCAGACGCGGCGCCGGTGACGGCAATGACTTTGTCTTTCAGCGGTTGATACGACATGATATCTTGCCGCCACTACTACCTGTTGCAGTCGAGCGAGCCAAGGGCCCTTTGTCTAGATCTACTACGGATACATGTACACAGAGTCAGCCACCTCGTTGCAATTCCAGCCGAGGACTGGAAGGGAGGGGGAGCAATGGAACAAATTACCCGTGGCACCCTAGTGGAAATACTCGGTATTGCTCGGGAGTGAGTGCCCGCCCCCGCCACACCCTTGCAAGTCAACCCCATGGAGCATGGCCGCGGAATTGGATTCGTGATCGGATCGCCACCAGAAGGACGTTGCGGAATGTCTTTCAGGCCGGCAGCACGACCTTCTCTTTGCCACGCATTGTGGAGAGTCTGATTGGTATGGGACGTGGGAGAGGAGAAGGGAGGAGGAGGAAGGGAAACAAAAGTGCTCCGCCTCGGCTTGGATGTGTAGACAGTGAACCCTTTTCCCGATCTCCTATCCCATTTCCAGCCATTTGCCTTTGGCCGTCACTTCTTGAATACAGATACGCCCTCCTCCGGCCAGCTGCCCGCGTCACGGTGTGCATCTTGACTCTTATACCGACACCATGAGCGCGCCCACAAAGACCACAGCAGCAGCCCCTGCTATCATCCGCTGGAAAGACCTCGAGCCGTCATGGCATCTGGCCCGGCAAGAGCCCGGCTACATGCGTTGGATGATCCAATGGGTCGGCGGGCCTGAGGGATACTACAACTGCAGCCCAGGACAGGCAGTCATCAGTGAGGATGCCGTGGTCGGATTCATGCACATCCCGCAAAACAATCGCCAGCGAGGCCTACACTACCACAGCATCACCGAGATCTACGTGATCCTGCGCGGAGAAGTGCTGGGCTGGGACGGCCACGGCGAGGAACATCGTGCCGGGCCTCTGGACTGCATCTACATCCCCGCTGGGGTTCCGCATGGCGTCCGAACCTACGGCGACGAGCCTGTCGATCTGATCTGGCTCCACGACGCGCTCGAGAAGAAAGGCACCACCGTATACTGGGACCCAAGCCTGCCGAACCCGCAAGACGAGTCCAAGGAGACCATCAAGATCGTATCCTACAAAGATCTCGAGCCCAATTGGGACGATGCCCAGAAACTGCCTCCGGGACAGATGCACTCGAACAGAAGCTATGTTAGCGGCGTCAAGGGCTCTAAGAACTTCAACCCGGGAAAGGCGGTGCCCAACAACAAGGCCGCCCTCGGCCTGACCGTCATCCCCGAAGGCCACAAGCAAATCATCACCGGCCGTGCCAACGCCGAGACTTGTGTGATTGTGAGTGGCAAGGCCGTGGTCAATATCGGCAACGGCAACGAAGAGCTCGGCAGGTTGGATGCCGTTTATGTGCCGGCAGGCGTCTCGCGGACCTTGAGAAATCATGGCACCGAACCAACTTATATTGTCTGGACTCATGAGAAACCTTCCCTTGGTGAGACGGCAGCCGCTGCCGAAAGTACCGTGTCTGCCGATGCCAATGGCAACGGTACGGTGGAAAATGGAGCTGCAACCACTACAAATGGCCATTGAGTGTTGGGACACATCTAGACTTTGTAGTGCCTGCATTCCGGTAGCATAGTCATTCCATCTGACTGATAGCTATAAACGAGCAGAAGGACACTCTCACTATGATAGCCATAAACGAGCAGGAGTGCTCCAGCCCTTGAGGTATTCGTCCCAAATATAACGAATTTTCTCTTTTACTTGACCACCCCGATGTGCACATTCTTGACTATTATTATTATCTCTTTCTTCTCTCCTCTATCCTTTTTCAAGTATTGGAAATCGATCAATCGACTCATATTAGCAGTCAGTCAGTCCCACACCGCAGAGAATGCGGATATCTCGTCTTCTCGAACCTGGTAAGCTTGTCCGGGAGAACTGGTTCACGGTATACCCTTAAACGAGCAGTAGTTCGTACATAGGTAGGGTTGGGACCATTCAAGTCCCAGTTTGAAAGCGTTGCACTGTACTGCATTGTACTGTATTGTACTGTGCTGCAATGGAATCCAATTCAATCCAAGCGATGGACGTGTTCCTAGGTAGCTGTAGCGGGTACATGACACAATACAACATGCAACTTCACAAGGTAGACCAAGACTATGTCTGAGTACTCGGTGGATGCAACTTCACAAACCAGATCGAGCCAGATCGAGCCAGATCGAGCCAGACCAATGCTATGCCTGAGTACAGGTAGGTGTTTTTTTCAAAGGTTGAAATGTTCCATGTTCCATGTTCATTATCAAAGGGTCGCAGGGGGAGCGGCTCGCATGCTATATAGTATGGTAAAGTATAGCCTAAACCAGCCTCTCTGGTTAAAGGACAAGGCTGGGAATGCCCAAGTTTGACAGATTTGTATGAGAGTAAGGTCTCAGCATCACACAATACAACATGCAATTTCGCAAGCGGGTGTTTTGCATGAGACTTAAGCAGGCTAAGGCTACCACATTGGCTCGTCACGCTCGACAAACCAAACCACTACTTCACCCTACTCTGATATTACTTCGCTTCCCGCTCAACAAACCAAAAGCACTACTACTTCGCTTCCCGCTCGACGCTCGGACGACCATACTTCTCCGACTCATCCGTGATATCCTCAATGACGGTAGCAGACTTGCCGCCGTCGAGAGCGAGGTCGGCCACGACGTGGTGGTGGGCGTCGAGGTGGATGTCGCGGGTATAGACGACGACGAGATCATCGTCACCGAACAAGGCGGCAATCTCTTCCAAGCTCTTGCCCTTGGTGTCAGGGAACCAGATCCAGATGATGATGGCGGACAAGACGTTCAAGATGATGAAGATGAGGAAGAAGCGCCATTCGATGTTCTTGATCGCCGTGGGGCCGGACATGACCCAGACCAGACTGGACAGGGCGTAGGTGCCGGTGCCAACGACCATGCCTTTGCTGCGCAGGTGCGTGGGGAACAGTTCGGCCGTGTAGAACCAGGTCGGCCCGTCGACTGTGGCCGCGTAGGCGAAGAAGAAGATGAACAGCATGGCCACCGCGGCCTTCTGGCCCGCCAGGTTGGTCGTGTTGATGAACTGCGCCGTCAGCGCCGTGTAGACGCTCATGATGCACGCGAGGATGATCAGCCCGATCGCCACGAGCTTGGTGCGCGACATCCGGTCGATGTACAGACATTCCAGCAGGTTGGGCGGCGTCGACGCACAGTATAGTCCGGCGTAGAAGAGGAGTTGTTTCGTCGGCCCAAAGCCGAGATTGGAGAAGAGGATGGACGCGTAGTCTGGGAGAGGAGGGGGTTGTGATGTTAGCGACATGAAGAGTTTGAACCACAAAAAAAGAAAAGGGAGGTAGGGAAGGGAAGGCCGAATACGAGGTACGAGCAGGGCAAGGTAAACAAGGAGGTATAAGTAGGGCAAGGTAAACAAGGAGGTATAAGTAGGGCAAGGTAAACAAAAAGATATAAACAGGGCAAGGTAAACAAGGAGCTATAAACAAGGCAAGGCTGAAACAAGGTACGGTAGGGCAACTCACTCGCTATGACTTGTGCACCACTGGCAGCAATGGAAAAGACGACGAAAAACGCCATGACCATCCGTCGAAAGTACGACGGTCTCTTGTACATGGCGAGCCAGGACGAGTCGAGCGTCCGGTCGAGTTCGATCTGCTTGCGCATCTGAAACAGCTCCTTCTCGGCGTAGTAGTGGTCAGGATCGGCGACCGACGAATGCAGCATGCGCACGATGCGGCGAGCCTCGGCGTCTTTGCCCTTCATCAGCAGAAAGCGCGGCGACTCCGGCATCCAGTAAAGGCCCATGAGCATAGCGACACAGGGCGCGCCGTTCAGCGCGATAGGGCCCCTCCAGGCCGCCAGCCCGGCGCCCGTGTAGTGGTAGAAGCCGAAGCCAATATACGAGGCCAGCAGGTAGCCGATGTTGATGAAGAAGCCGTTGAACATGGCGAAGATGCCGCGCACGTCCGGCGGCACCGTCTCGGTGATCCAGAGTGGCACCGACATGGCCAGGATGTAGGCACCGAAGCCGCTGAAGAAGCGGAACACGATGAACATGGCCATATTGACTGAACCGGCCAGCAGCGCGGCCGAGACCAGCACGATGATGGTGCCCAGCAGGATCGAGGGCTTGCGGCCCCAACGATCGGCAATCCATCCGTTGGCCACCGTGCCGAAGAAGGCGCCCACGTAGAACAAGGCGTTCATGGCCGAGATCAGCTGCGTCGCGTTCGACGCCGTCGTCAGTCCCATGTCCAGCGAGAACGACGGCTGGCCCAGCGTCGACCCGCTGATGCCTTGCGCGTAGCCGAATGCCGCCGCCCCGATACACATGACATTGACGGCCAGGAACGTGCGGAAGTTCCAGTGCCGCACCTTGACTCCGAGTTCATCGTGGAAGGACGGTGCTGGGGACATGGTTGGTGCTGGGTACTGGGTACTGGGTACTGGGTATAGATTGGTTGTTGAGTTGGTCTGAGTTGGGTTGGGTTGCCTAACACCTCTTCTCGGGGGAAACAAAACTGAATTCAATATAGATATGGAATAGTAAGTAGGGAAGATGCTGGCAGCACCGAGGGCGACCCGACGATCAGTGCTCCGTACACATATGCCACTGGCGCAGAATCCAGAATCCAGAATCTTAGAATCTAGATTCCAGCTGCCAGTTCGGGGTCCACGGCCTGTTTATCATCAAATACAGTACCTTGTAGCACTTACCATCGCGCTGGTATCCCAACCAACCACCCCGCAGAGCAGACCACGCGCCCAGCCCAAACGGCGCTTTGCATTCGGAATCCGAGCATTTCCGTGCGCCTAAGGCTAGATCGTGGGTGACAGTCCCTCCCCCGGATCCACACGTGGAGGTGAGAGGGGGAAAAGGGGGCCTAGTGAAAGCACGGAGACCCGGGGAAACGGGGTGGCGCTGAGAGCGGTAAGCGACATTCAATCGTGACGGTGAAAGGAGGGAGGCGACCTCGAGCGGGAGGAAAAGAGAAAATTGGCTTTGGTGGCGTGAACATCAAAGTTCTCAGCTGGGCTAGCGTATCCTAAGGCTGCTTCTCCGTCTCCGGAAGAAAAAGTGCTCCGACCAGACCTGCCAGACGCCGGACTTGGCCATGCAGACGCTAGATTGGCGCACACGCAGCCGAGGCCAAGGGCGCCGGAGACTTGAGAGCCATCCTGTTGTCGAAGGAGGCCTAGGAGGCGCATGAGGCTCGTGGGATTTGTTGGTCGTATGTAATCATTGCTATCTATGTTCTGTAGACATGGCGCCGCACCAGACCCAATACAAGCTCCTGGCAAGCCAAAGCGAGGAAGCCAGGGTTCACCTCTTAAATCTTTAGAGCGTTATATATATATGATAAATGATATCCAGGGTGAGACTTTTTACTTGTTGACCCCAGACAGGGCAAACACTTCTTCCTCCACCGGGGTATAATCCGGCTCCTTGTCTTGGCCGTCGAGCTCGCCCAAATACAAAGTGGCATCGCGACCATCCAGTTCGCGAGTGGCGAATCCGTTGCCCAGATAGTAAAATCGGTTATCACGCTCGTATTCGATCTCGAAATCCTCGTACCGCGGCTGCATGGTCTCGACAAAGTGCGTGCGCGAGCCCGGGTAGCAGCGCGGCAGCCCATCAATGGTTCCGTTCTTGAACCAACTCCGGCATGGCTGGTTCCACACGGTTCTCTTGAGCAGCAAGTCCGAGTGCTCACGGAACTGGTTCGTCACGTCCTCCTTGGGAGCCAGGGACTTGATGCGTTCGATCTGGCTCTTCTCCACGAGCTTGAGTATATAGCGGCATCCATGTTCGATGGGCGGGAGCAGAGATCCGTTACTGGCGCTGTACGGGCCCAGCGAGGTGAAATAGTTGGGAAAGCCCGGCACCATGACGGAGAAATATGCGACAGGGTCGTTCTCCCAGACCTTTCGGAGGTCCTTGCCGTTCGCGGTGACCGGGAACCGGGGTACAAACGAGGTGTCGAAGCCGGTGGCACAGATGATCACGTCGACATCGTGTTTCTCTCCGTTGCTGTCGATGAAGCCGGTCGGCGTGATCTCGCGCACCTCCTCCGTGAAGGTGGTCACGTTGTCCGCAACAAGGGCATCGAGGTAGCCGGTCCCTGGCGTGGGGCGTCGACATCCAATGCCAAAATTGGTGGGGATCAGCTTCTTGATCAGATCAGGCCGGGTCTTCAATTTCTCGGCCATAGACTCCCGAGAGAATTGGACGGCGGTCTTCGCTTCCGGACTGTTGGTCAGGTTGAAGTTGAATCGCTTCCCCAGTTCATCATCCAGCATCTTGACATATCGTAGATGTGCCACAGGGTCGGCCGCCCACTTCTTCTTCAGCTCATCACTATACTCGAAGTTCGCCCCGTCAGGCCCGGCATACTTGGACGCAAAGCCGGCACTGATCCAGAGTGGCGACCGGACCCAGGTGTACAGGTGCTCGACCTTGGACTGGATGGCCGCCACGATCTGGACGCCGGACGAGCCGGCGCCGATGACGGCCACCTTCTTGCCCTCCAGTTGGATAGTCGGGTCGTAGCTGGCGGAATGGGTCAACACCCCCTTGTAGGATTTGAGGCCCTTGATGTCCGGCCATTTCCAGTTGTTCAGCAGCCCGGAGCCATTGACCAGGAAATCGCAGGTGTCTTCGAATTGGGTGCCGTCACCCCTTTGGATCTGAACGTGCCACTTGGACGTCTCGGAATTCCAGTTCGCACCCACTACAGCGTGTTGCAGCTTGATGAACTTTTCAAGGTCGTGTTTTTCGATCAGGCTTTGGAAGTAGGCCAGAATCTCTTCCGCTGTGACATAGTACTTTGACCAGTTCGGGTTCAAAGACCAGGTGAACTGATAGATATGGGCAGGAATGTCACAGGCACAGCCCGGGTATTTGTTCTCCCACCAGGTTCCCGCCGCTCCATCGTTTTTCTCGTAGATTTGCACCTCGAGTTCGGGCAGCTCCTTGGAGAAATGGGCAAGGCAGATTCCTGTCGCGCCGGCGCCGATAGAAATCACCTTTTTGGGCGCGTGGGTTCCGTACGGGCGTTCGAGGATCTCGTAGCCTCGTTCGTTCACTCTGGTCCAGCCGAGTTCCTCTGCATATGCAGCCGAATCCACTCTGGGATCGACTGGTTCCATTTGAGAGATCATGGTGGTGGTGGAAGGTTTTCAGCCGTACTTTGAGTCTGTCTTTGGTCCCTAGAATCAGAGATTAGATCTGAACGTGGACGTGGACGTTAGGGCACTTGGGTGTGTTTGTAGCAGACCAGATCCCCGTGAAGTCGTGGACGTTCCTTAATACCGAATAGTCCCGCCCGTGGCGGACGGCTGTTCACGGCCATGTCGGAAACTGATGGCTATTCCGCCGAAGACAGAATGCCACCTTCGGCAGTGCGAAGTCTAGATCCGGATAGATGATGGTGGCACAGGTGGTGGTGGTGATGATGGTGACGGGAAGAGAGCATCGATCACTCCACACCCAAGAACCCCTCGCCTGAGGAGCCCCCAACTTCGGGGCCTGAATACCCGGAACCTGAGGATTAGGCGCTAGGAAGCTTAGACGCTGTCGTGGGGGAGGGGCTTAGGGGCTGGGGGTGACATGTTTGGGGGGGCCATTAGACTTAGGGTGGCCGCGGGGCTGAAGGCTAAAGGGCTTAAAGGCCTTGTGCGTGTCCAGCGCTGCTTTATGTGCATGCACTAATTATGTTTATGTACTGATACAGCATCCTTCGCCTATGCCTTCACATCGGACCTCATCTGGCTCTAACCCGCAGCTCAGGCTCAGCTGTCACCTCCTCTACCGAAAAGTGCACCTGTATCGTCCAGAGAAGTCGCGACAATGACTATATTTCCCCCTTCTAGTAAAATTCAACGCCGGTTACCCTACTAATGCGAGAGCCAGCAATGCGGTTGCACAACTCCTACCACCGCCACCACCGGGATACTGACAAAGTTCAAACGTTGACAGTTGCTGATCGTCTCCTAGAACACTTTAGAAGCCGCCACCGTTTACCACTACCGCCATGTGAACCCTAAGCCCAACCATCCGTCTTGCCGAAAGCCACGCTCAAAGTGTCATGTGACCTCTCCCTCCACTGGCACTGAAAAAAGGGAAAGGGACGATTTGATTCCGAGCAATACCGCCCCGTCCCACTCCCACACTCACTCCCGCAATCCCCAACATGGCTCTCCGGTTCCCGTTCTCGGGAGGAACACCCCCGACTTTTCCGGGGTTGGTCCTCGAAGCGCGAAGAGACGGTCGGCTCTATTGTCTGGGTACTCGATAAAAACGCAGGGTCCCAAGCATTCCCGGTTCTCTGTGGAGTCAATAACCAAGCCTTTTGGAATTTCTTGGATTTCAAGGCCAAGAGCTACTGGAAGTCCTGTCCTTGACTCGAGGTCGGCACGAAGAGAAGCAGGATCGAGCATCCACAAGAAATTGCAGTGTGTGCTACACAGTATGACAACCCAGCAGGCACCGGCTATGGCCGACCACGACAACTCAGTGGGTGCGGCCAGCTCGGTCGGTGCGGTCGATGCTCTTGACGACAGCCAACACAAGAAACGCCACTTTCGGCTGTCGATCATCTTATTCAACATCCTCATGTGTTTCGGCTCTTTGTCTTTCGCTTATTCCGGGGCGGTCATCGGCACCACCCTGGGCCAGCCGTCCTTTTACGAATACATGGAACTCGACAAGATGGCCGACGAGTCCGGGGTCATTGGCGCAACAACATCCATGTACTACGTAGGGGGATTCTTCGGGGCCTTTTTCAGCCACTGGGTGGGCGACAGATATGGTCGAAGGATTGCGATTTTCGGAGGAGCTCTGATTGTGCTTTTGTCGGCCGCCCTCTGTGCAGGGTCGGTCCATATCGCCATGTTCATCGTCTTCCGCCTGTGGAGTGGATTTGGCGCCATTATGTTGTCCACCTCAGTCCCTCTGTGGATCATGGAGTGCGCGCCTCCCGAGGTCCGGGGCGCCTTCGCGCAGATGCACGCCGTCGGCGTCAACCTCGGGTTCGTCCTCGCCAACTACGTCGGAGTCGGCTTCTTCCTACACGTGAATACGAACGGTTCATGGCGTGGACCACAGGCAATCGGTTGTATTCCGTGCATCCCTCTGATGATTGCCATCTGGTGGATCCCGGAATCTCCCCGCTACCTGCTGTTGAAAGATCGGACGGAAGAAGCCTGGAGCATCATCAAGAGACTCCATTCCACCCCCAATGACACGACGCACGAGTTTGCCCGCCGGGAGATGTACCAGATGCGGAAGCAACTGGAGATCGATCGTGCCTTGCCCTCCTCGTGGCTCGAGATGTGGAGAAGGCCATCATATCGAAAGCGTATGGCCATGGCCATCTTCCTGGGATTCTCCATCCAAGCTTGCGGCAGCCAGATCATCGCCATCTACGGCACAACTCTGTACAAAAACCTGGGCTTCTCTTCCGAGAAACAACTCCTCTTTCAAGCCGGCACCTTTGCGGTCAACCTGCCCTTCACCACCAGCTGTGTCTTTTACACGGAAAAGTTCCGAAGACCTACACTGATCTCCTTTGGGCTGGTGCTCCTGGTTGGCATCCTGTCCTGCTATACCGGGCTCACTGCAACCTATATCGGCACCGACAACCGGGCGGGCCAGAGTGCCGCGGTGGCAATGATCTGGATTTTCTTGGCCACATACTCAGCCACGGTCGAGGGTCCTTTCTATTACTATAGCTCAGAATTTTTTCCTACCCATCTCCGGGCCAAGGGCATGACGCTGCAGGCGACCACCTTCTGCTGGACGAGTATCCTGTGGGCTCAATCTGCGCCCACCGCCATCGACAATATCGGCTGGCATTTCTTCCTGATATTTATCATACTGGCTACCTTTGGGGCCGCCGTGATATACTTTTATTATCCCGACACTCGAGGCAAGACCCTGGAGGAAATCGCCGCATTGTTCGGTGACGACGACTTGGTGGCCGTCTACCAGCGCGACATTCATCTCGACCATGGTACGGTTGTGGCAGATATTGTCCGGGAAAAGTTGGATAAAGAAGGAACAGCGGATAATCTAGAGCATGCAGTATGAGCATGAACAGTGGATTTACTTACATGTATATAAGAATCAACGAATGCAGCCCAGCCATTTCAGTATTTCAAGGTAATCAGATCACAGAATCAGGAACTTGGAATGATACTATTTGAGCCTCGTAAAAGAGTAGCAGTCAGACCAGAATAAAAGGCAATCTAGCGATCCAACACGAACATTGACTGATTGAATGACGTGTCACCTCTACATCTAGCCAAGGCGAGCCCCTAAGCCTACTGTATCCTCACCCTCCCTGTCACGCATGGCGTTCTTCGAAGCCCAATGCCCAATTACTGTACAGAGCCGTCTAATCGCTCAAGTACCTTACTTAGGTACTTCACACACTCGCATAACCCTCCTCCAATAGCTCAAGCCGTCTTCATCAGCTTCGCTAAATGGCGGCCTTAAGTGGTGTCACACGTGTCAGCCACACTGCAGAAACCTCAATCGAGGAGGAGGAGTTTCTCGCCCCCGAGTCCGTCCGCCATGCCTGCGTTGGCACTGTCCGTTCTGTGCGGCTTCCATCCTCCTAAGGAGATAAGAGACCCTCCTGGTCTCCCTCCCTCTTCTGCCGCTCGTCTTTCGCCATAGCACCTCGCACCCTAGTATTGCGGACAATTCCCAGCTTTTCCTTCAATTTCAGCATTGCATTGCGTCACGGTCATAATGGATACGCAGGATGGAGCATCCCCGTCAGGTCCACGCGAGAAAAAATCCGCAGAGACCGTCCCCGGTTAGCTGCTGTGGTACGGGATTAGCTGCGACGTACTGACAAGATATTATTCAGACACCGAGAAAGGAGAATCGGAGACAAATCAGCCTCAAGGAGTTGAGTATGTTGCATTTCCGGAAATACAAGGGAAAGAGCCGAAAGAGCCAAAAGAGCCAAAAGAACCAAGAGACGCCATCGCATCCTACGGAGAAGATGGCACAACTGCTAGCTCGAGTAACTACGGCATCCTCATGCAAATTACAAAGTATCTAGGACTAGGTTCGTCTGGATTCTTTACTCTGGATCTGAAATCGACGTCTGAACCGTACAAGGTCGAAGCGCGCGCACAAGAACTCATGAACCTGGGCCAAGAGTCTGATGGCATTGCCTTCGAAATCGAATACGAGGACGACTCAAATCCAATACAAGAGCTTTGGCAAAAGCAATGGAATCTGGATTTCCTCCATGACCGGTGGCCTCGGTACACTTTTCCAGGCGACGGTCACCTTTCGGTCACTTGCCAACACTACATCTCGAACGGTACCGTTTTCGTTCGCAGATTGTACTCAGCAACCAAGGTCTCAGCCGGAAGGATCCCAGGGTTCTCTGACTTAAAGTTTCGACCCGAGGACTATCGAATACGCGAACTGAACTTTCGAGACCGTCAAGACTGTCCAGACCAACCCAATGACTACTCAACCCGCTATGTGGATAAGCTTGGTCCAAACCGTTGTAGTGTAATCATGACAAACAACAAGTTTGACCCCCATGTCTGTTTGGTCTTTGCTCTTTCTGTGGATGGTGAAGTACGAGAGTTCGAAGAATCCGAGGACCCCTGGGGCAAGCACTATCGAATGAAGCACAAACCCGAAGAAAAGTTCTTGATAACCCCATCACACCATGTGGAGATAGTAGAGGCATACAGATTGCAACCAGTACCAAATGAACCCAACTGGGAGGAACGTGTTAGAATCCCTGAGGAAGATTTCCTTGGTTGGCAGAAGAAAGAGACACTTCTCTTGCCAACGCCAAAAGATCAGCTCGACTTTATCATACGAAGGAATCTGGAACACATTCTCTCTGTCTGCAGTATCCCTGTGCCATCGATGCAAGCGCAGGACAAAGACACCATCCCTATCGCTCTCACGTGCGGAGACCTTTCAGGCCATCGGCTTGTCACATCAGCCAGCTAGTAAGTTTGAGTAGTGCCCCAAATTGCTATTACTGACAGAATAAGTTATGCGTTTCAATTCTTACTCGATAGATTTGTATATCTCCGAGAGCAGAACTACAATGCCGAATCGGTCGATGGTAAAGCCGCCATGCGTCTACGTACAAGAATCGAAAACACGTGCAAAGCGCACTTGGAATGGGTTAAAGGAGCCCAAAGGCCAGGTGGTTACTTCAAAACTGACTATTGGGCCAACGGCCAAGAGATGTCGTGCCTTGATGAGGATGATGCCGTGGATTTGGCAGCACTGAGTGATACTCCCTTCCAAATCCTCAAGTTTGGCGCCTTTGCTGCCGTCTTTGACCAAGGCGGAGGCTCTCTCCGCGAGGTCCTACGTCCCATTGTTCATTCTTGGGTGCTGCATCTGGACAACAATAACAAACGAGGCTTCTTCGCATTCTCCCGCTCCAAAGGCATGCCACGTGAAGACTATCAGAATTACCGCCTGAAGGATCATGCTTGCATATGGAGTGCGCTTCAGGTCGCTCACAAATTGGGTTTGAGTGACGAGCTGGAGAAAACGGAGAAAACGAAAAATAAAATGGGCCGGCTGAAGGCGAAGCCCAAAGAGCCAAAGCAGTTGTCCCATAACTATCTTCCCGTCGACTTCCAAAAAATTGTTCTCAGAAGGTTCTCCGCCCAGGACCCAGACTCGAAAGAGAACTTCCTTGCTGTTGCACGCTCATTGTCGCAGGCTCGGTTTCTGTTCCGCACCAGAGACACAGCTTTATTCTATGACACTAAGAAGGATTTTTTCAATCAGTCATCTACTTTATGGAATGCTACAATTATGGCTCAGAAGTATCACATGGACAATCAAGACTCTGGTTGGGATAGTCCTCTGCGCTATGGCCTGGCACTGCTGATGGCAACCGACTGCAAACAGATCAACAGCAGATCACCTAAAAATATGTTGCACAAGGCAAAGAGTGTCCTATTCCAGAGTTCTTCTGCCAGCGGTATATTGCCTGGCATGTTACATGCGGGGACATCACTTCCAAAAATCTTCCAGCACGAATCCCGGAGAGACTTTTACTGGCACAATATTTTTGAGACCCTATACATACTCTGGAAAGTCCGCGAGAAGCTTAGAAGCGAAGACGTTCCAGATGTCGATAACACGAGCGCAAATCTGAAAATTGGACCCGGAGTGGATGGAAAACCCGTTTCGCACCGCAGGCACCTTGAGATGAAAAGTTCAGTGTCTGTGAACAACCACATCATCCCAAACAGTATTGTGGAACTATCAGACGAATGGCTTTACAGATTCCCTGACTTCTTTGATTTTGAACCCAAAAGCAAGGCCAAAAGTTATCCTAATAGACTGGAGGATCTCAAAGGGATACTAATTGATATTCCAAAGACCAAGAAAAAAAGTGACGGCGAGAAGAGAGACAGATATCGGGACTATCTATCTGAGGCTGAGATCTTGTCGGGTGTTGGCATCAAAGACATACTCAGCGAGACCAGGACCGCAGAAAAGGCCAAGAAAAGGCTCATTTGGACACCCCAAGTTGACCCGGCCCTGGAAGATGTCTACGTCGATGCATCGCCGCCCGGGGTGGGAGAGGAACCAGCCATGATGGCTAAATTCTTTGAGAGACACTCTCGAAAAGAAAAGTATTTGGGCGACGACATAACACCATCTTTAAATGTCTGGAGGACCGAGTTCCATTTGTCATCCTACCAACTCTCGGAAGGGAAGGGTCAAGGGAAGAGCGAGGATGATCAAGGGAAGAGTTTAAGCTTGCTTGATAACAAACGAATTCGACTGGGTGGTATGGGTTTCCGATTCGTGGGCGATCTTTTCGATCGGTATTGGACTTGCCACGTGCTTGAGTTTGAGCCAGATGATGATCTTCGCAGTGAAGATTTCAAAAAACGCTTCGCGCGAGTGATTCGGAACCGCATTCCCGAACCGGAGCGGCGGATGCACCCCTGGCGCCAGCGAAAAGTGCTTGAGCTAATCCTTTTTGATAGGATGCTGGAGAAGATGATCGAAAAATATCGCGAGATGGTGAAGGCGGTGGTTCTTTCCCTAAAAGACATCTTGCCACACAGGAAGAATGACGACGCCGCTTCGAGCAGTTTGAGTAGGAGGGATAACGACACCGCTTCGAGCAGCCCGGATGACTCCTTGTTTTCCGACGACATCTTCTTACCAGAGGTAGGTCTCGCTAAAACTCCGAATTGGATTCGTGGAAACTCAGTCCCTTATCCTGCCCGACAATGAATTTCGATTCTGACGAGGAAGCAGATGAATAGCTATGAGTATTTGATGTTGCGAAAGCAGTGGCCTTCGCTCCAGTTTGCCCTCCAGAGAATGGAAAAGGATTTGAAGGAAACGCTCGAAATGATCGCTTTGTGGAAGACGCGTCAGCAAGACCGAAACCCTGAGCAGCCGCGCTGGACGCCCAACGACGAGAGAAAATACCGATCCATCATCACCAAGATGACCACGTCCAACAACCACCACGTCCGCGAACTGGAGCGATATCAGTCCAAGATCCAGGACCTTCGGAGTTCTCTCGAGACTAGGCTCTCGTCGATACGGGATGAGTTGAACTTTCAGAACGCCGAAAACATCGCCTATTTCACATACATCACGGTGATTTTCCTCCCGTTGGGCTTCGGGGCGGCAACTATGAGCACGAGTGGGTTGCCGAGTGGAAGGATGGCCTTGGACATTTTTGTGGCAGCCATCATCATCTTGGTTCCCACCATTCTTACATTGATCTTGGGCCCACGCATATACAACTCGGTGCTAAGACCGATCTTTAGGACCGATCGCGGCACGGTACCATCAATACAAGGACCAAGCGTTACGGCCATTCGCGCCACAGCATCAGCATCGTCAACACGGCGGCGTCACGGCGGTATCTTGAATTCTCCCGAATCGGGTGGAGGGCCAAAATCCCACGTTTCTTCGGGGCAGGCTGGTGACAGTAACACCACGAAGATGCCATCAGAGGAGTTGTCAGAAGTCATGGCCAGCGAGTCCACATCGTTTGTCCAAAGGGTCAGAGACCTACGAAGAAAGGTGACAGGATCAGGGAGACGAAGCCATGACCGAGACCCCAACCCGTAGACAATCAGGAAGTTGGGGCTTTTTCACTCACTACTTATTGCCCACAATCTTTGAACAGTACAGGATACAGTTGAGCTTGGGCTATGTGCAAGAAAAGATGTTTCTACAAAATGCATCTAGGTGGTGTGTATCGGGACAGACGGTATTTACTGGACATGTATAGACTCGTGGAAATGGATATAGACGTGAATGTCGAGATGGATAGATCTGATATTTTAAGTACGACTCGACTCATCCTTGATCGGTTACTTGCTTGCGTCTTATCTAGGCAGCCCATTGGGTTAGATAGACGTGAGCTGACTTGAACTAACAGTGTGTTCTTGGCTGTTTGGTCGCTTGCTCGCTCAGTTGTCCAATTGTCTTGTCTGCTGTCCATCTGTCCAGTTGTCCGCTGTCTGCCTGTCCGCTGTCTGCCTGTCCGCTGTCTGCCTGTCCGCTGTCTGCCTGCTGTCTATTCCCCAACAGCGACCTGGCCCAGAGCGGCTCTTCTCGAAGTACTATTTGGGTCGAAGTAGGGTCTTTCGCCCAGGCCGACGGCGCGGTTTCCAAACCGAGGACCCTGGCCCTTATAGTCGTAGGTGGCGGAGTGGAAGACGCTACGGTTATCCCAGATGGCTGTGGATTGCAGAATCAATGTTAGATATTGGTGAATGTAGGGGTGGGGGTTGGGGGGTTGGGGGGAAGATTGTTGGTGGGGAGGTATAGGGTTAGGGTTAGGGCTAGGGTTAGGTTTGGGGCTCTCACCAATATCATTCGCATTCTTCCACTTAAACCGCACCTGCAGGTCGTGGTTCTTGTAGACCAGATCGACGAACCAGTCCAGCAGATGCCGGCTCTCCTGCTCGGTCAGGCCGTTGATGTGGCGCACGTGGCCGCCGACGGGGAAGATGCTCTTCCACCCGGTGACCGGGTTGGTACGCACGACCGGGTGGACGGCCTTGAGCTCGTCGCCGACGTTCTCGGGAGCCCCGCGCTCTTTGTTGTATAGTTGGAAGCCCTGGCGCTCGGCGACTTCCTTGAAGCCGGGCTGGGCGAACGTGGCGGTCAGGCCTTCAAGGAATTTCTGGTACGGTTCGCTTATGCGGTCGTAGATTTCGTAGCCGGATGCCCAGAGCGTGTCTGTAGGTTAGTTAGTCACCAAGCACAATCACAGTCACATTCACAAGTCATAAAAGGGGATATGGGGGTGAGAGGGGAGATGGGAGAGGAGATGAGAGATGAGAGGAGATGAGTTAGTCACCAGTCACCAATCACAATCATAAGTCATCAGTCAAAAAAAAGGAGAGGGAAGATCGGAGAGAGGAGAGGGAAGAGAGAAAAAAAAGACAAGTGTCTAAACTCACCTCCTCCCGTTCGTGGCAACTCAACCAGCCTCAACGACGTATAATCCGCCGGTACGGGCTCAAAGGCAATGTCGCTGTGCCACGAGGCGCTGCTCTGCTGCTTGGCGCTCAAATCATACACGGTCTTCTTGTAGATCTTGTCGTGCTGCACCGAGCTGATGGTGCTGATTTCCGGGTCGTCGCCGCCCAGCTCGCGCTCCGAGTTGAGGATCGGGTGGATGTGCAGCTTGGACGTCGCCGGCTTGTCTGTCAGCTCGCCCAGTCGCTGGATCAGCTGTTTTTGGAGTTCGTTGGTCAGGTTGTCCTGGCTGCGGAAGAAGACGACGCCTCGTTCGGATACTATTGCTCCGAGAACATTTCGAATGGTGAGCCTCACTGCCTTGTTTTGGTTTGGTTTTCGATAGATGGATTCTGTGGGTGGAGGGTGGGGAGTTGGGCGCGCGCTTGATAGATGATTCTTTGGGTGAGGGTGGAAGGGAGTTTGGACTGGGGCCCGCGTTTGCTCTTACAGCGATAGCTATAGCTATAGCTCTCTCTGTCTGTCTGTCTGTCGTTTATCTGTCTGGACTACAGTACAGACAGTACAGTCCAGTACAGACAGTACAGTAGTGGCAAGGCAAGGCAAGGCAAGCAAGCTATGGCTATGGCTGTATCATGCGCAGGTACGCCCGGATCGGCTTACTCTTGATGGCCAGGTCGCGAAGCAGCTCGTCCGCGTTGGGCGACTGCAGCCATTCCACCAGATTCGCCGTCGGGAACTCGGTCCCAATCACCGGCGTGAGGTCTTCCGATGCGTACTTGTCCAGCGCTCCGGACGCCTTGAGCGGCTGGCGGATCGGCAACGTGACCGTGTGCGTCTTTTGCTTGTCGCCGACGGGGACGGGCGCGGGCGTTTCGACAGCTGAGGGGGCCATGGTGGTGGTGGTGGTGGCAGAACAGAAATAGAATCAGGAGGTCAAGGTGAAGGTGAATGTCAAGGTCGACGTGAAGGTCAAGGTTCTTGAAACTAGACTTCCAAGTCGATGCAGTATCACTATCTGCGATCCTGGACTGGATTTCTCTAGGTAGGTACCGTACTCTTGACACAAGGTTGAGGCTGATGGAGCAGAAGAAGAAGGAGAAGAAGGAGTAATGAAGCGTTTTGATCAGCTTACAGAATACTTATATGTTAAACACCCACAACAGGTCTTATTTCTTCTGCTGATTTTCGCCGGAATCCCCATGGCATGCTGTTGCTGTGTCCATCACGCGCAATCCTGTCATATGTTGCCATTGATGCATAATGGCCCCAAGCGGCCCAAGCGGCCCGCTCTGATTCGTGGTATTTGGCCGATAGAAGTGGAAGTTGCTAGGCTAAGGGCCGATTTCGATTTCGCCATCGGCGGGGTTGATTGTCAAGATTCCATATGTCCCATTCATGGTGGGCCATTCATCATGTCCCATACATCATGTCCCTTGGGAATTCGTTATCATTGGGAATCATTACATTGGGGATGATCAATCATCACATCCCGCCTTTTCGTCAACATCAACACCCGCGAGTTGCGAAAGGGAAAGGGAATTCCGATGGGGCTGGGCTGGGCTGGGCTGGACTGCTCTGCTGCCTTGCCGGTACGTGGTGGTGGAGGACATGTGACAGACAGCTGTCGCCATCTCTGGTGCTGATTGCGCCAGACGATCACGATCACGATCACCTTCACGATTGATGGATGGATGGTTCGATACTGACAACAGACATGCTGGACCTCGCGTCATCGCAGCCAAGCGAAGGTACGCGAAGCGGGTTGAATCGAACTGATGTACTGATTAAGTTGGATTGAACGGAAGGGCCTAAGGCTCGACGAACCAAGTGTACTGGGCTACGGTAGGTGAGGTGAGTCAGGTGGGTGGGACTGAATTCAGATGGACAATACAATCATGTACTGTACTACTACTATCAATTACTAATGTTGTTCTCGTCCCGATCGGAGACGCACCACGGAGTAGTACTGTATACCACGTCTGCTCAGAGTACTGTACACCACGTCTCCTACAGAGTACTGTACACCACGTCTCCTACAGAGTACTGTATACCACGTCTACTACTGTCAAAGGTTGAGATGTTCTATATTCTCTATCAAAGGAGTATGCGGGAGCCCAGACTATATAGGTGTGCCTATACCTATACCACTGGTGCCCCCTGATTAAAGGGCAAGGCTGGGAATGCCTAAGTTAGTGCCCAAGTTTGACAATACCACGTCTACTATAGACTACTATATGCCACGTCTACTAGACTACTGTATACCATACCACCACCACTACAGAGTACTTAGTAGTACGGATCACATACGGCCAGCCAACTAAACCACACCCAACACGCCTCAGCATGGGCAGTTGAACTCCTTGAATTGTGTACCATACCTGTTGAACTCCTTGAATTATGTACCATATCTGTCAGGTATCTAGAGAGAAGAAATTACGCATGTAGGTAGGTACTTAATATTTCCTAACTTGTCGTACGAGAATATAGTCTATAGTCCTCAAGAACTCAAGACCCATCATCCCCCGGTTGAGAGCGGCAGTACTGAAAGGTTGACTCAAGCACAGCTTTGTTGAGACTAGGAATGGCCGCCTCCATATAATGCCAGACTAGATAGACATCGTACTTCACCAGTGCTCTATCCTCTCTACCGATTTCTACTTCACCAGTTCACCAGTATTCTGTCCTCTCTACCGATTTCACATTCTACCTTCTAGGCCGGAACATCGGCATCGGCGCCACCATTTTCAGTTTCAGGTTTCTTCGAGACATCTGCATTCGCATTCGTGTCTGCGTCGTGGTCGGAGGTCGAAGTCTCTGTCTTTTCCGCGATTGCAGCCGCTGCCGCTTCCGCTTTGAGTCGTTCTGCCCGCTCGTTGCGGCTCTCGCTGGCAGTATCGAAATATGCTACAACGAACAAATAAATGATTATTATCACGACAATGATAACACGTGGTGAGGTGAGTCTTCACCAAAACCCGGACATAGGTGGTCACATCACTTACGTTTTTCGCCAAATACCGTCGTCCGGATGCCTTTCCTGGGGGCTTCGTACGTTCCAGGGATGACGCGATGGATGGTGGCTCTGGTTTATAGTAGTTAGCTGAGTAGCTCTTACACCCACACCCACACACACACACACACACAGAGAGAGAGAGAGAGAGAGAGAGAGATGTACCGATTGTCCCACAAAGCCACACTCCCTACCGCCCACTTCCAGCGCACGGCATGGTCATCAGCCGAATGGATATGGTATTCGAGAAATTCGAGCAGTTTGTCTAGAAATCGACGTCGACCGAGGATCAGCGAAAAGAAGCACAAGTTGGACAAGACCAGACACCAAGACTATGCTGCAAGCCGGATAGGACAGACAGTTTCACATTCGCAGCCTTTTTGGTCTGTCGCGAGGGTTTGGTAGCGACCGGACCGGCATTGGCATTGGCATTGGCATCACTTTATCCAACTCACCTGATTCTTTCTTCTTGAGCTCGGCAAACCCGGTGACAAAGCCCGGATTGACATTCAGCGCCTTGAGGCCGGTGACAGGATGCGTCCGCACTGCTGGATGATGGGTGTCTATGGGAGGCCGGTTGGGGCCGACTCCCCACAGATCGAGGATGGTGTCGTCTAGATATACACAACAGGAGATTGGTCAGTACAGTCAACAGCGGACAAAGGGGGATAGGAATGTGCAGATTTCGGAGAGAGGGCAGGGGGGATAGGAATGAGTAAATCTCGGAGAAAAGAGAGCTTCTTCTAACATTGTAATCTCGAAGTGTGTACGGCGTGCAGGCCGTCAAGAAAACTGCGCAATGCCTTGCTTAAAGCGTCGTATAGGCCGTAGGTGGATACCTGTGCAATGTATATAGTTAGTGGGAGGCTGCGAGGTGAGTGCTCCGTACAGTAAGGGGTCGAGTTGAGGTAAAATGAGTACAGGGTAAAAGGTAGGTAGGACCGATAGACCACGGTAGTGGTAGAGGGTAGTAGAGTAGACCAACAAATCCCCTCCCCAACCATAAGACCTTCTCTCGACTTACCCAAGCAGTGTCTCCCCCGACATCCGGGTGTTCTTCCATCCTGAGCAACGAGTACGACGGCGCTAGAGGGTTTCTGTCAGCTTACAGACACAGACGACATGCGGGCTGAATCCTATCGTCATGTCATGTCCCTGGCCTCCTTTTCTATCCGAGACCAAGACGGCCCTGGACTGAAGGGGACGGGACTGGAAACTGCTGAATCTCAATGAGTTCGACAGGACGTACGATTGATTTCAAACGAAGTATCGGCATGGAAGTCGCCCGATGGCTAGACAAGGTAGATGGCGAGTCAGTATATATATACATGAGATATCTTTCCCTGATTCTGCCGGCACAACCCCAGATCCCATTCTAGGGAGGACAGGTCAACAACAAGCAAGAACCTAACTTACCCACGGAGTATATGCGAGGATCTCGCGGTGGTCCTCGCGGCTCCCCTTGATGATCACATGCTGGTTGCATTCATACGTCAGACAAAGGCCAATGACTCGAACTCATTGACAAAGCATTGTCAGACATGACTCAGGCTCATTGACAAATGGTTGAGGTTGAGACTGAGAATGGGATGGGGATAGCGTCGTCGCCAATTCGAGACTGTACCTTTTGGTCCTGGAGGGAGTCTGGTTAGAATCAAGGTTCTCTGACGGAAGAAAGCAAGTCAAGCAAAGGGGGGACGGGAGCACAGTCCCATGGGGCAGGTAGTCATATAGACAGGACTAAATTGTAGTGTCCCCATGGGGTTGTCAAACTTAGGCATTCCCAGCCTTGCCCTGTAACCAGAAAGCTGGTATAGGCACACCTATATAGTCTGGGCTCCCCCCATACCCCTTTAACAGAGAACATGGAACATTTAAACCTTTGACAGGGGTAGGCAGTCATATAGCCAATACGAAACTGTGACGAAGTGTGGACTGTAGTGGAGTGTAGACTGTAGTGTCCCCATGAGGTAGACAGTCATATAGACAGTACAACTATAGTGGAATGTAGACTGTGGACTGTGGACTGTAATGGAGTGTGGATGTAGGTAGATAGAAAGTAAGTAAAAACTAACACTCACCTTCTGGGCAGGATGCCTATCCAGCACGCCATAGTGTTCAAACAGCCTGACCTGCTGATCAGTAGTGAGGTCCTGGTCTCTGAAAAACACGACCCCCCGCTCCGCCACCAGCAGGGCCAGCTCGTCGAGTTGCTGTCCGGTCAACCGGGACAGCTGGACGCCCTCGAGCACGGTGCCGATGGATTCGGTCAGGTCGACGCGTCTGGCTACGGAGAAGAGAGCCTTCTTGTCCGGGTCGGCGAACGAGGCTCGGTCCTTGTCGGGGAAGATTGGTGAGCGGACCGGCTCGGGGGGCACGTGTGCCTTGATCTTGGGGTTGAAGCTGGGGTGAAGCGTGATTGGGAAGCCGGAGTCGGGAGAAAGATGGTTGCGGGCTTCGAGATGAGCCATGGCGATGGTGGTGAGACTTATGCAGAACAGGCCAGGCAGTGGAGTGATGGTGATATTGATGGTGATATTGATGGTGATATTGATGGTGATGGTGATGGTACTGGAGACGAGACTTGGGTAGAACAGGCCAGGCAGTGAAGTGGTGATAGGACTGAGATTGAAAGATTAGAGAGAACTCTTGGATAACTACTGCTTCTCAACCCCTGGCAAGACACTTCACTTACACCTAATGATCTTGGATCTTGAATCCTTGGATAGATGTCCAATTAGTAATTCCCCAGGTACGGGTACTCGAATTCCCCCAAGGTGGGATGGGGATTGGATTGCGCGATTCTGGAGTTCTTGTCGTGCCAGCCCGGGAGCGTGTTACATGTACTATTACTTGTACTACTACTACTAGGCAGATGAGGTGTCACAGATAAAGATGATGCTATCACGCGAATAAATGGCATCACCCAAAATGGCATCACCCACTCACCCACACATGGCTGACGAGGTTTAGGGTTAGGGTTATTGTACCTACATAATTACAGTAGTACATAGGGCCGGTCAAGATTCGTGCCTGGTATATATGTAAACCATGTCCTCTTCTCTCTACCGATATACTGTACTAGAAGTTCATCGGCGACCTATTACTGCTATTGAACTATACTATTCTGCAATTCTTGACAGTTCCATCACCCTCTATTAGATGTTCCGATAATGCTCACTCACACCCACGATGCCCTTGTCCATCACATCTGCTATCATAATGACCGTAAACCCCGTCTCTCCTAGTAGTGATCTGTGATATCATTCGTCACCACCTCTCCCGCCGCACCCTTCTCGTTCTCTCCGTTCTGGCTCTGGGGTTTGGGATTTTGATCGAGATCGGGATCACCGGGATGATCCGGGCTCTCCTTGAATGGCCGATACGGTCTGAGCGGGTAGGTAAGCATGCTCATGTGCTTTTCGAAGCCGTCGCCTTCTTCGGGCGGTGGAGTGGAGAAGAACCGGACAACACAGCCTGTAAGTTGTTAGGAAAGAGGCTAGCGAGGAGGAAAGACAAAGAATCAACTCACCCCAGAAGAGTCGGAGAATATCGAACATGTTATACACCAAAATCTGCAGCATGCACGAGACAACAAAGAGTGGCAGCAGTAACAGACCAGTAACCACAAGCAGCACAGCGGCCCTGGTGAACTTGTGCTTCCTCATGGCGTAGCAGGCTAGCAGGATCCGCCGTGCCGGGAGCTCAATCAGCACGTATGCGATCCAGAACCCCAGGTGCGGGGACGACGACGAGCTGGTATCGATGTCGAGAACATTATCTCCGCCCGCAACATCACTTGGCGGTGGACGCGGCGCCGGCGAAGGAGCATTTGAAGACGAAGTTATTGTCGAGGCCACCCCAGCAGCCTCGACATCGTCACAGGGATTCCTGCGCTGCTCAAACCAGCGTACCATGGACTTCTTGCCCTGCTCATACCAGTGTACCATGGGCTCCACAATGTCACGGGGCTTCTTGCGTTGATTCTTGCGCTGTGTATACTGGCCTACCATGTAGCTGCGCTTCATCTTCTCGTGCGAGTACTTGTGCACCAGCTCCGAGGGCATTGCGAATACCGCGAAGAGTGCCTCGGCCACGGCGAAGAGTGCCTTGGCATTCACGATCGCGATGCCCGTCACGGCCAGGGCGACGATGGCGCACACGGCCATGGGCTTCACCGTGCTCCCTTTTGGGGGGTCGCTCATGCTGAAGATGGAGGCGGCAAAGCCCAGCGGCAAAAATACCACGGTCACGTAGGTGAAGAACCGAATGTTCTCAGCGCCCAAGAGCGAGAGGTCGTTGCGGGTCTTGTCCTGCGACGACGCTAGCGTGTCTTTGAGCGACGATACCTGGGATTGATATGTCTTGAGCTCGTGAATCTTGCGCGACGTTTGCCCGACGAGCTTGCGAATGTCGCCTCGGTACTTAGACTCGTCCTTGTGGGTCCACCGGGGCCGCTCCTTCTCGCGGTCCTTTTCGCGTGACTCCCACTTGGAGATGGTGTCGAGCATGCCGGCCAGGTCGTCCTGGACCGCTTGTAGGACTTGTTCGAACTTCTGCCACTCTTTGTTGGAGGCAAAGTAGTCGTCGCTGGTGAGGATGGAAAAGGTGAGGGCGCCATCCGACTTAACATCCAGTTCGCGGCGGACCGTCTTGTAGATCTTGCGGGTGCTGTTGACGGCCTCGGTGAGAATGCGGTCCAGCAACAGCAGCTCCAGCACCTTGCGCTGCCGCCACGACCTGCGCTTGTCCGAGTGGTCAATAAAGTCCAACGCGGGCGTAGGCGCAGACGCATCACTGGCGACCCTGGGTATGTACTCGACGAAGTGACATGTCCAGAAGCGGTCGAAGAAGTCGCCGAAGAAGCGGAAGCCAACTGATGCCCGCGTGATCTGGTAGTTCAACTTGCCGCCCAAAGGCTCCTGGCTGGGCTCGGGGATGGCGGGTGCGGGTGCGGGGGCTGCCGTGTCGATGAGCTGGTAGAAGGACAGATGGAACTCGCTCTCCCACGTGTTGAGCGTGATAGTAGTGTCGTCAGAGAAGAACTTGTCGTAGTGGCGGTGGCGCTCGAAGAACTCCGAAATAGCAGCCTTTTCCTCGTCGGGGCTGGTGAGGTAGCACACAAGTGCCGTCTCCCCGTTGGCACATGGCAGCCAGACCAGCCGCTTTTTAGCCTGTTCCGCCCTGCGAGGTTTTCTCAACATCGTCAAGAGTTCGTCATTGTTTTCGATCGACCAGAGGTTCTCGTGCACTTCGAACCTCTGGTCACGCTTGCCCAGGTGCTTGTTTTTGGGGATGTCAGCCACGCCGGCGAGCCGGTCATCTGTCGTAAACTTGTAGTGGGAGGACCTGCCCTGCTCTCTCTTCTTGTCATTCGCAACCTTCATCACCACTGGCCTCGCGTTGGCTGACTCGATGTCCGTCTCGCTGTCCGTCTCGCTGTCCGTATCCTCGGCCAGGAGGGTGATCTGTGAATCTACCTCGGTGTCTGTGAGAGGCTTGTCGCGCAGAAGAAACGCCGGGTAATTGTACAACCACTCCTCGTCGAGCTCGACAATGTTACTCGAGTCGATCATGCTGTTGAACGGGACGTTCTTCGTCATGACCTTGCGGCTTCCGGGCAACAGCTCCCACAGACCCAACTTCTCAGGGTTCCTGTCGGAGAGAGCGAGGGCATGGTCGCTTCCCATGTTGCTGCCCGGCGTCTGGTTCTTGGGCTCGGCTGTAAACCGCTCTGCCACCTGTTCCATTCCCGGTCTGGGCTGTTCGATGTCGGGCACGGGATTCTTCTGCGGTTGCTTCTGATGCTGGCCGTCAAAGATGCTGTTGATTTTGCCGGCATGGAGGAGGAGAACGAAGGGAATCTCGAAGCTGGCGTGGAAATACCAGTCTCGGTCTTCTTCATCCCTGTACAGTTCGGGCTCCTTGGTATTCTTATCGAGCTGGCCCGGGAAGAATGCGTTGGGGCTGGTCGACTGGAATAGCACTTGGAGAGACAACTTGAGCAGTTCGCTGGGCGTGTGCTTGTTAATGGTCTTGTCCTGCGAGGCCATCACGATAGCTAGGGCATAGCGGATGGCGTTATCCCAGTGGGCCTCCTGGTTTTCGTCGTGGTGGATCTGCGACTCGATCGTGTTCGTCCACACCTCACGAAACGACGTCTGCTCCAACGATAAGCCCCAGTCGATGGCGTAGAAGAGGACAGTGTCACGTGCGTGAAGCATGAAGCGTGTTTCCCGAGCCGATCGCTTGACTGCCACCATTCTTTTCCCGGAATGATCATTAAGGGTGGTGAAGTGCCCGAGAATGACACGCTGGATGTCGGACCGGGTGAACCTTTTGGCCAACTCGTCGAAACCGCCGTCCTCGCTTCCATCTTCCTTGCTATCATCTTCCTTGTTCTTCTTTTCCTTCCGTAGCTCGACCCATATGTCTAGATCCTGCATAGACTTGATAGCCTTCCAGATCAACACGTGGTCATCCAGCCGGAATGTAGTAATATCTTCATCCCGAGCGTGCGGCCAGACGAGTTCCCCTCGTTTGTCCAGCTTAAATAGCTCTTTGCACCATTTCTGGCCGACGCGTACCATGATCTTCTTGGCCAGGTCTTGGTCTGATGGCTCCCGATAGAGGGCCGCAAACTCAGCCACTTTGATGACCTGGTAGGGTGTGTCGGTCAAAGAGTCCTCCGGCATCCAGGACGGAGACCAGAGGGCAGATTCATTGGATGGGGTAATAGATCTCCCCGTGACCCAGTAGTTAGCCACGAAGCAACGGGTCTTGGACGTCCTGGACTCAGAGACGTTGGCCTGTTTCTTCGGTTGGTAATTTAGCTCCCACACCCGGCGCAGCCATGCCAGATGTCCGCGACACACATCATCAATCCTCTGGCGAAGCGACTTCACATAGTCATCCTGCTCCAGACGATTCAGCCGCTTAGCAACCTGAATTAGAAATTGAAATGCAAAGCTGTACACGACTACGTTAGCCTGGAGGTAGGAAGAATTCGTAAAGACGTCACTTACAAGCTAGCCGAAGTGCAGACGCGGTGAGTTGACATGTCGCCGCATGTCAAGGCGACGGGCACGATGCCATCGGGCCACTTCTCCGTGGGTTCCGCGCCCTTCAGCAGGGGTTTTCTCAATGGAACGGCACACCCAGACAAGATGTGCTCCAGATTGCGGCGGACCGCATACTCGATGTGGCTGGATGCGCTTTTGTCTGGGATTCCCTGCGGGTTTGGCGGCCTCCCCAAATTTGGCGGCTTCTGCGCGTTCAGTGGGTTCTCCGGATTTTGTGGCTCCTGCAGCTTCTTTGCCTTGGCGGCGTCTTTCTTGGGGTCCTTCGAGGTGTCACCTGTCTGGGTGCTCTTTGGAGCGACGGCCTTCTGGGTGGTATCGTCGTGACTCGGGGGAGACATGTCAACTCCGGAGAGATTGAGCTCGGTGAAGGGTTCATTGCGGAGAAGTGTGTTGACGTTCGTCGATCTCGCCGGGATGAGGAAGTCTGACCAGTCGCCCTTTGACTTTGGCAAGAAGAGCATCTTGTAGGCAACGACGACTTCCACTGTATCCGATAGCGGGGTTTCCTGGGCTAATGTAATCGCCTTTTTGCCGCGGAGCTCGTGGATCCAAGTGTCTTTCCCGACTCCAGTCTTCGCTTCCCCGTCAATAAAGACGGACACGATGGTCGTGACGGAGTCGGGCTTCTGCTCGCTGTCAACCGGTGCCCCGTTATCCTCCTTGCCCCCTTCCTTGTAATTATCCTCGTCATCCTCCTCGTCATCCTGAGGAAGAGGACGCACGTAAACACAGCCATAGCCGTTCGGGCCAGCGCAGGTGGAGGGGTCGGCGGAATTGTCCGGGCCTTCGAACGGGCGGTAATTGTGATGGTCCATGTCCCGAAGATGCATTCCGTCGCCGAAGGAGAATTTGACCTTAGTATTGTTATCCGCAAAGTTCGTTATCACGACCTGCTGCAGGACGGCTTCTTGGTGGACGATCCATTGGATCGTGATGTGATTGTTAGCCTCGGTCGTGTATTCGTAGCGCGGCCACCTATCGTGAACATAGCTCGAGCGCAGCTGATCATCAAAGGCGGCGGCGTCGTCAGAAGTGGCATCGTCAGAAGTGGCATCGTCAGAAGTGGCATCGTCAGAAGTGGCATCGTCAGAAGTGGCATCGTCAGAAGTGGCATCGTCAGAAGTGGCATCTTCAGAAGTGGCATCGTCAGAAGTGGCATTGTCAGAGGTGGCGTCTTCAAAACGCAGGCCATAACTCATATTCTTGCCGTTCTGCTCGGCGCTGATATCTTGCAATTCTAAGCTCCGCCACATGACGTACCATGGCTGGGGCACGTTCGTCTGGTCAGTCATGAACATGCCTGAGGTGCCGACGCTGAGGTAGCGGCCGAACATGAGAAGATGTCCATAAGCGTTAACGCTCGCCGTGACGCCCTGGTCGCCAAAGGAGGCGTAGGTCTTGGGGTTGGGTGCGTCATCCCAGGCGCTGAAGTGGCCGTCCTTGGGAGCGAATGGCTCGAAGCTTGCATCGCCTTGGAGATTTTAGTTGGCCCGTGGGACCTGAGGGCATGCCTTTCAAGCTTACGATGGATCCAGGAGGTGAAAACCTTGTCATCCTTTGACGGGACGTTGTCCGCGTATGGGAAGTCCGGCTCGTCTTCTGAAGGTTCACCCATGGTGGCAGCGACGCGAGAGACTGACGATGCTGTAGCTCTCGTCGCAACACGGTTGGGGCAGCGAATTTAAATCTGTCATAATTCGGACGAGCGTGGAATTGCAACGCACGACACCCTGGGGACAGCTTGCAGCATCGGACAGCTCAGCTGAAGGCTGGGATGCTGCAGGAGGACGCTTTAAACAGACAGGTCGGCAGCCCCGGCTGTGATACGTATGACAGCGGGGACCAACCACGGGACGGGCCTGAGGCTCTTCGGGCCCCAACCCCAGCTTACTGTCACACTTTGGGGCCAGGGCCAGGGTCAGAGCCAGGTAGATGCCAGGGTCCCCAGCGATAAACCTGGTCAAACTCGGTTCCCGTGCTTGCTCGCCCGCTGTATCGTCGTCCGCTGCAGAATGTTCTTATCTGTCACATCTTCCATCACAGCCGCTAATCCTAGCTCAGCAGGAGAAGTGGGTGGTGTGGTTGACGGATACGAAGGACGCATTGCTGAGGCGAGCAAGCTTTGGACAAGGTCGTTCGAGGGTTCTAGCGAGAAGCTTGGTCAGAACATGGAACTGGGACTGGGAGCTGGCCGTTCATCCAGGACGCGGGCAGCAAACCTGTACCTGTATTCGGCGGACTCTCCTGCTTGGAGATGACATTGGAGGACGAGGGGATGAACAAGGGTTTAGGGCCTAGTTAGCTGCGCAGCCACCACAGCTACAGAGTACGGAGTATGGAGTACGGAGTAGTACGTACAGTACGGAGTAAGTGTAAGTGCAGTGCCGGACTCGGCTATTGTTCCCTGATTCAGCGGTGACTGCCAGGTCGATGTGAGGCGTGGAAGCGTGTGATTGGTCTGCTTCGTTAGGCTATTTCCAGCAGGCGAAGGTCGCTTGAATTCCTTCTCAGGAGCAGAGCCTCATATCGCAAGTCGGGTCTGCACTACTACTGTACGACACGGTGTGCCAGTGAAGAAAGAGTCATCATTGGTAGATGCCAGGCTCCTACTCGGTCGGTACTGACCACGTGAATTAGCAGGGGTTCATAGCACGTGACAAGAGGCTTGTTACGCTGGCATACGGAGTACATGTACGGTAAACCTACGCCTCGTCCTCAACCCTGTCCTGTACCACACTATATACTCCACCCAATGCATTGCATCGCCCTGCCCCTAGCCCTCAAGATTAATTCCCCATATCCCACCACTGCAGGTCTTGATGGAAAATATCCTGCAGCAACGCCTCGCTAAAGTTATCCGCAGGCAGGGAAAACACCTCAGTGTCATGGAGCGGCTCGCCGGGGGTGGTGACCGTGGCGGTAGTAGCCGTGGTCGAAGGCGCATCGCTCGGCGTGGGTAAAGACAGAGGCCGATCGAGATCGTGTCGGCTTTGGGGTTGGGTATGAGTATGGGTTTGAGCACCGTTGCCACTCCGACTTCCAATACCACCGCCACCACCACCACCACTCCCGTCACCCTGACTTGCCGGTACGGTGGCAGGTCTCCAGATCGGCGGTGCCACCGGCCGACCGGCAGCTTCACTCAGCTCCTCGGATATGTCAATGGTGGCGACTTGGCTGCCGGCGCGGTCGTGGCGGAGCAGCAGACTCCCGTCGAACAGGCCGCGGCCGGGACATTCAGGATCGGGCCCGGCGGTGCGGGGACGGCTGTAGTCGAGGATTTCCAGCATGGCGGTGGTGTCGATGCAGATGGTCTGGCCCTGGGCAGGGGAGGGCAGACATGTGCTGCCGAACGCGGTGTGGATGAGATTGTCGAGATTCTGTTTCTGTAGGGAGGAGACGACGTCAGTAATGTACAGTAAGCTCTCGAACGGGTTCTGTTGGGCCGACGATAGATAGATTGATCAGGTTGGGTGATAGTAGAAGGGATAGTAGATAATATAGTGGAAGAGATTAGGGTTAGGGTTAGGGTTAGGGTACGATCTTGTTCACATACAATCCTCCCACACCACGGCCACACTTGAGCCTGACGCTCCACAAAGGCCTTGCATTTCTCGAGGTTGTCCCGGGCCGAGCGGCGCAGCTCGTCGTTCTGCGAACAGCAGTAGAAGAGCTGGACGCTCGCGGCGACGCCGGCGGCGTAGCCCAAAAACGGGTCGAACAGGTCGAAGTGCTTGTCGCGCGCCATGGTGATGAGGCGGGTGATCCAGGTGGAATGCAGCAGGACCGACTCGGACGACGACCGCCAGAAGGTGTTGGGCATCTTCAGCTTCAGCGGCTGCGACCGCGACGTGAGCAGGAACGGGTGATTGATGACCGCGTAGATGGCGTGGTAGCCGAACTGGAAGAACAGCCAGGGCGCCCAGTACGGCCGCTCGCGCTCCAGCGCCTCGGCCGACCAGGCCATGAACCGCTTGTAGTCCCACCGGTGAGGCTGCGGGATCTGCGTCTCCAGCTCGTGCATGTACGACACGATCAGCGTGTAGTATGACTCCGGCGCCCAGGGCGCCCGTTCCGTGTCCGACGCACACAGCAGGATGTAGTTCCGGACCTCGTTCCAGTACGCGCTGAGACAGACCGTGTAGTTCCAGATGCCTTGATCTTTGGTGGTGGTGGTGGTGGTGGCGCCTTGATCTTTGCTGCTAGACCCATTCCCACCCCCATCCCCATCCCCATCCCCGTACCCATGATATGTTGCCTCCTCCGGCACCACAGGCGGTTCCAGGGCCAATGCGCGTCGCGCATGGTCGCCCACACTCACACAGTAGCGGAGATTTTCCAGCCCGCCCTTCATGGTGATGGTCCGGTTGCTGTGTGCGCCGTACAGTTGGTCCAGGATGTAGATGCTCCAGAAGAGCCGTTTGCCCGCCTGGTCGGCCGGACTGGCCTGTGATTGTGCTTGTGCTTGTACTTGCGATTGTGTCTCGGACCGGCGCAGATCCAGCCCGGCAGACCGCAACAGATCCCGGGCAAGATTGAGGTATAGCGATGCGACGGACGTGTCTCGCGCTGTGAGATGTGCCATAGTAAGCTTCGACATCAACTTCAACAAGTCCTCAGGAGCAGGGAACAGGGAACAAGGAGTAAGGAGCAAGGAGCGCACGAACCTGCAAAACTCACCCAGCTGAGAAGACACAGACTCTGAATGGTGCTGAACTTGACCGCCGCGTTGGCAATCTTGAGCATGACTCGATTGCGCGCGGCGTCGCTGAAGCGCTGTGACATCTCGAGCCGGTCGTGGTCCCGACCGCGGTCTCTGTCTCGTTCGAAATACGGGCTTTCTGAAAAGCGAGTGGTCAGGGCCAGGATCGACAGCACCAGCTCTTCCGGCTGTTGCGGTAGTGATGCAAGCTCGGCGTCGTCAAACAGCCACAGAGGTTGGCGATGGCAGTGTCGCCGATACAGCTGCGACATTTCATACAGGCAATCCGGAGGCGGGAGTAATCTACTCAGACACAAAGTCAGATATCCGTCGCATCACTCGATAGTGGTGAGTGGTGAGTGGTCGACGGTGGACAGGAGAGCAGCAATGCTAGGCAAGAGAAGAGGGAATGGAAGTCAAGTCAAGTCAATCATGCCGACTGACCCTTCGTGGAGAAAGCCGGGTGTCACGCCCACTGCTGAAGACGGCGACAAGCCCGGGACGGAGGTGTCGTTGTCGTCGTTTTCGTCTTGGTCTTGTTCGTGCCGGCCCTCAGAATCGGAGTCGTAGGAGACGCCCCCGCCCTCACCATCTGGGGCTCTGCTGTACATGGCCGTTGTTCAGTCAGTGAACACTCAAGGGTGGTAGGAGGCAAGGGGAGGGGAGACCAACACCAACCGTTCGAGTTCGGCCCCGGCCCCGGCCCCGGCACGAGAGGCCATCACTCGCATTGCCTCCTCGAGCTGCGACATGCGGTGTTCCTGTATGACACGAACATTTAGACCCGGTCATGTTTAAACAAGGGCACCGGGCGACCACTACCCAGTTCACAGAAGAGACAGAAGAGACAGAAGAGACAGAAGAGACAGAAGAGACAGAAGAGACAGAAGAGACAGA